ATAACCTTTTAAACTTCCTTCCTTTAAATTACTTATATAATCTTTTAGCTCTTTATTTTATTAATTTTTCTTTTAATAGCTTTAAAAGTTTATTATTTCTTTATAACTTTTAATTATTTTTTATAATATAATTTAATATAATAGTTTTTTATAACTTTTATAATTCTTTTTAAATTTATTTTTAGCTTTTTATTTTTATTCTTTTTTAATGCTTTTATTTCTATTTTTATATTTATTTTATTTTTTATATAAAATTATTTAATAGGGCTTTTGTTTAATATATAATATTTAATTATTATATTTAAAGTATAGGTTTTATTTTTAAATTTTTAAAATAAATCTTTTTTTATTTTTATTACTTTAATTTTCCTTTTAAGGAATTTATTTAAGTTTTTTTATTTTACTTCTTTTAAGTTATATCTTTTTATATTTAATAAAATCCTTTTTTTATATTTTATTTTATTTTTTACCTTTAAATATTTTTTTATTACTTTTATTATATCCTTTTTATATGCTATTTATTCCTTTATTAGGTTTTTAAAGTAACTATTTTTAAAGTTAATATTTAAAACATTCTTTATTTAGTTTAATTGGTCCTAATATATATTTATTATCTTTTTTTTTTTAAAAGGTTAATTTTTAATTTAAACCTTTTTATTCCTTTTTTAAAGTATTTTAAAAAGGTTAGGTTAATTATTATTACTTTATAGTTTATAAATAATTTAAGGGATATTATATCTTAATCTATACTCCATTTTACCTAATCTTTCCTTATATATAGGTAGTTTATTTATAATACTCTCTTTATAACGCCCTTATTATTCTTTTTATAAAAGGAGTAAGCTTTAAAGTATAAGTAGTTATATTTTTATATATTTATTATTTCTTTTTTATATTTTAAAAGTTAAGTAATGAATTTAATTATTATTATTATTTATTTAAATATATTCCTTTATCCATTTCTTTTATTATATAATATTATTACTATATTTTAATTATTGCCTATTATATTATATAAATATATTAAAGAGTATATTAAAAAGTAATAATTTATAATATTTAACTATAACGCATCTCCCACTTGACCTGGCCACCCAATTGACCTGGCCACTCTAATAACCTATATAAAAATCCAATGTTTCAATCTATAATAACTTGACCAATATTGGGCCCACAATAAAATAATTAATACTATTAGATCCGTTATTTAATAAGGAATCCAGCGGTGTTTTTTACTATTTTTTATAAAATTTATTGAGCGAGATATTAAGCAATACGCTAAAAGAGCGCTAGGCAAGGGTTATTTTAGCGCTTACTTTAGCGTATTGCTTGATAACTCCACGAATATAAGTCGTATGGGTTGATGGAGGGTACCATTAAATAGCTCTTTTTATTACGAATCCAATGGTGTATTTTATTATTTTATACGACTAATATTCGTAGAGTTATTAAATTATCACGTGATTAGTGCACCGACGTTTTTTGTATGGGCTGGGGGGGTGGTCAAGTCAATTGGGTGGCCAGGTCAAGTGGGAGATGCGTTAATATTTTATTTTTTAATTAAGCTAATATATATATATTTATTATAGTTATAGGTTTATTAATTTTTTTATACTTTAAGTTATTTATTATAATTTTTTTATTTTTATTTATATATTATATTTTTTAATCTTTATTTACCTATATTATTATTAAGGTATTAAAGATTATTATTATTCCTTCCCTTTATTAGGATTTATTTATTATTATTTTTATTAGAAGGAAGTTTATTATTAATTTTAAAGCTTTTTTTTTTATAAAAAAGGCCTTTTATATTATTATTATATTTATTTTTTTTATTTTAAAGCTATAATATAATTTATTAAAATGGGTTATATTTTAAGTAAATTATATATTTAAGGTAAATACCTTTATTTATTTATTATTTATAAATTAGGTTTTTTTTTAAATATATATAGGTTTTTAAAGTTTAAATTTAAAAACTATATATTAAGATATACCTTTATTATATAGCTTATTTAATTATTATATATTTAATATATTTAAGTTAAATTAATAGCTTTAACTTATAGCTTTATTATTATTTTATTTCCTTTCCTCTAGGTTATTATTTATTTATTTTTATAAAAAAAGTAAGGTTTAAATAGGTTTAATAGGTTTTTAAAAATAATTATTAGTTTTCCTTTTTAATAGCCTTTTTTTATTATTATTTTAAACTATATTAATTTATTTTTAAGCTTTATAACCTTTATTATACTTTTTATTAATTTATATAAGCTATATTTATAACCTTTTTTTTTACTTTTTATTTATATTAAAGCTATAATATTTTTTAAAATATATATATTTTTTATTCATTATATTAAAAAGGAAGATATATAAAAGTTTTAAAGCTTTTAAAATATTAATTTTTTTCTTCTTTAAATAATATTTTTAAGTATCTTTTAAGGAAATTTAAATAATAAAAATATTATACTAGTTTTAATTATAAATAATAATATTATTTAATATTAAGTTATATTATAAAAGGAAGGTATTAATAATCTTTTTATTTATTATTACTTTATTTTTTATATTTTCTTATTTAATAGCTTTAATCTTTAATAATTTAATTACTTTAATTTTTTATTCCTATAATAGTTATATTAAAGGGGTATCTTTATTATTAACCTTAATATATAGTTAAATACCGTTTAAAAGCCCTTTAATTATATTAATTGCTCCTTTTTTAAAGTTTATATTACCCTTTAAGGTATTAAACTTTAATCTTTTTTTATTTAGGTTTAAATTAAAGCTTATAACTACCCTTCCCCTTTTTTACCTTATATTATTATTTTATTAAATTGGAATAATCTTTAATACTATTAATAGGTTTCCTATATATATTTTATTATAAATATTATTTTTATTTTTTATATTAACGCATCTCCCACTTGACCTGGCCACCCAATTGACCTGGCCACCCAATTGACCTGGCCACCCCCCTAGCCTATACAAATAACATCGGTGCGCTAATCACGTGATAATTTAATAACTTTACGAATATTAATTGTATAAAATGATAAAATATACCATTAAATTCGTAATAAAAAGAGCTATTGAACGGTACCCTTTACTAATTCTTACGACTTATATTCGCGGAGCTATTAAGCAATACGCTAAAGTAAGCGCTAAATTAATCCTTACTTAGCGCTCCTTTAGCGTATTGCTTAATATCTCGCTCAATAAATTTTGTAAAAAATAATAAAAAATACCTGTAGATTCCCCTTTAATTAACGGATTTAAAGGTACTAATTATTAAATCATACAACTAATATTCGTAAAGTTATTAAAGATTGAAATAATAGGGTTTTATATAGGTTATTAGGGTGGCCAGGTCAATTGGGTGGCCAGGTTAAGTAGGAGATGCATTACCTTTTATTATTATTAATTTAATTATTATTTTAAATAAGTTCTATATTAAATATTTATATTATTATATTTATTTTATTATACTTTAAAGGGTTAATAAAAGTATTTAAAACTTTTATATTAAAAATAATAATATTTTATTTATATATATAATTTAGGGGATTATTTTAATATTAATATTTTTATAAATTTTTTTAAAGTTTTTTATTTATTATTTAACTTTTAAATAAAATAGAATATCCTTTTTATTATTATTTTTTATCCTTAAATTTACTTTCCTTATATTATTTCCCTTTTTAACTTAAACTATTAGGATAATTAATATAAATAATATTATAGGGGTAATAATTATAAAGGTAAGGTTTTATATTTATTATAATTTTTTAAGGTTTTATTATAATTTTAAGATAATTTAAAGGTTTAAAATAATTAAGGTTATATTTATATTTATTTTTTATAATATTATTTTAATTTTTAATATTTTAAAGTATATTTATATTATTTATATTTTATTATTTTTAAATAAAATATTTATAAATACCCTTTTAAAGTTTATAATTTAATTATTTAAATTTAAAAAATCTTTATTTTTAATTTTAAACTTTAACTTTTTATAATTTTTTTATTTAAAAGCTTTATTTATTTATTTTACTTTTTATTTAATATAATTATTTTATAAACCTTTTAAAGGGTTAAAAAGTTTTATAATTTTTTTATTAAAATTAATTAATATATATATTTTTATTTTTTTATTATTCCTTTCCTTTATTTTAAAAAAGTTATTTTCCTTTTATATACTTTTTCCTTTAATATAAAATATATATAAATTAAAAAAAGTATTTAAACTTTATATACTTTTCCCTTTAATAAAAATTATATTTAAATTAAAGGTAATTTTTAAAGTTATACTTTATATATCCTTTTTTTTATTAAAAATATATATATAAATTAAAGGTTAATATTTATTATTTAAAAGTACTTTATAATATTTTTTAATTATAATTAATATTAAAAAATAATATAAAATATATATTCCTTTTTTTATTATAATTTTATAATTTTTAATTTAAATAATTTTCCTTAATTTTTATATTAAATAAAAAAGGTTAACCTTTAAACAATTTTTAAATTAAATAAATAATTAAATAACCTTTTAATAAATAAAACTATTAAATATTTTTAAATATTATAATAAACCTTTAAATTTATTAATACCCTATTAATTTAAATTATATAATATATTATCCAATTAAATAAAAAGTATAATTATTTAATTAATTACTTTTATTTACTTTATTTAAGGATTTAGCATTTAAAATTATAATCTTAATACCTATATAACTTTATATTTAAAGGCTAAAGGTATTACATTTAGTTAACCTTATTAATTGGAACTAGCGTATCTTAAATTAATAGGTAAAAAAACTGCTAACACGATCTGTTATTTATGGGTAAGGGACAGTATAGCATTAAGCGGATGTTTCCATCTATTCGATCAGCTTTACGATTGTAGTTAGAACTATCAGTCGCTTCGCCACGCCTCCCCCAGGCGTTACTTGATGATTTCTGACTGTGTGCTACCTATGTTGTGCAATTCATTTATTAACCCCCCTAGAGTACCTATCTATATCTTAATTCTCCGCAACTAGATCCTGATCATCTCTTGCCTAATTCAATTGAAAGGGAAAGAATCAACTCATTGTGTGTAGTTCCTTTCAGTCAAGGGTTTATGCGTCGTCGTCTTTAGAATTTCTATATTAATGGATTCGGGACAACCCGATCAATATTATCTATCTATATACTGTCTAGTTTGGATATATACAGTTGTTCTCGAACCCTTCACGAACCTTGAAGTTGCTTGTAGGTGCCTAAGTTTAATCGTCTTCCTGATCATCTTGATCTCTAGTCTGCATCGGCTATGATATAAAGGGATCGGCCTGTTCCATTTCTTCTTCGATGTTGTCCTCCCACTCGCTCGTGGCCCCGATGAGCATCTTCCAAACACTGCCGGTGTGGGGAGTCGTGTCGACAATGTCCCACTGGTCGGGGATGTGGTATTTGAGTTCGTCGTCGAGCCATTGGAGCCGCCTTTTGCCGACGGGATGCTCGCCGAAACGCACGAATTGGATTGACAAAAAGGTCGGACCGTGCTCCTTGACTTTATTCACGATTGCCTGTATAGACTGCTTCGCAGCGTCGACTGTTTCGCTGTCACGGTTCTCCCATACTCCGTTTGTGAGCACGTAGACGTTTATACCTTTGGCCCGTTGTTTTTTAAGAACACGATCCCATGTATTCCTCTGCTTCGTGGCTTTCGTCACCAAATCAGGTAAGATTCTATCCAAATGGTTTTCCATTCGACAAGATCCAATATCGTTGTATGGCTGGTTATCTTTTAGCCATTGCTCTAATCCCTTACAGCCTTTCGTCTTGAGGGGATTGTTCGTGTTGGTACAGTGGAACTCAATGTTATCTGGGTCGATGTCTTGGGCGATTGATGCGAGCGCCATGGTTGTACTTATCACCTTTTCCCAGCAATTCGTCATCGAAGATGAGTTATCGATAATGAAACACTGGTCACGGTCTTTAAGGTCTCTCACTGCTTGACTTAATCCAGGTAGCTTGCTCTCGTCCCTCTTCTTCTTGGACTTCTGTGGCCAGCCCTGTCGTATAACTTCCTCGACAGTGCAGAGTGGGTAGTTACTAGGACGATATTTTCGGGCTGGTCTTGAAGCGTCATTGTTATTTTCATGATTTGTGATCATGTGTTGTGTGCTAGTTAACATTGAAGCAGGAGGTATGGTTGGATAAGATACGGGAGGGCTGCGTGGCGAGTAGCTCTGCCCGCCTGCTGCATTTGGAGACCAATTTCGTGATAGACGAAGGTCAGTTTCGTATGTGCTACCTGGAGATGTCATAGGGCTCTGGTAGGAAGAAATATGTGAAGATCCCTGAAGCTCAACCGCGGATGTACGCGATGGCGTTAGGGGTAACCTATGTCTTGAATTGGGTGTTGTCGGACTGCTGATTAGCGGTGGCGGCGATGCCATCAGTTGCGGTGAATCTGATAAGATATTAGGAATAGAGGTCGTCGCAGAGACCGACGGTGTGATCTTGTCAAGTCGGTCTATCAAATATAACTTCAGCTGACGCGCGTAGAGGCGCTTACCCGGATTTGGTTGGAGCATATGATCCAGGAAAAACTGCATCAGTTCCCTTGATAGGGAGGCAACAGGTGTGCCCAAACTCGACAGCTCTTCAACCTTTGCCTTGACAATCGGCAACAACACCTTCCCGTCGTGGAAGGCGCCACGATACCCAGCAGCTGCAATTCGGGGGGTTTGTTTCGTTGCTTCAATCCTGGCCTCGCGAAATTCTATGCGCCCGCGCTCAAACGTTGCCATCCAGAGAGCTAGCTCGTATAGAACACACCCAAATGACCAGATGTCACTGTGCCAACTAGTTGTGCGAGATATGTTCTGATCCCTTTCCGTCCAAGCCGGAATTTCGGGGGATGAGTATATTCTGGAGCCCTGGTTGTCCGGGCCTTCGGCCTCGCCTCTGGCTGAGGGGTCAGATGTGCTAGACATGCCAAAATCTCCTAATTTGAAGAGGAGTCCGTCGGGTTTTCCAGGTTGGATGTCTTTGAAGACGAAGATATTTGCCGGCTTGATGTCCTGATGGATGACGAGGCTGTTTCCTCCCTTACTATGAAGGAAGTCTAACCCCTCCAACAAATGTAGCGCAGCCGCCCAGAGAACACGAGCTTCTTCTTCTGTTCGAGGAAGGTACCAACAGTCTTGGAAAAGATCTAAAAGTGTCCCTTCACTACAGTATTCTAACAGGAGGACGCACTTATCTCCTTGGAGGAACGCGCCATAATATCGGAGGAAATGCGCATCGCGGTCATCTGGGCTATCATGCATATTGTTGCTGATGTACGTATACACAGTGTGCTCTTGCTTGAATTGGCCCTCCAGCTCGTCGACTGGATACTCTTTAAGGATGATTGGATGCTAGAAACACTCCAAAGTCAGATACAGTCTTGTACAAGAAGGGTGACAATCGCATACGTCGACAGGTAGACCGCTAGACTCGTGCGGTAGAACTTTGTAAATCTTCGCAGAGTTGAAAGACTCTGGGTGTAATTGCTCATCAACGGTGATCGGTCGGATTTGTCGAACGTCGACACCATTTGTCACTCGCTCTATTTGAGTTCCGTCATGGGAACGAAGCTGGAGGGGGACAAATCGCCATTGTTCTTCGGAGAACTGCCGCCATGCATGTAATCCATCGGGGCTGCTGGGGAAAGGACAAGACTTCGTGTCATATGGAGATTGTTCTCCTGGCTTTTGAGGTGGCGCCAATGGCAATTGGGAATCGTTGAAATTAGCGGAGATGAAGTAAAGGATATAGTCAATCCAGTTATGATGCCGTTCCGAGATCCAGACAAGAATAGAGAATACTTGAAGATGCGTCGTGCTTATGGTGTGTATATTGACCTGCTTGTCATTAGGGCCGAGAAGGCGGAGGATCTTGTCGCCATCCCAGTACTCTGTGAGCTTTTCACGCGATATGTAGGAGCTCTCTTCGTCCCTACCGTTCTTACCTAAAAGACTGTTCTCCTTGACGTATCCTGCGAACGGTAGAGAGCGTCGCGACAGTCTGTCTGGGGTCTCCATCGGCACTTTGAGTCGCCACTCGAAGAAGAGTGGCAGTACGGAAGACGACTTCGAATGTTAATGGAAAACTGACTGTATCCTCAGGCATTCAGGGTAAAATCCAATGAAACATAAGACAGACTCCTCTGTTACGCCGCGTGGGAAACGTAGACTAGAAAAGCAGTGAAATGATCCTGTATCAGAGTTGGCGAAGCTTGTAATATACGGAAACAGTAAATGCGCACTTAAGTAGATGAATCGTTACCGATAAGAGCTCAGAGAAGAACGCCTTGTATGTATTGGAATGGGGCTTGGGGCTTGGAGGCATGTGTATTTACCTGTTAGCCTCCCTCACCCTCTCCGTCTGACTCAACTGCTAGGCCAGTTTGCGCCTCTTCTGCATGTCGCATGGTGGTGGATGGGCGGCGCGACCCAGAGTTCGCCCAATAACTGCGCTGCAAGTCTCCTGCAGCCAGGAGGCAGATTTCTGCCTACACACGAACAATCGATCGATGCGGCTGGACCAGGGGTAAGCAGGCCCTTGCCGCCTCGCGCTGCGCTCTGAGTATCCTAGCAGGCTGTATTTTCAGAAACATGTGCATGACATGGAGGTTCTAGTCTACTTAAATCTCGCTGAAACTCGTACAGGTTCGCTCATTCTAGCTATCAGCGTGTAAAATCTATCATGATACCCCAAGATCCGTACCAGCGGACCTGGCTATGCAGAATGGCTGCCAACCAGGGCCTCCTTGTCTTCCTGTTTCCTTATGCGCCTCATCGCTCTATACTGATCCATGACCCGGGGTAGCAACGAGGTCTTGCCCCACCATAGAAGCACCGTTGCAAGAGTTAACCCTAGACTGATCTCGAGGAACAGAAAGAAATACTTGGGCCGAAAGTCTGGGGATACCGCCGGTGCATCCCCATCCGATGGTTGCGGCCATTGATAGAAGCCGGCGCCGAGGAATGTCTGGTCATTAGTCGTCAGACGTAAGCTGAAAAAACCCCAGAGCGTCGGCAGCGCATATCTTACGGCAACGAACGTTCCTGGCAGGAACACCAGCGTCACGAACGTGATAAAGTGCATTGATGATGTGTCCTTCTTGGTTCGAATTGTTAACTCGTGCATGTCTTCAGTCATTTCTTCCACTCTTTTAGAAGCACGTCGGTTTAACTCGATGTTGCGCAATTGGGTGATCGCATCAAACTGATGATGAGTCCTTAGCAGGTCAAACAGAAGAAGGGCACGGTTCAACTCACTATAGCTTTTCCGTCCTCCAGGAGAACTATGAGGGTAGAGATGCGTGTTCTTTCTGTGCTCATCTCCCGTATGATGCGGTTTGTTCTCTGAAAGAAGTGGCTCATATCTAAGCGACAACCTCTCTTTATCTGCTCAGGTGTTTCTGAATCTTCAATCCAGCTTTTATAGTAATCAACTATTTCGCGAAGAATATCAATGTTTAGTCTTAGAATCATGTCTGCCTCTTGAAGCGTAGTGCTGAAAGAGTGGAGGCGCTGGAGATCCTCAAACTTGAAATCATCGAATATCTCGATGGGGTCTTCTTCAACCTCTACTGGTTCATCAATCATACGCGTAGATTGTACTGTCGCCTTCTTCCCTGTTAAAATGGACTGTACGCGAGATGAAAGATCGACGAGTGGGATAGAATTACTTCTTGCCATCGTGTTCCTTCTAGAAGTTACGCGAGACGACTTGCCACTGACCATTGTCCCTCTCCTACTTTGAACTCGAAAAGAGGCCTGTCGTGAATTAGGACCTAGCGCTTGAGGAGGTTTGGAGAGGTCATCCATGAGACACTTTTCGACTTTTCCGATTGGGGCCATCTTGACTTTGGTCAGCACATTCTTCACTCGGCACTCCCAGTAACCCAGATACTGCGACCAATTCTCACCGCACCATTCAATCATGATGAGATGTGTAAGAAGAGTAGCCGAAAACGAGCCTTCCACAGTCTGTATGGCCGTAGCCTGCAACCGCTCAGCATAAGCCGTCGCCCTTGTGATGCGGTCCTGTAGAAGTCTATTCGTCTTGATGTGAATCCAAGTAGCCCTTCCAGAGTCTATATCAAACGAATGGTATATACCAGCTTGACGAACGTTCCATTCGTGGGTGGAGATTTGTCGTTTGCTGGCTTTCTCGGCAGACCAGAGGTTATAACAAAGGCGAATTTCGTGCCCTGAGCGACCTAGCTGTGGAATATCAAAACGCCGAAGATTTAGGCCTGTGAAATTCTCGTAGCGAAAAACGCAACGATGGAACGCCGTTGGAATGCTGCGTCCGGCGACAGTTCCGAAAGAGAGAACAATGTCCAAAAATTGAGGCATCACTTGGTGGAAAGTGAAGAGTAGCGTGACCATCTCTCGTGAACAATTAAGCGGTTGCCAAGAATTATCCGCATCGATGAAGCTGGACAATCTCTTTGTGAGTTAATCGAACTCGAGGTAGTGGTGGAAACTCCGACTTACACATGTCGACATTGCGGATCATGATGGGGACTCTTCAACAAATACGCTCTGGTAGATTCCGTAGAGTCACAATCATACGGTGACGGGAAGAACTCTAAGGGGGTACTTAGTTAACTGTACAGATATATAAAACGACATATGAACGATGTAATGTACCATTCTGCCCATCGAAACAATCCCAGAATTGAATATCCCAATCATCAGTGCTCTTTGAAAAGACCCGCGACTCTCTTTCGTCAAGCTGTTCTAAATATTGTTGCAAGGAGTGTGGTAAAAGCTGGGTATGCTGAAGTCTCGCGGGGTAATGACTTGCGGGGTCGTCGCAGGCCTGGATTAGATGGTCGATGCGGTCGTCTGCCATGATACCAATTGGACGAATCTATTGCAGCGCGCATTGAGTGATGATCGATCCGGACATTACATTATTCGCCGAATAAACCTCGGTACGCCAACCTTCTTAAAGACATGAGCAACGCGTGAGTATGCCTCAGGGGCGTTTTCCATCGGGGCGGTGCGCGGCTTACCCCGATCTGCCCCCGTACTTTGTAACATCATCACAAGCCTCCTTAAAGGTGCTGAATGGGGTCGGGAAAAGTAAAGGGCATGCAAGACCTATCAGATTGCAATTTCGTGTTTGATTGCACAGCGCAGCTACGGACGCCCTAGTGGAATGAGACAGTTTTTACAGATAAAGCTCAGCCCAGGCCACGTTCTCAACCTTGCAACAATTCGTTCATCCCTAGACTCCACTACTGAGTACCGTCCTTCTTCTTCTTTTTCTTCTTCTTGTTCGGATCAACACGAAGCGAATTGATTATATCCAATTCATTCTGCATCAAGCAAAATTAGCTCACGGGACACTGGACAGCCGCAATTTTAGGTCATCTCATCTTACCTGTGCAAGTTCTCTCGGGATCGTTATATTGTAAGACTCCTCTCCGGGCTGTACTTGTAAGGAGGAACTCTAAAAGAGCATGGGAGGGATTCGAGGCTGAAACACAGCGGTAAAAACAATAAGATAATTGAGACCCAAACTTACTTCGACGATGATCACTTGATTAGGAAAGAAGCGCCCCAAGCATCCCTTCAGAGCATCCTCTCGTAGCCAATAGTTGGGGATATTTTGGGTAATCTGACGTGGCATTTCGGCGTCTGATTGTTGCACATCCACAAAATTCGACTTTGGAAATCGCAATTCGCAATCTCGTGATGTTGTCAATGCTGATGAAACTGTGCCGACGAGCTGGTTGCAGCAGCCCTTTACATGAGGCACACAGCCTCCATGACTTGGCCGACACGGCTTATTTGTATCAGTAGATCCCTTCAGGTGGTTCGAGCCTGCAGGCAGAGGAGGGCAGACATTATTGTACATTATAATCATGCCAGCCCTCAATTGGCCAAGTTCACCACATGTAGGCTCCCGACCGGTCAATTGAGCTTCAATCCTCCTAGCCTGCCGCAGCCCTCCATTCGCATTGGGTAGGTTGTGCCCCGACACTAATTCGCCTGGGATCCGCCAGATGTTCACAGTTCATGCCATGGACATTCATTCACCGAGCAGTGCCAATGCCCTCCTTACCTTGACATTTATATGCCTTGCGCTATCTACGCGATTCGCATCATGTTTCTGCACACTTAGATTTCGTGTTAGCATGACCTGGGGCACAATGAGCGCCTCGGCCGCAAACTGGGAGAGCACCTCGCCGAGAACGAGCACTGCCGGTAAGACCGACGTGGCATGTGCCACTGTGCATGCCTTCACCAGATCAGGCGGGGTGATTAACAATGGAGGCTCTGCTCGCTGCAGATGAGCACGATTAGCACTGGACTCGCCATGGATTGGCTCTCTTGGGGTTCAGATGAAGCCCCCGAGACCCCTGCCTGATAACGTAGCACTGATGATCCTCCTCTAGTCCCTGTTAACAATTGTTAACAACTGCTAATACGTTAGGTGGTAGCCTTACCTGCGTTCTCTTCGCGTACGCGTATTCGTAGCCTTCTTTATAGCTACCCCATAGGGCCCGTATAGTAGGCTATATAATTAGCTGTAGCCTTCGCTAACCTAATAGACTTGTTAGCAAACGCAGCCAATTGGCTAGGGCGTCTAGGGTGGCGTATGCGTACGAAGATTGGAGTTGTTGAAGTTGGTGAAGTGTGTGGAGTTGAAGTTTGTATGGCTAGGTCTGTACGGCTAAGTTTATATGTAGTGATTAGGTACGCATTATATTATTTCTAGAAGTACTTTTCTATATAAAATTCTATGGCAGAGTACTTAGATTAGCGTACAAGGCTTGTTGGGTTAACAAGCCTATACAAGCCTCGTAACCCGGTAACCATGTAGGGAGCAGACATGCTCCTTGCTACACCTGTTCAACAACTTGGAGTTTAAGGGGCACGAAGACGATCCATGCAGAGAGCGAAAGCTGGCACGACACTTGTGATGTCGTGTGACCAAATCAGTTTCCTCTTACCACGAAGCCATCATGAGGTCCTATTAAAGAGACCTACTGTATATACCCTTAGATTTGGGATGAAGAGCCTAGATTATGACGCTGCGGTTATAATCCATCCCTTCGTCGCCTTTACCTACTTGGCCCATCTGGCCGTTGCCTCAAAACTTCCGGAAGAAAAAGATCATTTACGCTTTTATCAACGTGATACACACGAACATGCCTGTGTAAGCTTCGTTAGTGCTGTGTTATGTTCTGGGAGCTTGGTCTCTCTCCTTGAAGCCCCAACCACCTTCGCCACGCGGGCAGCCTCTAACTGGGCAGTAATAATGTGGATTGGGACTCGGTATACTCGCTACAGATTGAGTAACTTTTAGATGGGATTTTGAACGGCTCTTTCGTTTTTCTTCAAACTTTGCAATATGAGCAGCTTCGTCTTTTTAAGCTATTACTTTAGTAAGCCCTGTTAATTTTTCGATTTTAGCCTAGTTACGTAAATTCTTAATGTGCATTTTTACACTATAATATGAGCATGGCCTGTAGACTTGCGAGCTACTTTACTGCGTAGACCCTGCACTGCAACCTGGGGGTGCAGATAAGCAGATCTACCTCATAGGAGAAGGTTGCTCATCGTCGCGAATGAGGCTATTCTGAGATGAGTGCTTTGTAGTGGTCCGGGGCGCATAACACACTACCTCCGTAGCTGCAGATTGGCTCTTGTAAATTATAGCTCAGGTTGATATCGACAATCAGTTCTTGCTGTACACTAATATGCTTGTAGTCGTAGGAAGCAGGGACGCAGTTGGGAGACTACATGACGATAGTCGAAGACCGCATGGCAACTCTTGAGGTCGCCTTAGCTGCGCTAGGTCTGCGCGTCAGAGCTAAGTAAGAGCCAGTTACCGACATGATGAATGAAGAACTAATAGTGAGTTAGCGACAAGAGTGCATTGTCTCGATTGATGAATTCTCGTGCGACCGGAGACCAACAACCCCTCATGCCTCTATGTATACACGTCTATGAACTTCGATTTCCAACATATGACTATTACCTTGTACGATGAAATTGTTGTAGCTTTCTATACTGCAATCACCAGTTCAAGTAAAGTAGAAGAGCAAAACGATTTGAGGCTTTATGGCAGGCATCAGAGGCCGCGGTTCATGCGACGGGGAATGTCATGCTCATCCGCGAACCCTGACCTGAACCCTGGTATGGATGTGGGCTAGTCGTCGACAGCTGTTGTCGCTCTATCTGCACCTGCCGAAGCCCATATCGATAACGCGGTCCAAATACAGTAAGTAGGTAAGTACACAGAGGTGGGTAGATACTGACGCGCTTGCTTTGCGGTCCCCCGCGCTTTGGGGCTGTCTATGTACCTACCTAGGTACTCTGAGTCGCGTACCGGTGCGAACTGCACCTACCCATACTAGGCAGTAGATTTTATAGACTTCGTGATCCAGCAAACAAACAATACCTCAAAGCTGTAGGTAGTCTGTGTCGCATTCACTGCAGCGCATTTACATCTGCGTCTTTGATTCTACCTGCGCCCTGTCCCGGCCGTCGATGAATGAAACCTGTCGCGGATCTGTGATGCATGGCCCTTGGTAGTGGCATGTGCTTTCCAACGCCGCTTCTTGGATGAACGGGTTGCTTGTCGCATTCTGAACCCTGTCTCGTCGCGTCCCTCCCGAGGTCAGCGACCGCCACCATCACCACCATCACCACCAGGAACCTAACGAGAACCCCGTTTAGCCTGAGCAACGCCCGTGGCAGTCCGCCATCATGGGGAAACTCGTGCGTCTCGAGCTGTTCAGTACGTCGTTGCGCTCAAATCTGTCCGCGCACGCTAGCTAGTATTGCGACTGACACGAATTGCTAGACTTCAAGTCCTACAAGGGCCACCATACCCTCTTATTTGGCGACTCGTACTTCACTTCCATCATCGGTCCCAATGGCTCTGGAAAGTCTAATTCGTGCGTGCTTTGATCCGAATCCTATCCCTATACCACCTTTCCACTTGAAGGCATTCTCATCTTGACGGCCTTCGCTAACGACCAACACTTATTTAGCATGGACGCTATCTCCTTCGTCCTCGGTATCAAATCATCACATCTTAGATCCGCCCACTTGAAAGACCTGGTGTATCGTGGCCGAGTCCTTAAGACATCCAAGATCAACGATGACGGATCGGCTGTCGATGTCGTCGCGAATGGTCAGACTAATGGTCATATAAACGGAGATGACGACGATAAACCCAATCGAGGTGACCCCAAGACCGCATGGGTCATGGCCGTCTACGAAGATGATGTAGGAGACGAGCAGCGATGGAAGCGTACCATCACAAATCAGGGCTCAAGCGAGTATCGCATCAATGATCGCGTCGTCACCGCCCAGCAGTACAATGAGGCCCTTGAAGCCGAAAACATCTTGATCAAGGCCCGAAATTTTCTTGTCTTCCAGGGCGATGTCGAGGCAATTGCCTCTCAATCACCTCAAGACCTTACCCGCCTGATCGAGCAGATTTCTGGCAGCCTGGAATACAAGGCCGAGTATGAAAGACTGCAGAGCGAGGCCGATCAATCGGCTGAAAACTCTGCGTTTCAGCTCCAGAGGCGTCGCGGCATTAACTCTGAGATTAGACAATACCAAGAGCAGAAAAAGGAAGCACTTAGCTTTCAAGAGAAGACCAACGAGCGAGATACTGCTATCGTTACCCATGTGCTTTGGAAACTGTACAACTTTCAGCGCGTCATGGACGAATCAAGTGCCAAAATACAGGAGCACCAGGAAAATCTAAAAGAATTCCGCCGTAATGTCGAATCTTTCGAAAGAAAGCTCGAAGATGCCCGAAAAGAGCAGGTCAACGCCGCCAAAGAAGTCCACAAAGTTGAGCGCCAGATAAAAAAACAAGAAAAGGATCTTGAAGAGAAAGAAAATAATCTTGTTCCCATTGACGAGAAAGTACAACAAACTACTAGTCAGGCGGATGCCGTCCGCAAGCGCATTGAGTCGGTACAGAAAGAGCGCGACGAGCAAGCAAAACTGATCACCAAGATCGAGAAGGACTTGGGGACGGTTCAAAAGGCACAGAAACTTTTCGAGGACGAGTGGAAAGAGACAATGCAGAAACAAGGCAAAGAGCTAAGTGATTCTGATCGAAAAGAATACAACTCTTTGAGAGCACAGGCGATGTCTAAGTCCTCTGAAAATCAAGCCAAACTGCAAAATCTCAATCGTCAGTTGAAGACGGATGAAGTTACGGTCAATAGTCTTCGAGGCAAGGTTGATGCCTATCAAGCAGCGGCCGAGAAACTTGAGGCTGAACTAGCGACGATCCAAGAGCGAAGAGATGCCACACAAGCCGCAGTTAAGGAATTTTCAGCAAATATCGACGCGAAAAAGAAGGAGTTTCATGCCATACAGTCAGAAAAGCGTCGGACCGCTCAAAGACGGGATGAGCTCCACGAAAAAAGGGTTGCCTTGTTGAAGCAACTAGAAAATGCGGACGATGGAAGACGGCGAAGTGATAAAGAAAGGAGGACGAGGGAGATGATTGCTTCTCTTAAGCGCCTATTTCCTGGTGTCAAAGGACAAGTCGGCGACCTCTGTAAGCCAAAGCAGAAAAAGTTTGATGAAGCCGTTATTACAGCACTCGGACGGGACTTTGACTCGGTCATTGTCGATAGTGAAAAAACCGGTATTGCCTGCGTTGAACATCTGAAAGAAAAGAGGTTTCCACCTATGACCTTCATCCCTCTCGACAATATCAAGGTTAATGCTGTGAATACTGCTGTGAAGGGTATCTCCGGTGCGCGACTGACAATTGATACGATCGACTTCGACCCATCTCTCGAGCGCGCAATGTCTTACGCGTGCGGCAGTTCCATCGTCTGCGACGACTTGGATATTGCCAAGCACATTGCCTTCGAACGTCGTATACGCGTCAAAGCGGTAACACTAGATGGCACAGTCATCCATAAGGCTGGATTAATGACCGGTGGTCATGGTCCTGACCACAAGGGGGGTAAACGTCGGTTTGAAGATGCTGATGTTCAAAGCTTGGAGAGAGCGATAGAAAAAAATCAGCAAGAGTTAGATGCACTCCCACGAAGTGACCGTCGCAACACAGCCGAAGAAACGGTGCGCAACGAACTTGCAGAATTAGAGCAGCGGCTGCAATATTCCAAAAACGAGTTGGCACACTTTGAACAGAACCTGTCTGATAAAAAGAAGGAACTCGACCATGTAAAACGACAACTTAAGGAGTGGCAACCTAAATTCAAAGAAGAGGATAATAAGTTGCAGAAGACTCGTTCCTCCGTTGAAAAATTCAAGGCAGCAATCGCACAGGTTGAAGATAAGGTCTTTGCCGACTTTTGCAAACGACTGGGCTACTCAGATATACGGGCGTACGAGGCGCAACAAGGTAGTTGGGAAGCCGAAGCCGCTGAAAAACGCAGTCAATTCGATCTCCAAAGATCTCGCTTGGAAAGTAATAAGAGTTGGGAAGTATCCAGGCATAGCGAGACAGAGGGCAGGCTTCGTACCCTAGACGATCGCCTGAAGAGACTCTCCCAGGACATCAAGGCATATAAAAAAGAAAAGGCACAAATTGAAGAGGCCATGGGAGGCGACAAGGATAGCCTCGCAGCTCTTGAGAAGCAACTAGAGCAGCTGAAAGAGGAACTTGAAACACAGAACGAAAAGGTAAACAGCGCTAAAGCTGATGTGCAGAAGAGAAGTAAAGATATCGAGAGCAGGTTGAAGGCAATCACAGCTTTAGAAACAGAACTTCAGAAAAACAGCGCTGGCAAGTTTGCTCTCTTAAGAAGGTGTCGCTTGGAACAGGTCGATATCCCCCTCACTGCGGGTTCTTTAGATAACCTGCCCAACGAGGATAACCTTCTACACCAGGATCCCGATGCTATGGATGTAGATGAGGGCGACGATGCCGAATTGATGGAGGACGCACTGAATGACTATGGCATCGAGATTAATTATGACGACTTGGATGACGAGCTGAAAAATGTGAGTTATTAAGACTGGTTGGTACATTCTATCAGATACTAATGTCCTGAATAGCCCGATGCGGAGCACGTAGAAGACCAGCTGCAGGAAAAGATCTCGTCTCTCACAGCGGAACTAGAAAAGCTGAATCCGAACATGAGAGCTATGGAGCGCTTGGAAGTCGTCGAGGCCAGACTCAAGGCGACAGAAAACGACTTCGAAGAGTCAAAGGCACAGCATAGGGCTGCGAAGGAAGCGTTCGACGAGGTTAAAGCGAAGCGTTTCGAACTGTTTGACAAGGCCTTCACGCATATCCGTGAACAAATCTCACAAGTATACAAAGACTTGACTCGCTCAGACCAGTACCCACTCGGTGGTCAAGCTTACCTCGATATTGAAGAAGACACAGACAAACCATATCTTTCAGGCATCAAATACCACGCAATGCCACCACTGAAGCGTTTCCGTGATATGGAGCACTTATCTGGTGGCGAAAAGACGATGGCGGCTCTGGCCTTGCTTTTCGCCATCCACAGCTATCAGCCAAGCCCTTTCTTCGTTCTCGACGAAGTCGATGCCGCCCTGGATAATGCCAATGTCGAAAAGATCAAGAATTACATCAGGAACCACGCAGGTCCCGGAATGCAGTTTGTTGTCATCAGTCTCAAGGCCGGCCTGTTCCAGGATAGCGAGAGTCTAGTAGGCGTCTACAGAGATCAAGAGGTCAACAGTTCAAAGACATTGACTTTAGATGTGAGTTTCTCCTTCCCCGTACCAACCACCCCGATTTATTTCCTGTACCTTTTCCCCTTCTTTATAATTCTATATACTCTCTTGAAGTTAGCTACTAACATCCTAATAGTTACGGAAATACGTCTAGAACAACATCACGGGTTCATCTTTTTAGAAAACATTCACAATTCGCGGGTGTACGTCACGTAAGAGACACGATACTATGCACGGGGTTCTAGGAGGATGAGGAGGTCCTTTTGCAATTTGGTTTTCTGCCCCATTACAAATTCTTGTTCACTGCTGCGATGCCGACCATGATAACTGAAGTTTTATTTTTGCGATTTCAAGTCTCACTAGTAGGTAGCCTATATGTATGTTGGCTTCTCTGCGGCTCTAGCACGCTCTTTCTTAAGGAGCGAATGACTAGCAGCGGCAGCATAGCATGGTGCTTGGAGACAGCACTTGTATGCTGCAAGAAGTAGGCTCAGGTTCAGTGTTGTACAATATTTTATAGAAAACACAGGCTTAACCAACAAAATCCAAGTTGAACAAATAATTCAATACTGATTCAATACACTTCATTGAAATTCATCGCGCGCCAACTATTTCACAAAAAAAAATTATTTGTTTGTCAAGGAATTCCATTGGCGGTTTCCCCTCCGATTCAAATCGCTATTCAAGTAAAGATATTCACCCCCTAGTCCTGCCCAACTAAGGCTTTCCCCTTATTTTTATAAAAGCTTCCCCTCCCCCTACCTGCCCTGATGCGCCCGGTCTATTGTAATTGAACGCCCTCGTTCGTTTCCATATTTGTATGTAGTATGCAGATGCTCTATGGTATCAGTTAAATAAAAAGGAATCAAGGGGAGATAGAACTTTTCTGTGGAGAAGCGAGGGAAAACAAGACAGATAATATCACGCCAGAATTACACCAGCCGAACCACGACCATGCCGTGCCATTACCAACTCAGACATATCAGCTTGCCCTTGCCCACACTCTACTAAGTGTGCTTCGTGATTGCAAAACTTCAAGTAAAATTCTAGCAGAGGATGAACTGGCGTCGAACCCACACTCATACGTCTTCAAAAGCGACATCCTCATCATCGCTATCGGCTTCATCAGCAGGTTCTTCCACCTTAACTTTCTTGGGTGGCCTCTCTTCTGACGCCGGGGTGTCAGCAACGCTGGTTGTGGCGCTGGACGCTAGGCGCTTCTCGCCAGTCCCGGTGTTGTTCACGATGTCTTCGAACTCCTCTTCATCATCCTGGTCGTCCTCCTCGTCTGACTCGTCAGCTTCGGCTTCTTTCCGTCGGGCCTCTTCAGCTTGTTGTCGTGCCAGCATTTCGAATAGATTCGTGACTTCCTCGCTATGCATTGTGTCGTCACCTTGGTCGGTGGGTTTCTTGTCCTCTTCCTCATCGGTCTTGGTGACGGCAGGCTGGTTCGGCCCGCCATACGAGGCGCCAGTGACAGTACTCTGTAAATGCCACTCTGGCAAGGCGTTGGATCGCGCAATCTTCTCTTTGCGTTCCTGTTCGGCCTTCTTTTCTGCCTCGGTGGGGCCTTCCAACTCGGTGATATCGACGGCAATGCTTTGAGGTCCCGTATTCGCCATACCCTTGACAGCGGTGGGCTTCGCAATACTCTCGACAACAATAGATGGCGCCGCTTGGTTGGTAGCATCACGGACTACAGGGCGTGCGGCTGCGTGAGCGGTCTCAAAGGTATTTTCGGGTACCACCATGGCGTCAAGCTTAGGTAACATGTCGGTGATAAATCGAAGCTGGTTGTTGAGCTTCGTGGACTGCTCGTGGCCGCCGGCTTCGCGTTCGGGATCGAAAACAAGAACATCGTCACAACGATGGCAAATAAACCCTTTAATGGGATCTACCTTGTCCAGGACCTCCATCTGCGTCCATTCGGCACGGCATCGACGACAAAAGTACTCCTTCTTCTCGCTGGCGGGCTTCGCGTTGCCCTGGACGGCCTTGTCAAGATGGTAAACGCGCCACTTGATGGCATCAATAGCCTGACGATAATCGATATAGTAGTAAGTTCGGTTCGTGGGGCGCTGCTGGCCTTCTCTCAGCTCAGGCCGCACATGACTATAGGATGTCAGCCGCGTTAGCAGGGTCGAATCTAGCAGAGGAACGAGTCGGGACTGCCATACACTTGCAACAAGCGTTCATCGCGAAGTTTTGCGCAAATGCGGTGGAGGTCTTTCAAGTTCATGCTCATCAGATAGGAGAGATCATCGTCGCGGAGGGCGGAATGAATAACGAGGGCGTCGACAATGAGGACATGTCTCGTGTCTATGTCGGGGGAGTTCAAGAAAGTGCGCGCAACGGAGCGCACGAGCTGTTGCGCTAGATCCATGCTGACTCGGAAAATGATAGTGCCTGTGATATGTAGGTAATGCGCGAAGAATATCGGCGAAGAATAAGAGTGGGTGGACGCGCACGAGTCGCAGTTGAGGACGAAGGGCGGAACGAGACGTCGGCTGTATTAACGACAGAACGCTTGACACCAAATAGGCCACGAAAAGAGCGCTAGTGTGAACAAGGCCGATCCTAAACTTGAGTTTGAGCTTCAGTTTGAGCCTGGGCTAGATAGAGAACCTAGATATGATCGCGAAGACAATCGTCGATGCGCCGTCCAAAGTCGCCCGAGACGTAAGCAGCGCCAAACCTGCTGCTGCCTATGTAGTAGTTGTCTGGGTGGCATCCATTTGTACAGATGATTCGATCGGGAGTGTGGTCAAGGAGGCGACAGAGGAGATGGAGGTGGCGGCGGTGAGAAGAGGAAATGAGTCCTGTCAGGAAAGGCACAGAGTACAAAGAGGCATTGCTTCAATGGTTGCAAACGCCAATGGGAATGGGAGAATGGCAATGGCAAGCGATGCCAGTCGCAGTGACCAGGACTGGTTCAATAGATTACCCAGGGCCGTGTTCTTTCCGGGGAATGCGTAAATATCAATGTTGGTGTCGGTTCAGGGTCGAATAGAAGCGGGAAAGCCGTGGACGACACCGGATAGAAATGTATCGAGAGAACTTGTTGCGCTGAGATTGAGTTAGATGGGGCCTCGTCAACTACGGTAGGTGTACCTACGTACTGTAAGTAGACATGTACCCACTATGTACCTATACCTACAGTATACTTGGAGTATGCAACTGATACTTAGATAGGTACGTAGTAGTAACCGAACCTAACTCGGCCAGGCTGAATAGAAAGACGTCAAGTCTGGATAGCACTACTTCTCTGGCGAGTCGTAGGGACGAGCACACGTGCATAGGTATTATCATCGTCTCCTTCTTTACGATTGTCCATGGTCGAATATGTCCATACATTATTATTGGAGGCAGGCGCTGTATAACCACTGAGCAAATGAAATAATATAGTCATGCACTGGTCCGAACTGACTGGGGCAAACTGAGCCCGACCCATGATTCTCATGATGACGTACATGAATCTCAACGCTCGCACTTACAACTCAACTCATAAAGGTGTTGTTACCTGCTATTTTCGGGCCTCAGTAGCCTCCCTCGACCTAACTGAATAAACACCTGCCTACTTTCTACTCGTTGATAGATTCATACAACTTGGCAACTATGTTCTTCCCGTGGGCACTCTCAGATCCAGACCCATAACCCAAACCGAGAAGATTCCCTTCTATGAGCCAGCCGATTAGGTAGGTCCAAAAAAAAATAACCGCCAGCCACACCCTCTCGCTTATTTCTCTCGCCGGAAAACCGTAGTCATGTATGTCGTCTGGTCCAAGAAACACACAATTCAGACTTAAGAAAACCGGGAAATGAAAGCGAATAACGTGTATTGGGCCGCAACTATCCTGGATTCAATGTGACAATGGCCAGGGATCTTCCTTTCCCTACTATATTCCTGCTGCCCACGCATTTCGGAGCCGATGAGCTACCAGAAATTGAAAGTCGGATCCCAACATTGACCTACGACATCAATGAGGCCAGGGTTGTTTTAGGAAAGATAACGAAAAGGCCTCGCGCAATCCTAGAACTTAGGTCTCGTAAGCTTCTCACAGATGAAGTCAAGCCCACACTACCAGACCAAACCATGGGCAATATGAGTAGCAGAGATGCTATGAAAACTATATCGAACGAACCACAACGCCCAGCGAAGCGCAGGAAGCTCTCTCCCTCCCCCCAACGCATCCCCGCGTCGGGTGATAGTACTGCGTCGGGCACCGAGGGTAGCTCCGGTGAAGAAGCTAAAAATGGCCACACCGATGATGTGACAATCTCATCTGGTGGTAAAACTAGCCAGGGCAACACCAGGATAGCTTGGGAAGTAGATGATTCGATAGTGCAAGTTGTCCGGCTTGCATGGTTTACCGACAGTCTAGCCAAGGACACGGTTTTACCCGTTGAGGATTACTTAGTATACATGGGCCGAAAGACAGCGGCGCCATGCACCAAGCCAATTGTTAATGCAGAAGACATACTCAAACGCGCGAGGGAGGATGGTACTGGTAGCCAGCCCGTATCACAGGGTTGGTCTAGACATAGACCCGCTTCACAGCATCCGAGAACAACTCACGCGAAACGTCCACATCTCGCGCAGGAATCTACATCAGAGCACGAGAGAACGGCAAGGCTCCCGCCTGTGCCGGACTACTTACGTATGGAATATTCTTGCCAGCGTCCCACCGCCTTCAACAGCCCTAATAACACATTCATCGGGCAACTTAAGAAAGTAAGGACACTCAGGACTTTGGAAGGGGACGAGGTAGGCGTTCGAGCTTACTCCACCAGTATTGCCGCCATAGCAGCATATCCATATCCACTCTCCTCTACCTCCGGTAAGAACCGAGCTCCTTTCCTTATACGTACGAGATTCTGGGTCTGATGCAGTTGACAGAAGTTGCCAGGTTGCCAGGCTGTGGTCTTAAGATCGTAGAACTGTACAGGCAGTGGAAAGAATACGGTGCCCTGGAAGATATTGAAGAGGCCGCCTCAAACTCGAAAATGAAAGTCCTAATGCTGTTCTACGAGATATGGGGCGTCGGAGCGAAAACAGCCAACGATTTCTATAGCCGTGGGTGGCGGGATTTAGACGATATCGTCGAGTTTGGGTGGGACTCTATCACCCGAGTTCAACAGATCGGCGTCAAATACTACGAAGAGTTACAAGAGAAGATTCCTCGCGCCGAAGTTAAGAGTATCGCGGACATAATATTAGAGCACGCCAATAAGATCAAGAAGGGATTCCAGATGGTCATCGTCGGCGGCTACCGACGAGGGAAGGCGGCGAGTGGCGATGTGGACGTTATCCTCAGTCATCCCGACCCTTCTGCCACCGAGTTCTTCGTCAACGAGATCGTGACGAGTCTCGAAAAGACTAAATACGTCACCCACACGCTCACCCTCAGCACCAAGAATAGCGAACGCGGACAGGCTCCTGTCTCCTGGAAAGGTGAAGATCGCAAGGCCGGGAGCGGATTCGATACGTTGGACAAAGCTCTAGTAGTATGGCAGGATCCCAACTGGGACGAAGCCAAAGCCTCGAAGAACCCGAATCCGCACAGAAGGGTTGACATTATCGGTGAGTGGCTTTCCATAGACTTAGTAATCTACTAATCACAAAGGCACTGACGGGTTCATTGTAGTCAGTCCCTGGAGAACAGCAGGCTGCGCCGTAGTAGGTTGGACGGGCGGCACGACGTTCGAGCGAGACCTTAGACGTTACTGTAAGAAGGTAAAGCGGTTGAAATTCGACAGCAGTGGCGTGCGCATGCGCGAAGATGGCGGCGAATGGGTCGATCTCGAGAGTGATGCTGATGGGAACCCGGCTCCGAATATGCTAACAGCTGAGAAAAGGGTCTTTGAAAATCTCGGCTTGACGTGGCGGCCGCCAGAGGAACGATGCACTGGGTAACACCTGGGTACATGAAGTGCTTTTAGTGGTTGCAAATCTTGGGCTAGTCACACGACTCGGAGAGGCCTGACGCCTAGCTTAAACATTACTTCCAGTGGACTCTTCGGGATACATCGCCTACATGCTATTGAATGCGAGGTTGGTACAGCTAGCTTATACTCAGTAGTCGAATGGCAATCAGGATGCTAGTATCTATCTATGTTGACACGGGTATCGTAGGTATTGATTTCGCTCCTCGAACGACACAACGCTCTAAAGGATCGGGCAGGAAAAAGGAAACCCATAAGAGCAGAAGAAATCAGATGGAAAGAATATGGAAATATGAACTGTTTATTCTCATCGCAAAGTGCGTCTACGAGACCTTCTAATTTAAGCGATAGAGCGGCCTCCATCCAAACTACCACCTTGGCCATTCTTCATTATCATCGGCATGTGTTCCACACGGATTTGAGTTGCCTATTAAATTATCCACGATCTGCTACGCAGGGCTAAGTGCTAGAGCCCCTTTTCAGAAGGTGCTCTCTGGCGGCCCCGATACTAAAACACGGCATCTCCAGCCTTTCCCAACACCCCGAGGCTAAGGGTCCCTGGGGATCACCCACAGTTCCACCATTCCCTCACAAATGTGAATCGACAGTCAACTTTGGCTCGTCAGGAGACCTCCCGAGAATCCAAGCAGCCACATCTTCGTAGAACTGCTCCTTTCCAGGATCAGCATGCAACTGGTGCGCGAAGCCCTCGAAGGCCTTGAACTCTGCATCAGGGATCCTGTTTTTGTTCTGCTCGAACCACTCCTTGCTCTTGTCGAAGCTCGTGGCCTTATCCGCCGTGCCGTGCACCATGAACAGCGACTTGACGTTGCTCGATATCACGAGCTTCCCCGTGGACAGCCCGTCCGTGCGGTCGAGCATGTGCGCGAGCCCCTCAAGTGTCCCATAGTCATGCATGAGGTCATCGGCGCGGACTACAATCGCTGAAGTCAGTAATTACTCTTAAGTTTTGGGAGTACTGCATATTCCCGAGACACACTTGTGCCCCTAATATGCAACTATGGCCTCCGGGAGTAACTAGAACAGGAAGAAAATGGACTCCAGTGGTTACATACTGCTCGCTTGCACCTCAGGGTCCCGCGTCACATCCTCGGGTGGGATGGGCCGGTGGAGCTTGAAGTGCGGCACGACGTGCGAGGCCAGGCGGCCGCTGGCGACGAGCAGCCATGAGGGCTGGAGCTCTGGCGCGAAGCCCACGAAGGGCGATTCCAAGATCCAGCCGCGGATCTGCTTGATGAGGTCCTCGTACACGGGTGTCGAGGCCAACGTCAAGACCTGACCGCCGCCCACTATATGCAATCGAGAGACATTAGCAAACTTAGTTTACGGCTTGTCTTCTGTTCTGTCTACGGGAGGATACGACTTACTCGAGTGTCCTAGCACGAAGACCGGGACGTCCGAGGGCAGCTGTGTGCGGATGAAGGCGGCCATGTCTGCGAGCACGCGGGTCGTCGGCCCCGTCTTGCCCTTGTCGCTGTCCTTCTTCACGCTCCGGCCCCAACCCCGCTGGTCCACGCCATAGACGGCTATCCCGCGCTCAGCGAGGTAGGGGAAGAAGGAATAATAGCGGTTGACGTGGTCGCTGAAACCATGGAACATGATCATCTTGGCTTTGATGGGGCCATCAGGCTTGGTTTCTTAAATGTTAACTGGTTGATCTATGCTTATACTTGCATGTATGTATACATGTTGTGTGTACGAGACATAGATAAGATGGGGTACGCGATTTGAAGAAATATGACTTACCAGCCATGTCTTTGTGTACAGTGTCGCATCATCGATACTGAAGGTTCCTTCTGTGATTTGAACCATGCTGGCGGCTGAACAGCGTGTAGTAGTGGGATATGTGTATTTGCAGTATCCCGCCTGTATCCAAAGTATTCGAGTGTGTTCAAAGAATTGCGCTCGGATATGGCCTGTATATACCGAATTGGAATGACGTAGAATTAAAAATGGCTGTGATAGTGCTCGAGCGCAAAAGTCGAACTTACACAGCGAGTTCTTTTAATTATAACAAAGACACTTACGTTCAGTCGTCCCAAACAGCAATAGAAGACGGTGTGAATGATGCTTTCTCCTGCTTGTCTTCTCGATTTCAATTCCCTTCCCTCAACACGGAATGATGCCAATTTAGAACTCGGACAGATGATCGAAGCAATGAAAAGTACCAAGGAGTTTTTTTCGTATATCCTCGAATAAGAGAGAGGTGGAGACCTGCAGATTACGGGATGAGGCTGAGATTCACATGCTGACGAGCAGTAGATGCAACCTGTGTGAGAACCGGTGGGTAGTACTTACTTTAAGCAGGTCCGCCTACCGGGACACGGGGCCAAGACTGCCTAATATGGCTTGAAGAAATGGCAAATTGGATTAGTGTCATCATGTAGACACCGTAATACTGCCTACTAAGGTTAGATCATTTGGCAGTGCATGCCACTTACATGTACGGTAGTAGGCAAATAACATACAGTAAATCTAGGTACCTAGGTCGACTACCTACCGACGGAGGGATATTGAATCCGGACGGACAAACATCGAGTCCGATCAATCATTGGACTATCTATCCACTGCTGTTATTTGGTCTTGGAATAAAGTCCATTTGTTGAAATCCGCTTGGATTCTCGGCAGAGCTAACCCAAGACAAATGAGACTGCCATCATCGATATAATACTGATTTGATATGGCTAATAACTATACATATCTACATATACAATATATATCCCGGTATATGGGAATATATACCTACGTCACGAATAGCAAGAGTTGTACGGCCTACCTGTCAGGATAATCTGTGGAAAACATTTGGTACTTTGAATCACAGACTCATTAGGAGGTGGCAAGTAGACGACCAATAAACCATTGGATTAAGAAGGGAGCAAAAGTGTCTTTCTATCAACATATAAGTGGAGATAATTATCCAAATATCTGTACATATTCGATCGTGACTACACTACACCACAAGAGTGAGTCTCTTATTCACCATAAGAGAAGGAAGTACATAAATGCTGCAAAGCCCCAGTTGCCACTGAATCGCATGCGGCAACTAGTCAACAAATAAAATAAGACGACATAAAGTTGAGTATATGTACATTTATAATATACAGCAGAGATCTACATGTCTTTCTTTCTTTGTTTCTTCACATATACCTCCAGCAGGAAAGCCGCCCTATCGTCTCACAAGTGCATGGCGGCATCCCCCTTAATGCGCTCCTTTCGCCGATGTCATACTCCAATGTCTCCTTTCCATGTGTATATGGTATCATACCTTGCCATACCTGATTCTATCGTATTCTAAACGCCCCAGCCTATTCTTCTTCCCGATCAGGCAAGAAACAAAACGCGTAAAAGATTCTGATGCATGACAGTGCGAGGGAAATCAGCTGAGGGCATCACATTCTCTCCATGGTAATACAAGTGGTTTTTGTAAAAACAATGACAAAGTTTTTGAGGCTGTCCAAAAACCCCCCTTCTACCTCGGCCGCTTTTCACCCTCCTTATCTTCTTCATCGACTTCTTCCTCGTCAAGGGCTTCGAACTCTTCATCGACCGTCTCTGGCTCATGCGGTGGTCGATAAGGTGGTGCTGGGGGGTGTGGATTTTCACCACCTGTCATCTGCCACTCCATGAGCTTACTGAAAGCGCTATCTTTATCAGCACTAAGCTGGGTGTAGGAGCCAGTTTCGGCGACCGAGCCTTCGTTGTTGAGAACAATGATGATGTCGGATCTCTTGATCGTCGACAGGCGGTGGGCGATCGAGATCGTTGTCATGTTGCCACCCATGAGTCGAGCAAGGGCGGCATTGACGGCTACCTCGGACTCGGCATCGAGGGCAGATGTGGCTTCATCAAGGATGAGTATATCAGGGTTCTTGAGGAGAGCACGAGCGATGGCGATGCGCTGCTTCTGTCCTCCGGAAAGTTGCGTGCCTCGGGAACCAACTTCCGTGTCCAGACCCTTTTGAAGCTTGCTAATAAACGTGCAGTTGGCTCGTGAAGCAGCTTGGACAATGGCAGCGCGGTCCGCCCGCGGGTTGCTATATGCAATATTCTCCGCTATCGTGCCAGAAAAAAGGACTGGCTCTTGAGCGACTACGCCGATACACCGACGTAGTTGCTTTGCATTCATCGTAGATATATCCACTCCGTTCACACGGATTGTGCCGCTGTTAACCTCGTAGAAGCGTAACAGAAGCGAAGTTACAGTACTCTTCCCGCCACCCGACGGGCCGACAATGCATACATTGCTACCCCCAGGGATTGAGAAGCTCATATCCTTGAAGATTTGATTGTCGGGGCGCGTAGGATAAGCAAAAGAGACATCTGAAAATTCTATCAGACCCTTGGCGGATCGAACGGGGATGCCACGTGTCGGGGGAATAGCCGGTTTACGATCCTCAAGCTCGAACAGACGAGTCGCGGCTCCAACACCTTTCATGAGTTCTGAAAGGAAACTGGTGACTCCTATAACACTGGTCCCAGCATATACAGCGTACATCATGAAAGTCGTCAGGTCGCCAAGAGTGAGGAACCCTTCTCGAACAAGACTACCCCCGTGCCACAACAGACCGATGACAATCATATTGCCGAGCCATCCATTGAGAGCAAAGAAACGTGCATCCGTTAAGGCCTGCGTTTTGCCGATATTGAAGAGTTTCCTGACCTGTGTATTGTACCGACCGACCTCCTGCGACTCACCCGCAAACGCCTGAACCGTGCGGATACTTTCTAGCCGCTCATTACCAATCTTATTAAGGGCGCCTAGGGCCTTCTGTGACTGCGTCGCTAATCTCCTCGCGACTCGTGAGTAAATCACAGTACCAGCGCCGATGAAAGGGGCCGCGAGGAATATGGTTAATACTAAACTGGGGCTGATCCAAGCCATAGCGATAAAGCTTGCTGTGCAACTGATGATGGACCGTAGGCCATCGGAAACATTTTGCGTAATGCTCTTACCAACGATGGTCGTATCAGCAATAAAACGAGAAGTCAGGTCGCCCACTTTGTTGGCATCAAAGAATTCACCTTCTTGAGCGAGAGTCTTGCGGTACAACAGGGAGCGCAAACGCGAGACAACGCGCTCGCCAATGACTCGAAGGAGTACAATACGACCGAAGTTGGCAGCTGCGCCGATAGTGAAGACTAGAGCCAGAGCTGGAAAGAATTGATATAAAGTGAGACCAAATATTTTAGTTTCTGCTGAATCGCTTGTGGCAAGATCTAATGGCCTGATTAGTACAGAACTATGAGTACCCCTCGCAGGACTTCGAATTGAATCCCTGAATCGACTTACTCATAACCCTTCCAATAGTGAGAGGAACGCTTATAGTAACAGCGGAAGAAATAAGGAGCAGAGCAACAGCACCCAACAATGGCCACGTCTCGCGACGTGCAATCCGAAGCAGCCGCCAGATCTCTTTTAAAGTAGACCATTTCCTAGGTTCGTCCTTCTCCTTACTAAGACGTGCCCGGAGGTTTAACCGTCCTGCCTTGGTGCCCTTTTCAAGAGAAGAGCTGGGCGTGTGTTTCTCAATAGCAACGTGGCTCTCGGGCTGGGAACTTGCGTTAATTGCGCCCTCTGGTATACTAACTACGTCGCTGCTGTTGGCATTACCGGACCTAGACCCCAGAAGTGTCGCACTTTGGGTTCTGTCAATGGTTCTGCTTTGAGAATCCTTCTGGTTTATTGACGTAACAGAAAGTCGCCTTAGAATGGCCCCTCGTCCACGTAGGCCGATGGCGGCTTTGAGCGGTGATGTACTGGCGGGATTAAGTGTATTAGGTGCTGGACGAGTCCTGGTGGTCAAGGGCGAGGTGGAAATTGACCGAGAGTAAGACGGAGTAAAGTTCACGGCAGCATCGGCTCGAGCGAAGGGAGGGGAGAAAGGGGCGTGGTAAGGTTGGAGAGCAGGGCGCACAATGAGGTTTGCGATGGTTGCGCCGCGCTGGGGAAATGGCAGCAGCACCTGCCGAACGGGTGGCGACACCATCTTGGAATTTACAGCGACTGTGTCGTCGTCGTTCGGAAGCTTGTCGCTGTGCGCAGTAGCATCGTCGCTGGAACGACGCTGTCGGAAGAGTCGCCCTCAAAACGTTGCTTGTTGCTTCGTATTCAGCTCCAACACGTGCGAGCGGTTTTCTCACACAAGAAAATTATAGGCCGGAAGGAAGTAGATACTGTGATTAGCAAATGCGGAATGCAATGCCGTCATGGGGACAGTGCACGACGGCTACTGTGTCCACCTCCCTGTAGCGTCGTTCTTCTTTTACGTCTACTACTACGTACTGTAATTAGCTCGGCCGAGGCTCCGACTAGAACTCCGATCACGCCCGGCTTTCCGTTCGCCCTGGTTACAGATAATCCGACAAAAGCTATACAAACCGATTTGCCTGGCGAGCCTGGCCGAGCCTGGGTATGGTAGGTATTATCGATATTATGTGCTGACTGTCCATACTGTATCAGGGAGTAATATCGAATCCAGTACACTACAAAATGAGCTATATCCCCGTTGTCCTCCAAAGCATTCACACTTACAAGATACCTACTCCAGCAAAAGCTATAATAAGTAGCAAGATTAGGATTGCCTCAACCTCGAAAGACAAGTAGAGATAACCTTGGAAGTCTTCTGCTTACCTAGGGTCTACCTACACTACGTATGCCTACCTACCCCACCTTTGAGAGCAAACATGTGCCATTCGGCTCGAAATAAGGTGCAACCTCATAGTTTAGTTGACTGGAACTGTTAAAGTTGCTTGGCTAGAACCGATGAAGCTGGCGGCTACCACCTCACATGGGCTCACAGCTGACACGACCTCGTGGGTTGATGGGTACAGGCAAAAGGGAACAATGTTGCAAGGCACGTATATCATGAAATAGATGATAGGTCGAGACAATGGAGAAGCAAACGGGCACGTAGCAAGATGAATCCTCAATTACCACTCAATTATCACAAGCCCCTTTTGAGAGGAGACACGAAAAAGACGAGGCTGGGCCCTTTGGTGGAAAGCCCATCCCACTTCTCGTCCATCAAGCTAGATAGTCCCATATGAGAGGAACATTACACGGCGACAGTCATTAAACCTCAGTCAACACGGTTCAACTCCAGCTCCAACCTTCCTATGTTAAGGGAAAAGAAACAGACCATAAAAAGCGTCTCATGAGATGTATTGGGTATGTAACGGACTATAAAGGCTTGCGCTGTGGGACCGAACAAGTTTACTTTTGCATCATGAGCTGGACAAACTCGTTGTCTGCGGGTGGTTAGTATAACAGGGACGAAATTGAGGTTTGCTGTGAGGCATGACGTACAATCGATACGGCCATCACCATCCTGGTCGGCCTCGCGAATCATTTCATCAACCTCCTCATCAGTGAGCTTCTCTCCAATCGACGTCATGACGTGACGAAGTTCAGCCGCCGAGATGAAACCGTTGTTGTCGCGGTCGAAAACCTGGTTAAACGTCAGTCGCCAACCGACCCCATCCCCCAGAGGGTATACAGACCTTGAATGCTTCTCGGATCTCCTCCTCAGAGTCGGTGTCCTTCATCTTGCGGGCCATCATGGTCAAGAACTCTATGCACCCAAGCGTCAACCTGCAGCCCACCATCGCATTACGACATATCTATCTTACCAGGGAAGTCGATAGTTCCGTTGTTGTCGGCATCGACCTCGTTGATCATGTCCTGAAGCTCAGACTCGGAGGGGTTCTGGCCTAGTGATCGCATGACGGTGCCGAGCTCCTTTGTTGTGATTTGTCCTGCAATAGAGTACTCAATCAGCGCCAACCGCGCCGACTACTAGACAGCAAGACTGGCGAAGGGGTAGAGAAGAGTAGAAATTCTCGGTGTATACGATCGCTCGAGAAACAAGTTTTGACAAGCGACTAAGGGGGTTGGGACGTCACGCAAGGCTATTCTCACCATCACCATCTTTGTCCTACATGGGGAGGCATCATCATTAGCGGCGAGTCAACTCAGCAGCGAGCTTCAGGAAAGCGACGACGCAGCGCGGATGGGTTACTGAGGGGCGATGCCTACTTACAAATAGGGAGAAGGCCTCCTTGAACTCGGAGACCTGCTCTTCGGTAAGGGAATCGGCCTGGCACAGGGGGGGAGAGGTTAGCATGGTGCAAAGTCTACGAGCGCGGGGCTCTCAAGGTAATGGCGTAAGGCGGGGAACACTGGTGGCTTTCGCAGGGAACTGACCATGATGGAACGCGATGAGAATCTGCGTTTGTGAGCGAGTGTCGAGGGCGCTAGTTATGGGGAATAAAAAGCACGAAGCCAAATGGGTGGTGGGATAGGTGTGGTCTTGTAGGAGGAGTGTGGAAGATAATAGTATCCTCGTTCGATTCCACGAGTCGGCCTTGAAATAAGAATGGGGGGGGGGACTGATGGAATGGGTAGCAGGGCTGACGACGCTATTTTAGAGGCGGTGGGAGGCCACTCAGAAGGCTAAAAGTCCTTGGGTAAGGCAGCCTTAGGTCCTGGGCACCTACCTACCTACCTACTTCGTAGGCACTCCGCCGTAACACCTACCTCCCTAAATGTCAATCTGTAACGTGAGACAAGCAGGGCTTAGATGCCCCTCGCTATTTGACAAGAAACCAATAGAATACGGTAGCTAACATTCAACTTCGTTTATAATACCTAACGAGTATAATAGTACATGGGTATAGATAGAGATAGCTTCGTGTCAAATGGGACGCCTGTTCTGAGTTCTCGGGCAGCGTTATTGTTGAAAAGGAGAATCACAAATTGTCCCTGCACTGCTTCTACGGCTCAGAGGGCTTCCTGTCCAAGATATTTCGTGAACAGCCTTTGCGAATGCCGAGCTACATAGTAAATATTTTGGCATAGTGCAAATTCGGTGATTTGGCAAGATACATACTGATGATTCCACCACCAAATTTGTGTAGGCAGCTCTTGCTTCTGCCTGGTCAAATTCTTGGTAGTATGAGACCCAATTCTATACTCTAGATGGAGGCCGAATTGTTCTATTTACCTAAACCCCCTTAATGTAAGAAAATTATGGCATGAATATCGAAATCTACTTCCTAGATATTATCTTGCTACCTACTGATGATATCGATGACCAGCCCGGCACCTGCCCACATTCAAGTAGGCATCTTCGCGGTAGCATTACTTACCAAGCATGCGACTTTCATGTATACATTTATGAATGTTGTTAGTTTCTTTTTTTTTTTTTTTTTTTCCCTAGAACAATTGGCATGATTTCAGGATCATGTCTATAGTGGATGTTAACAAATACCTGTATTAATACGTAGATATCTAGGGACCTAGGAAGTCAGAGCAAGTCAGAGGCTTCACTACCTAGGTATCTGCAGCACTAGAACCCACACTCGCCCATTTTAGCGCCATCCAACACGCCAACTTGAAGCTACGTCAGCTGTACCTGGCAGCTCGATACAAACCTAAGTACTTACTGCTTCACTCACCTTTCACTGACCAAATTCACCAAGAATCCATGCCGTCGCTTGTATGCTACGATAACTCTGTATCACTGATTCGCGCCGTTTACATGTAACCGCTGCACTGCTACACCGTCTCAAACCCTGCTCGCCGTCTCTTGTCCATTGTCTCTCCGGCTTCGTCTTGTCTCGGTTACTGTTCGTCCTCGCACTGCATAGCAAACATCAGGCACACTATTGACGGCCGTATTGGCCTTCTTCGGCGTCCGCCATGTGGCGAGATCGCACCAACCTGTAAGTAGCCACTGCGACCGAGTTCTGTTGAAATCAATCATGATACAGCTCTCTCTTCCCGTTATGGTACCTGTCATTAACTGCGGGATCTCCTGACAACTAGTTATATATCATATCGACAGTCCTACGCCCACCATCCGGCCAAGAAGACACGGTACGGCCTCGGACCCAGTAGAAATGGCTTTCAAGATTTCGGCTCCGGTAGCGGCATTGGAGGTGCCGGCGCGGGAGGAAGTGGTGCTGAGGACACCCAGGGCTTGCTGTCAGGAGGCGATTACCACGACGATGGGGACACCGTCATTGAGATGGACCTGCTACCACCTCGATGGGCCGACATTAGCGACGAGGTGACAGACCTCCTGGCCGATGTCGCCCGCAAGTCCCAGACCCTTGAACGCCTACACCAAAAGCACGTACTGCCAGGCTTCAACGATGAGGAGGCTAAGCGCGCCGAGGAGGGCGACATCGAGCGCCTGACCCAAAGCATAACGAAGGGCTTCCATGACTGCCACCGCTGTATCCAGCGAATTGAGAAGATGGTCCGCGAGGGCCAGCAGACCGGCACAATGACGAGGGCCGAGGAAGTAATGGCCAAAAATATACAAATCAACCTTGCCAGTCGCGTCCAGGAGGCCAGCGCTGGCTTTCGCAAGAAGCAGAGTGCCTATTTAAAAAGTGCGTTTTCATTTTTATTACCTAAACATGGTCTAGCTTCTCCAGGATGAATCCTCGCTGCGAGCGGCCCAAATGTTTCGCTAGTCATTCCATCTCAAGACGACGTATATGCTAATCTTATGCTCCAACAGAACTGCGCGGCATGTCCAGCTTAGGTGCCGCATCGCCCGGCGGCGACCGCGCCGCGACGCCCCTCGGGGCCCCCAGCGCAACAAGCTATGCCGCGGACCCTTCGCTGCTTGAGTCCGATGCAGACCGATCTTACTCGCAGTCGGCGCTGCAGCAGACGACGGCCCAGCGCCTGCTACATAGCAATGATGCCGTCATCCTGCAGCGCGAGCGCGAAATCGAGGATATCGCACAAGGTATTATTGAGCTGTCGGATCTGTTCCGAGACCTCCAAAACATGGTTATCGACCAGGGCACCATGCTCGACCGTATTGATTACAACGTCGAGCGCATGGCCACGGACGTAAAGGCCGCGGAGAAGGAGCTCGTCGTCGCCTCGGGCTACCAGAAGAGATCCACCAAGCGAAAGCTCATTCTCTTGCTTATACTGCTCATCGCCGGTGTTATAATATTGCTCGCTCTCAAGCCCAAATTCCACAGTGGCAGTAGTGGCAGCAGTGGAGGGGGCAGCAATAGTCAAAATGATGATGGAGCAGCGATAGGGGATGCCCAAATAGGTACAAATGGTGGTGAGGGTTGAGATCAACGGGCAGACTGCTTGACAGCGAATGAGCCATGGCAAGCAGCCCGCGACAAACCGGTGACGTTTCAAATCTTGATTGAGTTGGCATATGTGGCCCATCTGCGCCATAGCCTTGTAGCATTAGAACCTAATGAGAGCGAAGCAGGCCATAGCACGTGCGCTAACGTCTGCGATTGGAACTTTTCTTTGTCCTAGCCTATCTATTCCCATGATGTAGGTATTGATATCTACTTGTACATATTTTGTCTACAAGGGTTGGGTATCGTCTGTCTATATTTATATATACAAGTTCATACAAAGTTGTTATTATACAACATTTATACAGGCTTCATCTTGGGCAGTCCACGCTGCCAGGCTCAGTCATCCATGCCACTTTCATATTCCATCGGCTCCGCCGGTTTGCGACTGCGAAGAGTCGCACCGAGGGGACGTTTTCGAACTATCCTGATTAGATCCTCTATGGGCGGCAGTAGTTTACCGCCCCAGGCGTGGTCAACCAGGGTCTTCATTTCATCCAGTCGAAGAGTATTGCTCGCTCTCATTAAACGCTGCCTAGTGTCCACTGGAGTGCTCGGTCCGTAAATATTTACGAAGCAATTCGTCACGACGAACCGAATTTTCCTGTAATGGAGCCACATGCCTCTATCATTGACAGCGCGTAATAATCGAATCGCTTTAGTGATCTGCGAGCCTTGAGATAGGCGTCGGTGTGACTCAGCGCCCGATCTGGGTTGAAATCCTTGTCCTGGATGAGCGAGGAAGGCATTTTCTATCATTTCAGTTAAACCCTTGCTGTCAAATAGTTCATGTAGAGGGTGATTATGGTGGTTTGTTGGGATATCTTGAGGGATGTAGACCCCTAGGAGATTCTCGACGCCTCCAAGCGGATATCTTATAGCTTCCGGAAGGTCCCAGATATGGACGGGTATAAGTCCAGGCCGGAAGGACATTGAGGTGAGGAACATGTCTACGACCTCGACGGAAAGTCTTGCCAGGTCCTCGATTTGTCCTCGCCGAGCCATGCTAAGCATAATAAGCTTCCAGAGGCTAACAGGCACTGGCACGTCCATAGATTTCAGTTGGCGGAAAATAGAAAGATAGAACACAGAGGGCTGGGAATCAAGACGTTTTTGACCGTGTTTGTAATCCTCAATCAAACTGTCATAAATATGACTTGCTTCCTCAAAGTTGAGAACAATATTCCTTGCCTTCATATGCTCAAGGATTTGCAGCACGCCGTCTTGGCTTCTCCTCTCAAAGCGAAGTCGTAGTACATCATTAGCTACACTCCGAGCTGACTGCTCGAAAGCCACAAGCCTCGAGATCAACAATAGCCTTAGGGTTTGCCAGTCAGATGTATCAGCTGCAGAATCGATCAGTCGGGTTTGAAGATTGAGATCATCAAAAACTTCTGGATGAAGATCGCTTCGTACAAGATCGTCAAGAACTTCATTGTCATTTTGCTTCGCTAGATAGAAAATAAGACGGAAATAATTTGACTCTACAACCGAAATGCCATGTTCTCGAAGTTGAGCGATGCGATTTAAGAGACCTTCGGCGTTTCCCGCTCGGAGAGCAATGGATTGAAGAGATAGAGGCCCTATTTTCTCGACGCCAATAGCCGATACTGTTGAGATTGCAACATCTAGGCTCACCCAAGAACTTGCAAACCACTTAGCCCCAAGCCGATCATTATAGTCCTTGGCAGTGATGCCAAATGTGCGTCCGTGGACGAGATTCATGAATTCTCGAGATAGATCAGATTGCTCATCCTTCGCCACTGCGGGCGTAAACTTCAAAGCTGCATGCTCTTTACGTGTAAATTTGTCATTAGGGTAATAACCTTGCAAGAATCGAAGAAACGGTCGAACTGGTGCTAGAAGCGACGGTTCTTCGCCATGTATAATAAAGATTCTTCGCCATTTCCTAGCCAATTGCGATTCTCCGAGATTGAAAAGGTAAGGGAGCAAAGTTGTATAAAGCTTCTTCTCAGGGCTGGTCTTGTAGAGTGCTAAGAGTGTATCCATTCGGTAGAGTTCCTTGTCGAGAACGAACTCTTTTATAAGATTAGTAAATTCGTCCAAGCCGGGATAGAAATTAGGTATCAGCCGAAGTTGCCATTGGAGAGCTCGTTGATGCTGATGAGTGCGAAGGAGATGTTTCATGACAGTAGTGTATAGATGTGGCCATTTAACTCGATGCAAATGGTACATCCATTCGCTGTAAACCCATACACCCTCCAAAATAGATGAATCATCCGACATGAGAGCCCCGTCTAGCATGACGCGCCAAAACATCTGAGCTAGTGGGCTGTCTACGTCAAACAAAGTCTTGCGACCCCAGAGCGCCTTCCACACGTGAACTACCCCCGCAGGTCCATTAATGCGCATCTGATAGTCGAGGAGGCATGCCCACAGGGCCAGGTCTCCGGAATTCTCAAACTTGTCGACCAATAATGGGCTGCGCCATTGTTTGGCAGGACCCTGGCGAAAGAAGTCGGTTTCGACGGCGAGGCGGTTAGGATCAGCTAGCAGAGCACTCCACTTGCGAAAAGCCTTTGTCTCTTGAATCAGAGAGCTGCTCAGGGGGGTTTGTGAAGGTCGCGAAGCAACAATGATCCTAGCCGGCGCGTGAGAGAAAGACAGTATCTCGGGACGAATCAAATCATAATCCGCTACAGAACTGCGGGGCGATGATACTGAGAAGACTCGCGTGCCACGGTCGGCTCGCACGACGGAATGGCGAGTCTCGTCCGCATGGCGCTGGAAGCTAGGAAGCGAGAGAGAACATCGTGGATGAGGGACGGATCGCTGTGGCTGTATCTGTCGTAATGCTCGGGTCGCCAATCGCATTACTGCGATGCCCGGTTACATACCAGAGGGCGCTTGAGAGAACGCAACTCTAGTTTCCAAGCACCTGCTATGGCAACTATATAGAAATTGTTGCCCATGCGCATTGGTAGGTAGGGAATGGTAGGCCTAAGGTGGGAAAAAAAAAAAAAAAAAAATCAAGGCTACTACTGTAGGGTGGGGAGATCCAGCAGATACCTAGGTACCTACCTACACCTAGCGCCACTGTACCATTCACTATGTACACGCCCTCCTGGCTTACAGACCCAGTGAGACGAATATTCCCATTACACCATCAATGGGACCTTGAACATAGAGTATCGAAATATTCTAGAAAGGAATTCTTGGGGTCTTTTATAAGTAGATTCCCCACGCGCATACTACTCAAGCGCGAAATGCCCAGAATAACCAGGAGTTGTGGGTGAGACGACGGGATACATACACGTCACTGTCTGTGAATTCAAAAGGTTAGCTGTGCTTATTAAATACCCAAACATCATCTTTAAGCGCCGTTTTCCCTTTACAGCAAGTTCCTTATCGTTCGGGTAGATCTGTATAATGTTGTCCTTCGTATGCAATATACTGGTAGAGTACCATATATTGCCCGGGGACACCGACCAGCCAAAACGAAGAGCTTCTTCTATAATGAAAATACTGTAGGTAGTACTGTAGGTATACCGTTTAGTCCGAAAACGATAACTATGCTGCTCCAAAAAAAACCTAGTCGGCGGTCTCAAATTGATAGTCAGTAACTGTCGACAACATATTTACAAGGGCTGCGAAAGTCATCGGCCAACCAATTCCTTCTTGGCTTTGGTAGTTGACTTTGACTCTATATCTAACTAACCTTAGACGCCTAGGTCTTATTGACTCGTTTCATTTTCGATGTTGCATGCATGTCTCCCGAAGAACATGAACAGCCCTTAGCTTAAAGTGCTTGCCTGGGACAATGAATGGTTATTCTGCAAGCTATTCGATTATCTGCGGTAAAGTATATGGTCACAGGCTGTTTCTGAATTGCAGCCCATGGCCATTTCAATAGTGATACCACTTAATGTGTGGTAGTATAATGAGCCGAATAGCTGAAAGTGAGGCTGCTTTCCCTCTTGACGATGCCTTAGCTCCCAAGTGGGGTCCATTTGAGGCTTCTCTTTAGACAGCAACTCCTCCATAAGAGCCATCAAAACGATGAATACCTAGATATTCCAGCAACCTCATCTATGCATTTGTAATGGTCCAGAGAGCTTGCTTCTCTCCTGAATACTCATGTACCTACTGCCTCCTAAATGTATACCTATATGTAGGTACCTACGTGATACCGCCCACTATGACGCGCTAATGAACCCCCAGCAAGTCAAGCTTCAACAACGCTAATCCCGATTAGGCTCAAAGGTACTTAAAGTACTTTGAGCTATTTAGCCGAGGAATAGACGACTAGTCAAACCAGGCTGTCGTCCAATCGAACCATTCCAAAGGACAAGACCAATCAATCTATCAACGCCTGATTCTGGTCCATAGCTCAGTCGTCCAAACCTCCGTCCCCTTCTTCGCATAACCATCAATATACTCGCCGCCAAACTTCACAATGGGGTACGTACGCTATGATTCGGAGGGAAAGAGAGCTTCGCACTACAAATGACGGGCCAATGGCCTGCACGGCATCCTCTAGCCCGGCTCCTCTGCCGCTCTACATCCGAGTATGCTGACGAGCAATGCAACGCAGTATGGTCAACGCCCCGAACAAGGTGCCCCAGTACCAGCGCTTCTACCAGCAAGCCTATAAGCAGCACACCCGACTGTGGCAGATTGTATGTCATCTACCGTCCTCTAGTGATGTTCCTCTGCCGGTGCCGAGCCTCTCCGACTGACTGAATATGACGCAGCACCCCCGAAGCAACATGCTCATGGTTCCCTACCAGGTCCTCCTCTGGGGTACCCTCGGAGGTCTGTTACCAACGACATAGTCATCGTTACGCTCTATTTCTGACAATTGCGTCTAGCTTCCTTGTACATGATGGGCCGCAAGGTCTTGGGCTACAACACTTGGTTCGGCAAGGCATAAGAAGCGAACATCTTGTACATGAGTAAATGGAGGTCATATGATACAAACCGGCACGCACACCCAGGAAGTTTTACTAGGTTCATCAATAGAGTCGTTCACGCAATGTGTTCATATTACCATCGGCTCCCTCTATCTCTTTTGTTCTGTGGCTTGATACCGAACCATCCCTGAAATTCATTACGCCATGACACCACGGGATTAGGGTCGACGGTGATGCTAAACTGAATTCTCATCAATGCGTCTGACTTGTCTACAATACAACCTAAAACACTCCGAAATCTGGTTGTCGCGAATTTGTGGTTGGGTGAGCCTCATCACCGCACCAACCAACTTAGACCAAACAATACATACTTGCAAATATAGTGTGAGATGTGTTCAGGCGCCGGGTGCTTTTTCGTCCTTCCGCAAGCTAACCAGCAACTCGCGGAAGCGGTCCTTGCCCGAGCCACTGGCACCACCCTTCGGTCCCTTGCCGCTCACGTCCGCAAGCTTGGCAATGCGTTCCCAGCTCGTGCCACCGGATGTTGTGTCGTCGCGACCAGCCAGGAATTGCTCCTCGTCTTTACGGGTCTGGGTAATCATCTTGTCCTTCTTGTTATTATAGTTTTCGTAGAATTCGTCAATATTTTCCTGAGCTTCCTTGATCGTCTGGGCCTTTTGGGTAGCAAACTCTTCGGCTCGCTTCGTGTTGGCGGCGTCGCGCTTCTCGCGCCACTGCTTGATGACCTCTGGCTCTTGTTCTTCCTCCACATAGGTACCATAGCCAGAATTATAGCTTACAGAGGGGCCGGTAATGCTGCCCCCGGGACCGACTTGCTGCTGAATCATCAGTGAACAAGCCTTAGCGTGTAGAGTGTACAATAGTATTGAGTTTCGATACATACCTCATTGGAGGTGAGATCGGGGAATTGGCTCTCAAACTGTGCGTTGCTGCCGGTGTTTTCGTCTCCGAGGAGGTCGCCTGATGGGTCGGCTAGAGCAGCGCTTTCGTTACCGGTTGCGAACTGTGTTGCATCATCTCCCAGAAGAGCGCGCTCGCGGGCGAGGAAGTCATCGGCAGATGGTGAGCCAACGTCCTTTATCTCAGTTTGTGCTACACATCGGTTTTGTAAGTATAGGGACCGCGAAATCTGCCGCAATGCCGCCTAGAGCTTACCACCCGAGTCGAAGTCGTCCAAGGACGGGAAGCGGTCGGCCATATCGATATCGGTGTCTGGGACTATGGTGAAATGAGCGTAAAGGGGAAGCGTGGGCGAGAGCTAGTGTTTGTAGGTCGGATTGCGCTGTAAAGAACACCGTTACTTCTCTGAAATGAAGGCAAAGGACTGGCTGGACGGGTCAATATCCTTGATGTTGCGTTTGGCGATGTAAGGTCTACAGTCTAAACACAGTGGAGCTCAGCCACTTGCATAGGTATCTAGGCGTCAGCTAAAGTTACCTACCTAGGTATCTAAGTACCTCGATAGATCCCTGGATGCTTTCCTACTGCACAGAAAGGCAAGTACTTACGCAGGGCTCGGCAGGTACGTTCCCCCTTCCAAGGTTATGAGCTGATTGGGCCAATGTTATCTGGCCTCATAAGCTTCACCTATCATCACGTGCACCCATTAGCCCCTACAACACCACCCTACATAGCTTGTGTTTACATGGTTTCCACATGAGCAACCAACTATCACTGCCAGTAGAGTAGGCAATTACAACAAGGATAATCGTGTTTTCGGCCGCCTGAGTTACGAGACAAGACTCAGGAGTATTTTAAATAGGTCTATTATCGTCGCCACCCATGTTCATCGCACTCCAACACTGACCTCGTCTCTTGGAACCTATGCGGAATTGGGAGGACACGTTAGTTCTGGGGGTATTTTCACAGTAGCTAGAGTCAGCATCGATCAGCCATCTGCTTTCGCACTGCCTTGTTCAGCTTGAATGAGCATTTGCGACTTCACTCGTAGATTGTTGTTGACTTAAAGAATAAACCCTCACCTATCAAACGTCTGAAACAAACACCCAATCGCCGTCGTCGCTCGTCTACATTGACGTCTACGTGGACGAGGATTTGGGTGATCAGCGGCATACACACTGTATCTTGTATCTTGCTTTCAGGAGACAGAAGAAGCGCTTGTTACATTTACGTCGATATTTGACGATCCTTTGCCATGGCGTACAACGATGATGCTGTCCTTGCCAAGCTCTCGTCTCTCTCTGAGACGCAAGACAGTATCGTTAGCGTAGCTCAATGGATTATGTTTTACAGGTATTGCGATCTCCCCTGGCTTCGGCAATCACTGTGGCTTCCAATCATCTGTTTCTGCTGCTTTCGCTATGTGGTGCGCTCTACATACTGACTGTTTGTCACTAGGCGTCACGCAGACCGCACCGCCCAGCTCTGGCTGCAGAAACTGAAAGATTCATCCAGTCACAAACGCCTGAGCCTTATTTACCTCGCAAATGGTAAGCCAAAGCAAAGTCAGGTCCATATGCACGTAACTTTGACTGACATGATCTTGCAGAAGTCGCACAGCAATCCAAAGCCCGTCGCAAGGAAGAATTTCTCGTCTCGTTTTCGCCCGCTATCGCCGAAGCTGTTGCTGTTGCCTACAAGGGCGCACCGCACGACGTCCAGCAACGCATCCGTAGAGTGGTTGACGTTTGGAGAGACCGTGGTGTCTTTGAAGGGCCTATTCAACAAGCCGTCGAAGCCCGAATCCATGGTAAGCAATATCGCAGTCCTGTGGCTCAATGACATTGTGTATTCACCTTAAACAGATCTTGATAAGGCTCGTGGCAGCACCAAGGCCGGACTTGGTGGTTCCATATTCGGTTCAGCTTCCGCATGTCCAGCGGAGTTAACACCTCTTGTTGCGCCACAACAAAATGTCACCAAGGTGGCCTTGAGCACAAAGCCTACGATGACTTCTGCAAACAAAGACTATGATGGTCTCATGGCCCCGGGCAGTACCGTCCCTTCGGCTCCGGTGTACGCTGCCCGACTGAGCGGTCTGCTCAAAACATTAGCCCAAGCAGAGGGCGCAGTAGAGCAATCAGTTAAGGCACGAAGAGAGCTTGTTAACCAGCTCCAAAAGCTTCTAGACGCAAACAGGAATGCCTTGATAGAAGATGAGAACGAACTGGAGAACGTCATGCAAAAGAGACTCAAGGTTGAAGATAAGAAGGAGGAAATAGAGAAGGCTATCATGGCCGGACTTCCAAATGACGAGCCCTATCCAACTGGCAATGCTCAGGAGGAGGAGCCAGCTGTAGAGCTAGATAGACCGGAAGTGGAGGCCTTGACGCCGCTGTCGAACGACGAAGACTTTGAACCAGAACCCAACCCAGCACCCGAGTGGTCGCCTGAATTCCCGCCAGAAGACACGGATTTCAGCCGCGTCGTGCCGACCATGCAGACAACGTCCTCCATAGGCTCGCCGTCTAAGTCTGTCGAGATTTCAGCCAACGGTGCTAAGAAGCGACGCCTAGAAGACACGAGTGATTTTCCCGATCTGGGAGGTGACGGCATCGAGGCTGACGTAGCTGAGATACTGCGCAAGGATAGTAGCAGCAACTAAGTTGACGAAAGGAAAACATTCAAGAAACAATATTGTGGGCTAGGTGCTCATATTCCAAACTACACCTTCCATCGAAATGTACCTTCTGGTCAGTATGACCAAGAGTGGACTTTTTATTTTTTATATTTCTGTACAACTATAGCGTGTTTTGACACAGCAACATGGAGGAGGCAGGTAGGCTAGGGATAGCTACTCAGCACGCTCGGTCGCTGAATAGCTCAAATTCGAAGTACAATTATATAACCTCCGTGAACCGTAACAATACATCTCAGAAATCGTCACCTTGTGTCTTACTTTCGTATGGGTATGAGACTCGCTGCTAGTGTTTTGAAGTTTTCTTTCTCTTTTTCTAATGCATTCCTTGCTCGAGATTCTAATGCCGTATCTGCCTATCAGATGAGATCAAGGGTACAACAAACGCCCAATTCTATTCTGGGCGCATCATTCCCTGTAATTTCCTTCCAGCAAGCCACAAAGGGGAAAATAAGTATGTGCATGTATCGCAAGTTCGGTATCTTACCCTCCAGATCTTGTCTTGTCCGATATACCAAAGGAAAGCTTTAGTCACTCTCCAGGTTGCCACTAAAGCCCCAAATTCCATCATCATTTCGTTCTCTAGGCCGATTCGGCTTGAGCTAATAATCGCGCTCGCCAGCCGTTGCAAACTTCCTCAAATCCACCAACGACGTCCCGACAGACGCCGGCACATTCGCGGTTCTGTAACCTCTCTCCCCAGTTGCCTCTAGCCAGCCACCTTTCGCCTTCTTCTTTGAGCTCCTCTTCGCGTCTCATTTCTGATACCATCTCTTTAGCTGTCCTAAGCCTCCTAGTAGCGGTCGTGGTTGTCTGTCGTGACATGTGTAGAGTGTCGGATAAATAATTCAGTGTCTGCACTAGATCTGATGTAACTGAGTGTAACGCCGCCAACGAGTCGAAGGCCGAGGTGGCGGGCCGCGGCATGTCATTAGATACGCTTGCGAGTATTGGTAGCAAGGCATCGATGGTTTCCGGGTCGGGTGGAGCAACCAGCGGTGAAAGCAAAGGGAAGGTAAGGTTGTGTAGTTGCCTCGTCTGATGTGTTAGATGTGTCGCCATAGCAGAGTGCGCAGTTATCAGTCTGTTATGGAATCAAGTCAGCATGACTCTGGCCTCGCAAATTTGGATAGGAAATTTAGAGTCCGACCTTGTAGTACTGCCCTCGACCCCCGACTGAGAGCCGAGGTCCCTCAAACCATCTGTCACCCGTTTGAACACGCCGTCCGCAGGACTTCCTGTGCTCTCAGTTCCCCTCCGTGCGAGCGACTCAACTGCATCCATCTTCGCAACCAGGCTCGGTGGCATACCAGGCGAATCGAGATCGGACTCTGAGCCATATTCGCTACCATCATAGGCACTCTCCGTCCGGCGATGGCCACGAGTAGTTGGTGAAGGTACGCTCAAACTGCCATTTTTTGTCCTACTAGGCAGGTCTATCTGGCTTGTGACATCGACACCACTGTCCCTCACGCCGTCGAGGGGCTCGCCTTGCTGCTCCTGAGGCTCGTAATCATCACCGTAGTATTCGTCCTCGTCCCCAGATCCTGATAAAGCGTCCGCCAATTCGTCCGCCAAGTTCCCTAGGCCGTTATCTTGACCGCCGGCGCCACTGCCGCCGAGCTCGTGAAATTCAGCCTCGTTCATGCTCTGGCGAAGAGGCGTCAGAGGTTCGTGAAAGGAAGACTTGGACTGGCGGCGGGCGCTGGGGGACGCGTTGGGGCTCATGCTGGCGTAAGTCGCATCAAAATTCGACGAGTGCCGCGAATGACGCGGGGTGTGTGGTGATCGAGACATGGCCTCTTCTTCACTTGATGCTCACTTGATGTTGGAACTGCGAGCCAGCGTGGGGCGGGCGAACAACAATGCCGGATGCGCCAGATGGTGTGTTTGTCACAGTTTGTCTCACTCGGCGCAAACGTCCTTAGATGGATACGCGTTGGGTATCACTTGGTCGCAAGAATGGGCGGGTTGTTAAATTAGCTGGCCAAAGATGAGTGGAGAGGGACCAGTATATGACACTGCTACAGCTATATTGGAGAAGCTAAATACCTACGGTAGTGGGATGGCTGATGAGTTGGCAAGTAAGTGCATGGCCGCTATTCTGGCTGGGCGAAACTCTTTGGAGGCTATTGCAATGCACTGTCCGGATAGCTCTGGATTGTGCAGGGCAGGGATAGGTATGTAGTTCAGGACCAAGTGGTTTTCGATTGTAACGCAGTCTTCACCATTTGACAATGACAACTGTATGCTAGTTGAATGTGTACATAATAGATAGGCACCGATATCATGATGTATCATCAGGAAACCAGGCATGTAAATACATGCTTGCCTACATAATAAGTACCTACATATGTACCTACTCCATACATACATACCTTACATAGGTAAGTACGTACCTAGGTAGGCTCCGTAGGTACTTAAGGTAGGTAGTAACCTACGCAGCTATTACCATTGGTGCCTGCATGTACTGTAGGTAGGTAGTTTCCTACATTATATACCTACCTAGGTAACTACAAGTACCTACCTATCTACCTGGCAGGTACACAGGTGGAGGAGGCCAGAGAATGGACACATGTGGACAAAAAAGGAAAAAAAAAAAGACAAAAAAGAGAGAGGGAGAGAAAGATGTAACTACTCCCCCGCTAAGGTGGCCCATAGCTATCTCTGTGCTAAATGAGTTTCTTATTTCAACACTCTTCATAAGTAGACTTATGTTGAAGTTGCTGTGGCATCCGCCAGCGCCAACATCATGACCTCTTTTCGTGCCTTTACTCCGGCTGATCTCAATCGTTTTGCCAAATGCAATCTCGACCCCCTGACCGAAACCTATGACATAGGGTTTTACCTGCAATACTATGCTAAATGGCCATCACTATTTCAAGTTGCTGTTGACGACAAAGGAAACATACTGGGCTACAGTAGGTCTTCCTTTGCATGTACGACCACCGCATGAGATGATGTCCTCTTAACCTTCCTTGCAGTCATGGGCAAGACCGAGAGTTCGCCTGACTACTTTAAGCATTCTGAGCACTATCTTCCATGGCACGCCCACATCACCGCCCTCACTGTAGCTCCCGAAGCGCGTCGCTTGGGTATTGGCAGGATTCTCACGGAAAAACTCGAGGCCGGTGCTGAGGCTGCCGATGCCTGGTTCGTTGACCTTTTTGTCCGCAAAAGCAACGAGAAAGCAATCAGGTTCTACGAAAACATGGGGTATAGCGTTTACCGCGTCGTCAAGGATTACTATGGTGATAATGTCAACGACCCCACCGCACACGGCGAAGACGCCTACGATATGCGAAAGCCCATGAAACGAGACAAAACACTCAAGCACATTCGGGACGATGGGCGAAATCATGCCGTTGAACCTGACGACGTTTTCTGAGTCTCCCAGGCCTTTCCGTATTGCATTGTATTCCCTTTGCCTAATTCTACATGCCTCCATCAACCGACTGGACAGTGCCAGTCACGTACTTACTATCTGGTCCCAAGAGAAACGCGATCACCGACCCAACCTCTTCAGATGTACCTTGGCGCTCAAAAGCAGCTTCCGGCTCAGGAGGTGTTCCTCGAATGAGTTTTGCTGGGGTGTAATCGTGGAGCTTCCACGCCTTCTCCATCAATGGTGTGAAGATAGCGCCGGGTGCTACCGCGTTCACTCGGACTTCTCGATGGCCGTTTTCTTTGGCGGCGGTCCTTGTCAGACCAATGATACCATGCTTGCTGGCACTGTAGAAGTTATTTGTGAGTAATTGTATTTCATACAAAACAATTTTTGAATGTGCTCGGGACCAAGCAGCGATCACCGCGAGTATCAGCCATGGATATTGTGATACTTTAGATGACTATAGTCTCATCAGGCTTAAAAGATATGGGAAACCACGTACTCATATGCACCGTACTTCGCGAAACCTAAACCGGTAATTAGCTTCATCCGCGAATGACACTTACTTGGGAGTTCAGCACAGTACCTTTGAACCCATGGATGGAAGAGACGTTAACAATAGAGCCTCCGTCGACGATTTTTTGAAGTTCAGCCCTCAGGCAGTACCTGCCATCTGTTACATGCCTTGCACTTCAGGTCGGATATAGTGATTTGACTAACATGGTCCCCGTCAAGTTGACTGCAATAATCTTGTTCCATTCGTCATCATCCAAGTCTTTGATTTCTCTGACACCGTGGTGTTTGCCAATGATGCCAGCAACATTGGCGGCGCCGTCGAGTTTTCCGAACTTCTCTACAATCCCGTTGATCCATGCCTCGACCTCGTCTCTTTTTGATATGTCTACCTTGGTGATGCTGTAAGGGACGTTGAGGGGCTGGAAATAGGCCTCCGCTCGGCTCATGGCGTCCGGGTCGACATCAGCAATGCAGACAGTGCCGCCCCGTTTAGATAGGATTTGAGCAGTCGCGAAACCAATCCCACTGGCACCGCCAGTGACAGCGAAGACCATACCAGCGAGTGCCATTTTGTGAGGTTACGAGGATTTGAGATGCTCTATCGAAACAGGTCCTCTGGGTATGTGAGCTAGCTAATTCGAATTCCTATTCTGAGTATTGCTCTGCCGCCAACGAACAAGTCTGACTCGACACAATGTGAGTAAGGAGAAAGGTGCTAATACAAACCTTAAACCTAAGATATGCTTCTTCCCTGACAATTCCCATCCGTCGTCACCCCGCGAACTCGTTGAACCCCTCTCGCTCGAAACACCTACCTAGTGCAGTTCATAGGAGTACGGCCCGGTAGTGGAGATGGGCTCCCTAAACGAGCGGAAAATGTGCATTGATTGGCGCGGAATAATAGGCGTTTCTGGTCCACAGACTACGGCCATACAAGGCTCGGCCTTTCTCGCCGAGACAAAACGGGAAACCTGTTCCTCTCTTCACATACGGGAGCCATTAACACGTTGCTGTAGGCGAGACAGACCCTTGAGGTTGTAAACACTGGAAGAAGAGGGCGTTACATTTAACGCTGCCTTGATGAAGGAAGTAGATTTGAAGATGGGGGCGATACTATAAGGCCGTATATTGCTCTCGCTATACCATATATAGCTTTCCGAGATACTTATTAGGACGTCTCTTTCTACACTGGCTAACTATCCCCTGACAAGTAGGTAACCCAAACCGTCATCTGGCACCTCGATGGCGTCTAGAACTTGTATGAAGTATGCAACCTGCGTACTCGTAGGCACATCGCGCGTAGCTTAGCACAGCCCCGCTTCCGCCTTATACCTACTTGACTCTAAGGATGAGCCTCGGTTCCTACCAAGCCTTGGAAGATGAAGGTACATTAGGATCTCTGATAATGCTTCAGTAGGCGGGTGATTCGGGCCCTAGCCCTTGAAGAGCACCCGCGAGTCTGCACCGTTCTCATCCCTACATGTAAGTACCCTTACTAGGTAGGTACCATCTGCTGTACAGTAAGATAGAGGTGCCGCCTCGTGCTAGGTACCTACTTATGTAGATATCTTACTACCTATGTATTTACCTGCTCATAACGCAAGTACACCAGTCGGGTAGTCGGGTACCTACAGTACCTACCTACCCTACTGCTAATTATTACCTGATACAGGTTAGTGACGCGGGCAGAAACACGGGGTAGACGAGACCCCGTGCAGACGTTGGGTAGGTGTGATGTCACTTTCAAGGCCGCGTTTGACTCTCGATTAGCTGTCTCGGAGTCTCCCAATGCAACTCTACAAGCTATTCCACTCTCCTCTCCACTACTTCGTAAACCCCAGCTCAGCTTCAGCTCGTGATCGGACTCCGCATTCTCACTTTGAGATTATTGATGGTCTGAGCTGCTCTGGTTTTTCGTCATTGTTAGCATTACTCTATTATATATCATAGCGACCGGGTTTTATGTACTACAAGAATCCTTTATCGTATCTCCGCTGTTTGCGCTCCAATCTTTTCATTTCCTTCAAATACTTGTGGGCGGATGAAAGCTGCTTAGTATCCTCCTGCTACTGGCCATGAAGCTGTGTATATGGCCTGCTATTGCGGCTTTGGCCGTTACCTATGCCAATGCCTCGACTCTGACGCCTCCTGTGCTGCCGCTTATTGTGCGCAATCCTTATCTGAGCATTTGGCTGCCACACGCCCGTGATGCTCCGTGGAAGAACTGGCCCATGTTTTGGAGAGGTGAAACGGTTGGCTTCGCTGTTATGGCCTCTATCCCGCATTCTCGGACCGTATATCCGTTGCTTGGCCGCCCACAAGACTTTCTAGACCACAGCTCGAGGTGCGTACGGCCAGCCCCTCACAGCGACTGTCACATGCGACAACTAACTGGCTGCAGCTACAACATCTCGCTTCCCCAATATGACGGCGCAACTTTTGACGCCTCCACCACTAATCTCACATATACTATACAAGGCACCGACATAAAGATAGTTTTATCGTTCCTATCGCCTATCACCCCTACATCAACATTGCGGCAAGCTTTCCCTGCTAGCTACCTTACTTGTTTCGTTGAAGGCTCTACCGACTTGAGCCTATATCTAGACGTCAACGGAGAATGGGTAAGTGGCGATAGGGGGAGCAAGATTCAATGGGACCTCGAAGAGCCTCGGGTAGGTCATTCGAAAACAAGCCTGAAGACCTGGCGCATCGCGCGGGCCGGGGAACAACTTTTCACCGAAGTTCAAGACCGCGCTGAATGGGGTACGCTGCATGTCTCAGCGCCGAGCAACGTAAAGCATCAATCCGGAGAATCCCGTCGGATACGCAGGGCGTTTGCCGAATCGAGCTCGCTAACGAACGAAGTTGACGATGCATATCGGGGCATTTTCGAGGAAGAACCTATCTTTGCGTTCTCGAAGACATTCAGGTTGAGCAAGAATACGACAACGTCTTCTCCCCTTCGCCATGACAGCATCGTTTTCACTTTCGCCCTCACACAGGACCCAGTGGTCCAGTTTGCCTCTGCCCGAGGGCTGACCTTGATGCGGCCCTTGTGGGCCTCGCATTTCTTTACCGCCGAAGAGATGGTACAGTATCACTACGACGACTATAAGACGGCGATTCATCTTGCACGGAATTATTCAGATCAATTAGCCAGAGATGCCTACGCTTCGGGCTCAAAGGACTATCAGGATATTGCGGCCTTGTCTGCCCGCCAAGTGCTCGGTGCCACACAATTCTCTGGAACTCCCGACTCCCCCATCATATTTCTCAAGGAGATCTCATCGAATGGTAACTTTCAGACCGTTGATGTCATTTTCCCGGCTTTCCCGTTCTTCCTATACACCAACCCACAATGGCTCGCTTACCTCCTAGAGCCTCTCCTCGAGCACCAGCTCAGCGGCCAGTATCCTAACGACTACAGCATGCATGATCTCGGGGCGCATTTTCCCAATGCTACTGGACACAGTGACGGTAAGGATGAGTATATGCCTGTTGAAGAGTGCGGTGACATGTTGATCATGGGTCTCGCATTGGCAAATGCTCTGAAAGACAATACGCAACCTGCATTTACTCTTAACGCACCTCCAGAGACAAAACCTCTTGGATCAGGACCTGAAAAGAGTCCACTAAACATCGATGCATATGGTATGGATCATACAAGAAAGGGTATCGGAGCCATGGGCGAGAAAGCTGCTGCAAAATGGCTACGCCACTCATATAAGCTTTGGAAGAAGTGGACAGGATATCTCGTCAGAGAATCATTGATCCCAGCCAACCAGCTCTGTACGGATGACTTTGCCGGCTGGTTAGCAAATCAAACCAACCTGGCTCTCAAAGGAATCGTTGGGATCAAAGCAATGAGCGGCATCGCGAATCTAGTGGGCGAGGAGGCTGATGCCAAGTATTATAGTAGCGTGGCGGATGATTACATCGAAAAGTGGGAAGGATTTGGCTTATCAAGAGACAAAACTCATGCTAAGTTGGCATACACCTGGTGGGGAAGCTGGACCACATTATATAACCTCTTTGCCGACGCGCTTCTGTGTTTCCACTTACCTGACGATCACTCAACGACACGGAGACAGGGGCAAGGACAAGGACAAGGACAAGGACAAGGCTGGGATTCGCATCAGAGGCCCATCGGCGATGCAGGCGCAGAAATGCTCAAGCCGAAGAAGTTCATCCCTGATGAGGTTTACCAGATGCAGAGTGATTGGTACCACAATGTGCTCCAGCGGTATGGGCTGCCACTCGATAGCCGCCATCTATACACCAAGAGCGACTGGGAATTCTTTGCGGCGGCAGTTGCTAGCAAGGAAGTGAGGACGGAGATTTTGCAACATGTGGCTACTTGGGTCAACGAAACTGTTACTGGTAAGCCTCATAATCGCGCGGGGAGCTTCAACATGTCACTAACAACGGAGCAACTACAGACCGACCCTTCACGGATCTCTATGAAACGGAAGGCGAAGGTGAATTCCCAGGTATCTTTTTCATGGCGCGACCTGTGGTGGGCGGGCATTTTGCGTTCTTGGCATTGGAACGAGCGTGCGAGGGCAAGGCATCCGAGGGGCTTCGATTCCTCGATTCCACAAGGCCAGCGGAGATCGATGTGCAGCAAGCATTGGCGGCTGATGTAGCAGAAAACCAGCCAGAAGTAGGTGAGCTGTAATAGGTAACACAGATGCATACAAGAAGAGTCAGTACCTACATACCCAGATGAGAAGGGAGAGTGCATAGGTAGAACTCGAGATATAGGGTACTACGTAAGTAAGTAGCCTTAAGAATTGTTGCAAGGGCTTGAAGCTCCAATGAACCTGTGTGTAGAGGCTTGATCGATACCAACGCCAGGTGCCTACCTGCTACCCACCGGTAGCGATATAGGTACTCCTAAATAACGCAGATGTACATAGGTAGGTAGGTAGGCACCACAGCTCCAATGAAATACCTAGCGAAGAGATACATCCTTCCTTGCTTACAGCAAGTAGCTGCCTGTGTACCTAGATGTAGGTAGGTAGGTAGGTACATTACGTAGGTAGCACGAGAAGGTACCTGGTACCTTGGTAGGCAGCATCTTGGGGCGAGCCAAGAAATCTGCGCTTCCCCAGTTTTTCCCTTCCCTTCCACCCCTTAGCCGATGCATCTCCATTCCACCCATTCCACCCATTCCATCCATTTCCCATCTTTTTTTTTTTTTCTGCTGCGCGTTGTGCATGAACAGCGGCTCAACATCACGCATCCTCCATCTCGCCCGTCTCCCCACGGATTTCTCTCGACCAAGTTCGCGCAACAGATCTACCTACCTACCTACCTACCTAAGCAAGCAGAGGTAAAAGAAGGGAAAGCCTTAGTCGATAGACGAGGTGAGTTGCGGCTTCGCCCCCAAATATCATCATCATCCCATTCCACTTTTTCTTTTGCTTCTCGCGTCTTACCTTTTGCTTTTTGTCGCACTTGCCGTACGTCGGCTTTATACACACTGGCTTTGAAGTCGCAAGGCACTCCCACGCAAGTATACCACTCACTCACTACCTGAGCCATCCCGAGGTATCCTTAGTACCTACCTACTACCAGGCTACTACCTAGCACCTACACACATTGCCACGGTGCTTTCTTTGTATGCGCACACTGTGAGCTCTTCTTCGCCCATTTGTTCCTTCCTAGTGTCCTTCCTGTCCAGAACAAAACAAGCAGCACTGGTTATGTTATCCAGCCAGAGCCTTGTCCACACTACACCTCATTTTTACCACCTTCTGCCTGCAGCTGAATTTTCTGAAATCACTGAATTCTATTCTCCCCTCTATCCCCTTCGCCCATCATTTCCTTCCTCCACTTCCTTTTCCGCCGCCTGTGTGTCTTTTCGACTATTGACCGCATCAGCCAATGAACTGGCATCTGCGAACTTGAAAACTTGACACTATCAACCTTGATCGTTCAACTCTCACACCTGAATTTCGCCCGCGTCATTCCATCTTTTCCCAGCTCCTTGCATAGGTACATCCACACAGTTCATATCCTCTGCAAAATCCTCACATACACACAAGACCTGTAGTAACGCTACACTGCGCGCGCCTTCGGCCAGAGCAATCTGTATTCAGTGCACTGCCTTGCTCTCTCCCGTGAGGACATTCATTGGCTTATACATATCATCACACCTAGAAGTGACGCCGTTACCTCGCCCAACCATGGCAACCACTGCAATGGATTACGAAACCGCCAACGGAGATCGTTATGATGGTAAGTACGAGGGTTCGCAGGTTGTTATTGCGCCCTTGCCAGCGTCGTAGCATCACCAGCCTATACAGCTTCACTGATCACTTTATTTTTCGCCTTCAACAGATGACGGTCCTCGCTATGAGCGTGACCAACGTAGCGCCTCTCCCCGAGCATCCCGCGACGATGGCATTGATAGCTCCCGGCGCCGATCTGCCTCCCCGGGCAATGCCCAGGCTACTCGGTAAGCAATTCCTGCTACACCATTGATCGACTGCCATAACATTATTCTCGGCTTGTGCCCGCAGCCTTGTCGCATCATTACCTAACACAATTATTCGTCATCAGGGCTCCTAAAGAAGATAATAACAAGGACGAGGACGGTTCTGTCAATCCTGGATCTAACCTCTTCGTCACTGGAATCCATCCTCGCCTCACCGAAGCCGAAGTGACTCGTCTCTTCGAGAAGTATGGCGAAGTCGAGAAGTGTCAGATCATGAAAGATCCTCACACCAAAGAATCACGAGGCTTTGGCTTTGTCAAGATGGTCACTTCCGAACAAGCCGATGCTGCCAAGGAAGGTCTCCAGGATGAAGAGATAGAAGGACGGTCCCTCAGCATTGAGAAGGCTCGCCGTGCGCGACCCCGAACCCCTACCCCCGGAAAATACTTCGGCCCACCGAAAAGAGGTTAGTATCCCACTCTTCCTTTGGTAGTCATAGTTTTAACTTTGTTGTACATAGAGCACGGACGTCCTCGCTTTGATGACCGTCGTCGTGGTGGCGGTTATGGTGGTGGATACGGTGGCGGCGGTCACTACGGTGGTGGTTACGGCGGCCGTGATGACCCTTATCGTTATCGCGGAGGCGGTGGCTACGACCGCCCTCGCTACGAGGACCGCGGTGATCGTGGTTACCGTGAAGACCGAGGATATGACCGCAGCTATCGTGAAGACCGAGGCGGTTATAGTGGTGGTGCTGGCAGAGATGATCGCCACGATCGTGGATATGAACGACGTGATCGCAACGACGACAGCTATGGCCGGGTTGATCGTTATGGAGGCCCCCGTGAGGAGCGTGAACGATATGGTCCCCGCGGTGGCGACGACAGACGTGGCCCTGGTTATGAGAGAGACCGCTACGACCGCCCTGATCGCGACGGTCAACGGGCTCGTGACCCCGCTGCTTCTGGTTACGGTGAAGCTGCCCCCCGAACCGATGGCCGTGAACCGTATGCTGGCGCCCCCTAGTATGGCGGCAGTGGGCGTTTTTAGATGGAGTTCACTCATACTTTAAGTCCATCATTCAGAGTGTCTTTCCATCCTTTTCAAGGATATCAGATTTATCCTGACTAAGCAGCCCAAATCTAGTGGGCTCGCAATTCTCGGTCACGCAAATTCGGCAGATACCATTCAAAACTGCGACCTCTGGAGTTTGTTTTCGGCAGGTATACATGGATGGAAAAGGCTTCGAGTAACCGTTGTGTTTTATTTTCATTTTCCCTGCTTTTCCTTGTCATTTCCTTCTCCTTTTGCTATGTATTGGTTTCGGACGTGTTCTTTTTACAAAAGGAGAGGTTGGATGCTGCGAAGGTTGCAATGGGCCTGTGCTACTCGCAACGTTACTGTTTGTCGCAGGAATTTACCAGGGAAATTCTTGGAGGAAGTGTTTAGGTCAACTGGCAACACCCCCCTACACACACACTCAACACATTTACCAACCCCTTGGGTCCGCCTTCGCCACAGCCTTCTTTTCCCGTGGGATCGGAATCGGTCTTTCAGCCTTTCACGTGTATCATTATTTCTTCCGGAGTTACTTTTCCAGCTTGACGAGCAAGACGACTGAGCCAGCCTTCAGCAACATTGTCGGAGCAGATATTCGAGACAGCTCTGCATTGTGGTCCTGCAGAATGCAACACGTAATTGATCATTCCAAAAAGGTGCACCATTAAATCGACTCGACTTTAATACCGTAATTTACCAAATGCTTCACGCCCTAAATATCGCTACATTCAGCCACGTTTCAATTTCCCAACAGAATGCTGAATTGTATAACGAAGCCTGGCCACTGTAACACCTTGGCCCTTCTTAGTGGTGCTGCGCTCTCAGATTACATCAGTCCGCATTCAGTGCCTTGCCAATTACCCCGGCTTTCAACACATGTTGCTCTTCTGATGTTGCCAGGAGCAGTCAGACCCGAATCTTAATAGGTAAAGTATCCCCCACCCCGTATCAACTGCTAATAGCGATTTGTTTGCATACCCCCAAAGTTAATTTTTGGGGAGGAAGACATGGGCCGAAACATCAGGCGAAGCCCCCGGCCCTGCGCATAGATGCGGGCAGAAGAATCCCCAGGATAGGACACTGCAAATTGTTTCCTTTTGGTCTTTTTCGAAAGAAAGAAAGAAAGGCGGAAAGGGAGAATCCGAGCTGCCCCTGTTGGATTCGACTTCCTAATATGCACGAAGAACTCCCATTCAAGGTTTGTGAAAACAGTTTAAGATTGGCAATTGAAGTAAGTACTATATAGACCAAGCTATACGACTTCTAAGACCTATGTATTGCATTCCATTCTCCTGTTGCAATCTTTCTCAAGCGAATAATTGGTTGTCAAGTGGTAGCCAACGTCTGCTGCGCACTAGCTGTAATCCAAATAATCAATCAACGAAACTGGCAATTTTGTGACTCTTCCGGTTTCGTCCAGCATACCTAGATTATCTCTGCATAGAGGGTGGAAAGCGCAGCTTGACGCCGAAATGAGCCCATCCTATGCTAGGTAGTGTCTTAGTCCAAACACCATGTGCCCGTTTCCGGAAACGTCTACTAGGGTAATGGCGATATACAGAAAAGGTATTCGTAAGAGCAAGAACAAAGCCTGAGTCATAGAGAATTTGGCCTTAGACAAGAGCCTCGGAATTCTATAGAGGTCTGGGTGTAGCCTCTGCTCATTGTCCTTCACCCTTGTCCCATAGCCCATATCTGTCCAGAATTGACGGGCAGTTGGTATGAGCCTTAGGCACCTATCTAGTCTACGCAAATATTATGTGACCTTGCCCCTCCAACCAGAAAACAGATAGTAAACAGTTTCCCAAACATTGTCGAGGCCGAGAAGAAAGCAACCAAGATGGCAGGCCATTCCAGCCTCGGCGGCAATGCGCCGGCGGGTGACGAAGTACAGAAATTGAGAGAAGAGTTGGCTCATCTACGGGAATACAAGACGTTGGCAGAGTGCAAGCTGCAACAGATGGGCTTGAGTCTGAAAGGTATATATAAAAGGCCTTTCATCGTTAACTTATGCATTTCTACAGGTCGAGCTATCTGCTAATAGACGCGAAACATAACAGTGGCCCAGACGCAAGGTTGGGTGAGCAAGCGTGCACACTCCCGCCGGAAGCGGGCGGAGAAGAAGAAGGCGGCGGATGATGCAACATGGGCCGAGATCAACAAAACCCGGCAATGGATACGCGAGGAACGTAAGAAGGTAGGACTGCCCGTAGACGATCCGACTCCGTCCCCGTCCGAGGCGGCTTACAGGGAACGTGTTTCTCGGGCGGCAGCCCAGGCGAAGGCGCACTCTCTACGCAACCGTGTCAGGCGAGTCTCGCACCAGTTGCTCATAGCCGCCGCCCTCGGCAAGCAATACCGCGAGGTCACTGTGGCTGACCATTCAGGCCACAATGTCCCCGGTACTGACCCGGCCGTACGGTTGGAGCATAGGCCCTTTGATGCACGCAGTGAGACGAGCTTGAGTGCTACCGAGGCCATGGCGCGCTCGTTCCGCAATTGGGCAAACCGCGAGAAACAAAATCGGTTCCGTTCCCGCTCTCATACACCCTCGACGGTCTATGTCAGCAGCCGAACCACAGGTCCAGATACTACAGTTAGTGGCAGTGTAAGCGATAGCTCGTTCGCTGACGATGATGCTGCTGCTGATGTCAGAGCGGCCATGGCTCTCGTATACGATTCTGGATTCTGGACTGAAGATTGCGCCGACGATCGTGACGACGATGACGAGGAGGATGACGACTACTCTGGTGGGCTAGCTAGTCTCAGCTTCAATGATGTTTCAGACGACATCAAGCAAACTGCTTGCGCCATGTTAGCCGCAGCTGGAAATGCCGAAGACGGCGATAAAGATTGGGCATACCTAATTGCTGAGACACTTGCGAAGAGCTGGCACTTTCACACTCCATCTTCCGAATCGCAGGATCTTGTCAACCCTTCCGCTGACGTCGACGAGTCCGACGCCTCCTTGAACTCTTCCTCAACCGAGCTCTCAGAAAAAGCCAAGAAGTTACTCGAGTTCTTTAACCTTAGCCCGCCCAAAAAAAAGAAGATTTTGAACGAAAAATCAAACAAGAACGTTACGACACCTGGTTGGTTTGAATCAAATTCCAAAAAGGGGCAGCCAAAGAGTAAAAAGACATCGGCGACGACGAAAGCAGGACAGGTAAAGCAACCAACAAAACAGACGACCAAAAAGAAGGTTCCCTTGGTGCAGCAGGAGCAGAAGCCGAAGAATAATGAGAAGCTACCCCCCCTCGTCAAAAGTGTGCCCACAAAGACATCCCAATTGTCTGCCAAATCACAACGGCCACGCATTGAAGAAGTCTATGAAGGACAAGGCAACAAACCAGCGCATCCACACGAAAGTGTTTGGAATCCTAACTGGTGGCGCGTCAACAACAAGGACCATGACGACGGGATATGGGCCGGCAAGGAAGAGAAGTTCAAGCAGCCAAAATCCAACTTGGAGACGGGCTGGATAACGTGGGATGAACAAGAAAGGCGCTTCCCGCACCTCGACGAGCGGCTACGGCTACACTGCGTCACCAAGCCGGGTCACGCCATTTATGACCCGGAAACGGTCGACACACAAGTCTGGGATCCGCTCAGCAGGGCCATCAAGGAATCCAGCACGGGTAAGCGGCAGCGACTGCATCTCGGACCCATCACGATGCACTCACTTAGGCGCTGGTGGGAGACTGGCCACAGCTACGATATTCCCCTCAATCCCATCCAGATGCCCGACCCCCCTAGTGCCGAGGACAAGAAGCGGCCGCTGCCGACCATGACGTTCTCCGATTCCTCCGCACCCAAGAACGCGAAGAAGCAGAACACTACCGGAGGTCTATTCGGAGACCAGGGAACGGATACCGTGAAGGGGAAGAACAAGGTCTCGTTCACCCCGCCGTCTTCGTCTATGCTGGCTGGGAAGACCAAGACCCCAACCACCGGGGCTGTCGCAAAGCAGGCCACTGCTGTCGCATCCGTTCATTACCCCCTAAAGTCACCCACCGCGCAATCCTTCTCTAGAGCCGACTTAGAATATACTTCTCCCGCCGCGTTCTCAGCCATCGCGGGCCTCAAGACACCGCGCTCATGGGGTACTACTGCACAAAACCCTCTCACGCCGCGCAGCACCAGCACCAGTGCCGGCCCGCCACCCGCTCCGACCGTGGCTCTCTACGAGAGCTCCGATGACGACGGCATCGAGGGGCTAGTGAGCGAAGAAGAGAAGGAGAAATTCGCCGCGTTTCTAGATGTGATCCGCTCTAGCAATAACAGTAATAGCGGCAAAGGCAAGCGGGTTGCTGAGACGGAGGTCTCGTCGCTGGCGACGAAGAAGAGGCGCGTCAATGACTCGGAGAAAGAGAACAGCGAGGATGAGGACGACGAGGAAAGGGAATTTATCCCCTTGACGCCGGCGTCGGCGAAGACCGCCAAGTCTGTGCGTTTCGATGTCGAGAACAATAGTGGCAGTGGCTTGAGCAGTGGGATGAGAGATGGTGCGAGACGCGCGCTTGAACGGTATGGACGTACATCTTCGCGTCGCGGCTCGCTTGGACCGTTTTCGGCGAGGTAAGGATGGAACGGAGACGGAGACGGAGACGGAGACGGAGACGTACCCGGGATGCATTGAGGGGTGTGTTGGACAGGAAGATTCGTGTGTGGGGTGCGAGTGAAGTTGAGATAATAAGAAGCCAGACATTCTCGGTGGGTTTATGTAAAGAATTAATGATATGCACAATTAAGCCTGGTTATCCTGTTGCTAGTTCATGCGGAGAGGCAAATTTTCTGAGCTGTACGAATTTCAGCAATCTTCGCTCCCGCGGCTGCAGATAGATGTGTTGTTTCAGATCTCACATTGTGAGGTGATTAGAGAGAGATTGGAAACAGCATCACAATATGACAGCCTTTGGGCCGCGATAGTCTATGTAACGATAGACTTGCAGGCATCCTTGCTAATCGCGATGGTATTTCATAGAGAGTCTTTGTGCTTCTATGTCATCATTACACTTCAGCTGGGGTGGTTTATTCTCTTTCCGGACCCCTATCCACGGGCTGTGCTCCAATAAGCCAGCCGACACCGGAAGCCAATGTGCCAACAGCTGCCTCTCGTAGTTGATCCCTCTTCCGGGCCCGCGGCTGTCCGGACGCGTCATCCGAGCCTCCCTCTGTCGCCTCCGCTCTTGATTGTCCACTGCGTTGCAAACTCGACAAGGCCGAGAAGTTGTACTGCGCTCTAGCCATGCTAGCTCTAGATAAGTCAAACAAGGACATAGGAGCCTCTTCAACATGCCGTGAAGACCTCGGGACACTTCTACCCACGCCTGCGGGGACAGTGGTACTGAATGCACCTGGCATCGCTTGCTGATCGCCCCGATCATCCCACTCTGACTCCTGAACTTCTTCGGCTTTGATAGCCGCATTGAGCTCTTCTTCACATTTTCGAAAGACATTCAGGATCTCCTGTAAAGTCGCAGGCGGAGCAATACGCACTGCCGCTGATAGACACTCGATCCGTTGTTCAAGGTGTCTTATATCTAGATTCCCGCTGGCTGTTCCGATGTGTGTCGGCTTCACTGTCCGAGTCGTGCGGCGGTACTTACCAGCCTGCAACGCAGCCTTCCATGAGTACTCATCAGCTAGTTGAAGGTCAGAATCCGAAGCGACGCGATTAACCACGTAGGAATAAGCCGTTTCGAAGTCATCCTCCGTCAATGCAGCGTCCACACACATTGCTGTTATTCGTCTACGAGTGACTGCATGGTGATTGGATGGTTGATTCGTGCTGGTTCTTGCATCACCCGACTTGTCGCTAGTGAGAAGGCCAGCATCGACCATGTTAGACCCAATCTCGAGCAGGTCCTGTATGTTGGTGTAACTTTTTGAGTTTTGTTCCAAAACCTTCTCGATGATTGAGACGGGATCAGAATGAACTCTCAACACCACAGGAGTAAACGGTTCTCCTTTCTTTAGGACTAGGCGGTACTCAGATAGACCATGAGTAGCTCTCAATAAGGCTTCGATTCGTTTTGACGCAGGGTGCGTTTCCGCCAAAGTTTTGGGAAAGGCATGAATACTAGTAGGATGTTAAGGGATATTGCTACATTTCGAGGACATAGACAAACTCACATATCATCACATTTTAAAAGCCCACCACGTCCACGGTGCGGGTTGGACGCATTATCATACGCCTCCATTGCCGATGCCACGACAGTGTCTTGTAGTACATTTGTGCTGAGAGGTTTCTCAGGTGAGTCTTCGTAGATAGACCTGGCAAGAGAGTAACCTATATGTATGTAAGCACGGGACATCCAATAAAAGTACAATGATAACTCACGTGTATTTGCTAAGAAGGCCTTGAGACACGCAATTTCGAGAAAGTCTCTCTTCAGCTGGGCAAATATGCCGTGAATCTGGATATCGGTAGAGCCGTATGCTTCTTCGGCGCCCCAATCACGAAGCCACAGAATCTCATTTCTAGCACGAATCCAGTACTTATCGTCATTCCTTGGCCCATTTACACTCAATGAACGAATCAGCCTTAGGGCCTCGGCTTTTTGTTCCCGCTCATCCTGGAGAAAGGCTAGCTCTCCGGCTCGTCGTACGTTGCAAGGCGCACCAGCTTTTGTAAGTATAAATGCACTCAGCGTTAAAACGTGGAGGAGCTGCGTGGTTGTCTGATTAGGTGTAGTGAGATAGTTTGATTCTTCGAGCAGGCCGTTCCGCATCAATGAAGCACTTTTGGCAGAAATAAGGTTCTGGTCTTCTGGTTGCGTGAACGGCGAGAGCAAGGAGGAAGCTACTTGTAGAGTTGGGCAGTGATCTTGATCCAGGAGTGACACTATCTTTGTGATAATACTGTTAACCCCAGTAAGGGCATCTACGGAGCCCTCTGGTATCAAATAAGCCGAAGCTAACGCTGCGCGAGCGAATTTTTGTTCCAATAGGCCTTGTGTCTCGTCATCTAACCATTCGAAACCGTAGCCGCCAAGGTCAACGTCGCTCGGTCCGTCCCACTGATCAAAGGCTTTGACAGCTATTTTCCATGACACGGAGGACTGGGTGAGAAGCCATTCAAGAACATGGTCCCAAGCCGGACAAGTTCTATATGTGCCTTTGGTGTCTCCTGTGGAGCTCTGCTTTTCTATCAGAGCACCCCATCTCTCCTCGTTGTACATCCATGGTCCTATTAAGCCGCGGAGATCTCTTCCAACATGGGGCAAGTCCTCATCACGAACACCAGTTTGCGACAGCAAAAGAGCCACAGCTTCCCGGCTATCTAAGCGCTCAAAAGATTCAAGTGTGAGAGAGACGGGATCGTGTGGGTAATACTCGTAGTTACGACGGAGCAAAGGGAGCAAAACCGAAATGGCCCAGGTACGAATACATGGGGCATGCTGAAGAAACGGCACGATCAGGTCGGGAAGCTGTGTAAGAAGGCCTGCCTCTTGGTCGACACGGTGGGCGCGGCGAAGTAGAAATAGCGATACAGGGTCCTGGAGTGCACTCGCTGGCGCACGTTCCCAAGTTAAGGGAATTAGACGTAGGCGACGGGTCTTCTTCGCCGCTTCGGCATCAGTAATGTCCTGAATGGAAGACGAGTCAAATTGGATGGATAGATCGGGCTCCGAATATATGTCACCGGCTTCGATGCGTTCTATGAGCCCAACATACTCAGTCGATCGAAGGGTCTCGGGAAGACAGGTGAGAAGCACTCTCAAAATCAGCTCAGGTCGCAGGACATGGGGGTAGTGGGCGACAAGTGCTGCCAAGCTCTGGACATCAGACTTAGTGGCAAAGTGGACAGCAAGCAAGAGGACTCTCGGCGGAGACAGTGAGGCTGCCATTTTCAAGCTTTATAAAGGTGAAGGCATGCTTGTTGTGCGTAGCGAGGTGATAACGGTGGACGAGCCACGGGGCTAAACGAGCGTCTCCAAAAGAAGGGCTCGTAAATGGATGGTGTGGCGGATTAGAAGAACCTCTGTGACTTCCAAGATTGTATCGTTCGAATCCAAGCACTAACCTAGAATTGTGCACCTCTACAGATGAATGGCATCACTCTTGTGTCCAGATTGCGGGCGGGTGGCCAGGTAGGTACAATGCGCAATGCACAGATGGGGTTGGCTAGGAATAGATAGGTGTGTTTGTAGCACCGCCGGGCACGCTACTCCTCTCGGGACCAATCAGTAGCGCAACTCGGACCACACGCCTACAGTATATGTAGCGACGTCGACCTCATCCATCTCAGAGGTACCCACCTCGATCCGGGGAGCCAACTACATTCATTCATTCAATTAAATCAGTCCCATAACCAACGACAACCAGCCGATACAGCTCCAATTGAGCTTCCTCGACCCTCGACCCTCGACGCCCGAGCCCATACATCTTGTCGAGTGCCGTCTCACGAATCCTCCAACATGGCCTCTGGATTCGGCTTGCACGGAGGTCTGTCGCCTATCGAGTCTCCCGATTCCCCATCGACGACCGCTTGACCAGCCACAGCTAACCCGTACGATTGTGATTCGCAGGCCCCAGCCGATGCTTTCCTTTCTGGCAGGAGGTCCTCGCCTGCTATGTCGTCAATACATCGTCCGAAGATGACACGGGCAAGAAAAAGTGTGCTCCTGTACTAGAGGACTATTACGAGTGTCTACACCACAAGAAGGAGGTGAGTTGTATACCCTCACCTGCCCACACAGGGATACTGGTTGTTAACTAGCCGGCACCACCCGTCGTAGGCCGCGAGAATCAAGCAACTACAAGCTGCGTATAGAAAAGCCGAGGCTTCATCAGCGAGGGATAATGCGCCGAGTGCCGGCCAAATAAGGAATCTGGGCTTGATCGATAAGGAGGAGGACACGAAACAGGTGTTAGGAGGCTGATGAGCATTCTGTCGATCAGTGTATACCACATTTTGTCGATCGATACATGTACATAGTAGGTGGACCTCGGGTGGAATCGATGACCATTCGTTCCACTGGCAATAAACAGGTGCTTTGGTTTGGCACTATTGCGTTACCTACTCAGACACATTCTGCAGCTATGGTTCCCTATGAACTCAGATATGAGGTGGATGATAACAGTTAACTACTCATTGAAGCACCCAAGTCGTTGTGTACATCATCATCATTATCATCATATGGCTCTCTCCACGTCCTCCTGAAGATCCAAATGAACATACAATCACTTGTTCGTTGAGAACAAATTCAACCTGGTTGTTCACTGCAGTACGATCAACTCCAAGCTTTGATTGTGCTAAATTAAAGCCAAAATTCATTTATCGAGAGCAACCATTTGCCTTTTCTAGCACTGAGTCTACTGCCGAAGGGTTCTCACAGAGCGAGAAACAGCCTCAGATCAACCTTTTGAGACTATAGTTGAGGACACTCAAGGCTAATTCCAAGAAACAAACATCAACTCATTGATATGAGCCGATTCATTCAATTGCTAGAACTTTATGATGCTGAATGTCTCAATAAATGTCGACGGGGGAAGGAGACAGTGGCAAGAAGGAAGTGGTGAGGAAGAAGAGCGAAGAATTTACTGCCTAAGCGATTGCACTTTCTCGTCCTCGAGAAAAAGGCGAGAATGCTACCTAGGTAGGTAGTAGGATAGGATAGATAGGATAGGATGGGATGGGGTGAGAGCCACACGGCTTTCAGGTACATATATCCTACCTATATTTGATACAAACATGAATGTGGCACTAAGCTCGAACACATGTAAGGCACCCCCATTCCTGCACACGTATACCATGATGACTTGCACGATTACCTGAGTTCGAAGTGCCCAGTCTGTTGCGCTTTCCACCTGTGCCTGCGATGCGTACCTGCCAGAAGTGCCCTTCGATGGACCCTCCTTCCTCTCCTTTGCTTCCTCTTCTTTCCCGCCTCGACGTCTCCCGTTTTACTCCTACGTTTCACGGGTCTTTGCAGTAGTCCAACCTTGCTGCGTTAATTCTGTCTCTCTTCAACTTCACTGTGTCTTCCATACGAGCGTCCTGCCATAAGTTTCTCATCCGAGAACTCGACAATCACAATAAAGAGCCAGCTCAGGAGTAGAGGTATCCCTATTGCAGAACTCCGCCTGCATCCCCGCCCTTTACCTTCAAGCTCGTCTGCATCCGCTTCAACATGCCGCATTTCAGAGGAATAGAGATTTCCATACATGCGAGCCTCGAAGCAAAACAAATAACCGAATATCCTCATCCCGAGGGATCTTCTGTTCGTCTTTTGAGAGCAACAACAATTCCAGTGAACAATGGTACCCATTCGGGAACAGGCCGACCATCACAAACCATTGTCTCGCCACCATTAGATGGAACAGACCCAACTCGTCTGAAGAAGGTAAACCCACGCATATCTGTATATATTCCCTCATTGCCTGGTATGTTGCCACCACTACCCGCCGTTCTGGTACCCGTGCTGATAGGAAATGCCTTCAGGAGAGCAGTTCTGGATACGCTATCTCGTCACTCAATCGCCACCCCCGTCACGTTGCATGTTCTTCAAGATGGCTATGAACGGACGTCACATCTCGTCATGGGGCATTAATACCAACACTCGCTCCGCGGGTATTGTGGTCAGGGCCCTGTATAAGCCAGACCACAAATGGGAAGAAGCTGGTGGAAACAATGCGGCGGGGTATCCTGGGATTGAGACACGATACTTCCATTTCATGCCTGGTCTTGACAACAAATCTGTTGCCGAAGATGGAGGCGTCATTGAGGTGCAGGCTTTTCGATGCAAAGGGCGCAAACGTGTTGCACTTGAACTTGATTCCTATCGAAATCAGGAACGCTATGGAATCACGTAAGCATGCCCCCTCCTTCGTTATATTTACGGCTGTTGATATTCATTGAATACCTACCCTGAAATCGGTCCATTAATTGAATGCTGAAATGACTTTTCTACCAGCTCTCCCAGCGGCGGTCTCGTCGACAACCCAGAGGACGCCACGTACTATAACTACTACCTGATTGATGCTAAAGACGCTCCTTATGCTACATTTTGTTTTCATTATCGGTCTATGAAATACCTCAAGCAGCTCAATCTCATCCCGCAACCAGGGCTCGATGCTTCGCCAGCCTCTAAACGTAGTTTCGACTTACAACGAGAACGCTCCGCAGTACCATTGAGCTCTGGATCTAATTCTCCACCTCCTAGACGCTTTACCTTTGGTTCCTCGCCACTAGAGTCTCGTATCTTCGATGACGACGTTAGCTTTACTAGTAGTCTCGAGGTCGGCCACGTAAAGTCTAATCCTCGAGAAGAATATTCTCTCAAAAGCCCTCCTGAGTTCTCACCCCCTTCATTAAATGAGCCATCTGAGGTGAATACTGAAGCTCTCGAGATGGAACTCTCTAATCAAACACAGCAACGTCCACTACCTGAGGTTCCCACTGTCCAGACAAGACCTGCTTCAGCATCATCACTCTGCCCATCATTGACGCCATCCTTAAAACAGTACGTCGAAAGCGAAGATTTTGAAAATGAAGAGATCAGGCTAAGTACAGCACAACCTATGTTGATTACTTCGGAATCGATGCAGGCACTGGAGTTGGTCAACGCTGGAGTTGAAGAGGGTACATCCTTTTCAGACTATGCCAGTTCCCCTACCTCCACTGAAGCCTCTCACTCGCCCGAGCTACCTTCTCCAGCAGGGTACATTCCGACCACCGGCAGCGTCCTAGAGAGACAGCTTACCCAATTTGACTCGCTTCACTTGAGATCGTCTCCGCCCAAAACCGGCGACGTCCTATGCTCTACGACAGATATCACCTCGCTCAATAATCAAATTGAACACCGAGCTCGTGTTCTTAGCTTGACTGAGGCGGAATGGCTCCGGCATACTCCATCACCCTTGGCACGGAAAGACAGAAGATCAGAATGCCTTTGGAGCCCCTGTCCTGAATCGGGTAAGGAGGATAAGATGAGTAGTTCAGATGATGATGTTCAAAGCATGCGTTTATACAGTCATAGCTCGCCAGACCAGGCCCCCATAGGAAACTGGATCTGACTCAGGTCGAAGAGTAGTCGGTTCAATTCGGTCGGTATGATCTGTTCAGGCCGCCGTATATGGCTTATGTCAATGGATCTTCCGCGTAACTTCGAGGCTAAGGATATTTTTGGTGCGTCTTGGGCCAATTCTCCGAAATATCGAAGAGATAACGAGCCAAATGTGTTAGTTGTGAAAGTATGGAGCCAGTAAGATAAAAGTAAACGACCCTTGCGAACTTGTCGGTAACGTAGAGCCAAAGAAATGTATTATATTACTATGTAAAATGGCATCATTAGCTGCGTATGGCTCTAGGCGAGATACAATTCCTGGCCACATGTCGATATGGTATGAAAGTGTTTAAGACGGAATGGGCCAGGCAGTTGTTCATGGCACAGGACAGCATGAGGAAGGCCACCACTCCCAGAGTGCACTGTTGTTAGTTCGTGGGATTTACAAGGGCGATGTCGTCAGTTAGCAGCCTAAAAGGTCAATTGAGAAGAAAAATCGAGGCGAAGTGGGAATGCTGAGGGGAACTGAGATAGAAAATAGCATCTTCAACCCCCACCAAAATTGAGCTTTGGGGGTGAGAACTAAAACATCCATCCCACTTTCGATCCGATAACAAACACTATGTCCAAGCCAGATCACCTCCAGAGAACTACAGCGGACCCGCGAGACAAGGTGAGCGATACAATGCATTCCTATGCTAATCAATATATATATATATATATATAATGTAATTGTAATACTAGAGAGTGCAAGCGCTGACATAGAAGCTTCATCTACCTAGTCGCTCCACACCGTCATCCTCCAACACATCCAGGACGTCAACGACACAACGCGCATCTTTCGTCTAGGAATTCCACGCGATTCTCCTCCTATCCGCGTATGTCAATGGGAATGATGAGCACACCCGAGCCCTTATTTCATCTGATTAGCTTGTTCGCATCAATGTGCGATACAGCCTAACATCATCCATGAAAGAAGGCTAAGGGTAATTCATTATAGACCACCAATCTAACTGCGTGAATTTATATAGTTTCTACCCGGTCAATGGCTCGATGTGTATATCCCAGGCGTCGAGACTGCCGGCGGATTCACCATCACTTCGACACCACAGCAGGCGCGCCTAGCGCACCCTCCAGTCGGTGAAGGCGAAGATTCTGCCGGCGAGAAAAAGGCGCCGCCGAAGAGAGAAGAAGGTCCATTCCTCGAGCTAGCGGTTCAGAAATCGCCGGAGAACCCGCCGGCCGCCTGGCTGTATGGAAGTTCCAGTGCTATCATCGGCCAAGAGCTCCGCGTGCGCGTCGGCGGTGGCTTCGTGTGGCCACCACCAGGCATCAACGTGCGCTCGTTGCGGCGCGTCGTCTTCGTCGCCGGCGGCGTCGGAGTGAACCCTCTCGTCTCGATGCTCTCTTCCCTTGCTTCTTCTTCTTCTTCTTCGGCCGCCGCACCCGCCCTGGAAGTGCGGTTTCTGTACTCGGCGAAAGACCCCGGCGTGTCCGAGGGGAGCGCAGGTAGAAATGCCCGAAACATACTCTTCCTCGAGAGGATAGCGCAAGTCTTCCACGAGGGACGCGTCAAAGGGGAACTGGAGGTCTTTTTGACGGGCGGGGACACCGAAGAAGACGCCGACACGGATGGTGAGAAGGGGGACAAGGACAGAATTACAGTTGCTGGGAGGGACAATGAGACTAAGGATGGGAATAATGATCAGGGTAATTTTACGATTGCCTTCCACCAACGCAGGTGTACCGTTGACGCCGACGTTGCCAAGGCCGTGGGCAATCCACGATTCGCCGTTGTGTACGTTTGTGGCGTTCCGACCATGACGGATGACTTCGTTGCCAAGCTCACGGGTGGTGAGGCTGAGGGCGGTCTGAGTATAGAGCCTCATCGTGTCTTGTGTGAGAAGTGGTGGTAGACTGTGCATATGATATGCGAGGGTGACAGCGTTTCCCATGCGATGTGGCTATCTTCACGAAGTGGATAATAGCCGCGCTCATGTCACATGGACGGGCGAGGGTAAGCATAATGACATATGTGTTCATAACTACACAATTCCTACGCTCATCACAATAACCACAGTTGTGAGAATACCCAAATCGTAGCCAGAACACAAGTGGAATATAATTCCGGTTTCTATTTGATATATTTTTACCCCCAACCCCCGATCAACAAACCCTGCTGTTAGCTGAGCCGCCAGTGAGCTCATAATAACACTCAGCCTATCCCAGTGTTTACAAATACGATGCTGCTGTCTCCTCTCCAAAATGACTTAATCCAGCTCTTCGGGCAGTACCTATTCGCTTATCGACAGCTTAAGAAGGTTCCGTCCATTTCACTTGATCCATCACCTGACCAGCTGATGGGTGTTTGTAGCCAACTCGCAACATTAGCCGTAGAGGCTAATACACGCTGAGGTTAGCACATTCATAGATGAAAGGACGTGAATGACTAGTGAGGTTGGGAAGGGCTTTAATGAAACATGGGTTTACTTACTCCTTTGCTACCCATAATTCTCATCATTTGCGTTGCTTCGCCGCCTGGAGCGATATTCGGGTTAGAGATACTCATGAGCTGTAACTTCTGTGTCTTTGGCACAGCGGCTTGTAGGCCAACATCCGATAATTGAGTACCCGAAGAATTCGAAAATCGCGCCGTCACCTGCACGGCTCCTTCAGCATTACGTTGGAGGTAGAGAACGACCTTCACGCCGTTTGTATCATAACATGGTAGCCCTGCGGGAGAGGCAGCAGCGACTGGTTGCTGGGGTGGAGGTGCTCCAAACACATCTAAGCCGGAACTGGGGGGCGCAGGACTTGGTGTTGAAGGAGCTGGGCCTTGAGAAAAGAGATCCATTATTGACGCATTAGTAGCGGACTGGGGTGGCGGAGAAGTAGTCGGTGATGCACTTCCACCGAGTATGTCGGCGAGAAGATCTGTATTGCTTGGTGCCCCGTTTGTGGGTGAAGTCATGGGTGCAGATGTGCTATCCCCCATGAGATCTAACAGATCTTGATCTGTTGTGGGTTTGGCGACGAGCTTCGATTTGCGATTGGCACCCTTCTTAGCCTTCTTGGTGGCTTCGCCGAGGACCCGAGACTCTTCTTTGATCTGAGGCGGAGGCATCTTCTCAAAAACACCGCGTCGAATTTCGTCGAAAGCAAAGAGATTGCCATACTCTACAGCTCTCTGTTGGACCTCGACGTCTAGCGTAGTCTGGTATTGTTGCAACAAATGCTGCAGCCGTGTGACTTGTGAGGCATCAGACAGTCGAGTGCTGAGCTTGATGAGCGCTGTGACAATGTACTGTGTGGTGATTTGCGTCGCATAACTGCTGTTGAGGATAGTTGTGAATAGATCAACGATTTCATGTTCCTTGACTTCTTGTACTAGCTCTTCCTCCTCGTATTGGCCTCCCCTTAGCAAGGAATCTCCGTACTCTCCAATGCACCAAGCGGCAGCTTGCGTCAGACTCTCTTGGGTGATATCTTTCTTCAGACTGATGTACAGTTTCTGTACAGCATAGGTCTGTAACTCTGGTGTGGTAGCTACGAGTCGAACGAACGAGGCAAGGATAGGTTCTTTCACGTAGTTCCCGGCAAGTGTTAGCACTCGCAGCATTGTGTCTACATGCCACCGCTTGTTAGGAGAGTATCGGTCAGCAGCAATACCGATTTGGCTCGTCATGCTAGGTTTGAATTCGTTGTCCGCAACTTCTAAGAATGCGAGTAGTTCGCGAATGAGTACACGAACGTTGCTCTCATTGATGAGTGTGAAACTGAGATCAAGAGCTCGTCTCCTTATACTGATATCCGGGTCTCGCAAACACTCGAGGATAGTGTTACGATGTCGTTGGACGGCATTGGGCTCAATCGCTACCACTTTAATTAATGTGTTTAGGGCCACATATCTGATGTTGTTGTCCCTGTTTGTAAGGAACTTGCCAAGGATGTTGACGCCAAGCACTCTCAAGCCAGAGTCAGCCTCAATGTCAAGAATCGTACGTACAGCCTCGTATAATATCGAATTGCCCACATTCTTGGATGAATCGGTGTTCGTGGCTACTTGCGCCAATATATCATTGATTTGCTCAGTGCCTTCAGCGTCTCCACGAACAAGTACACGCAGGAGGCGAAGAATCTTGACCTGCAAGAAAGGGTCGGTAATACCCATGACATCATGTTCTGGGGCATAGCCAGATGTTGCAAGCCCCTTCAATGTCCTTACAAGCAGTGGAACGAACTGCTTGAATTTCTCAATAATGCCTTCGTCAGTACCCTCTTCCTCCTCGGCTTCGCACATGCTCGTAATCAGCGTTAGGCCGCAGAGTAAAACGCCATGATTCCGGTCCGACAAAAGCTGTGAAGCTTTTTCGACAAAATGTTCCTGTAGCTCAGGCACCTTTCTGCATATCCGCATAGCACAGAGCGCGGCTTTTCTTCGAATGTAAGGGTTGGCGGTGGATATCAGATTCTCAATTTCGGGGAACAAGTCTCGAGACATATCAATAGAAGCAATGTTCCCTAGGGTACAGAGGGCGAGCCCGACGATATACTGGTTCGAATGGCCTAAGTCACTGGAGCAGAAGGAGAAAACGTCAATCTTCAGGTAGACACATTGAAGCTGAGCAAGCAGAGAGCGGGTGGTACCTTTTAAGAGAGTTGGTGACTAGTGTAAGGACGCTTTGCTTTTCATCTAGCAGAAGACTGGTCGCTAGATGGCCCAGACGTTTGTCGGCAAATCGCGGTGAAGCGAGCAGCGTTATACACTCTATCTGGCCGAAATGGGTCTTCTCGCCGAGCGTGAAGAGATAAAGTAGTTTCGCAACATTGTTTCGCCTAACACCGTCAGTTATATGCAAGTTGAAAGGCTGAACTTCCAAGCTAGCAGTCAAGAGATATCGGATTCGTACCTCACGTTGTGGTCATGGCTCTCTTCGCGAAAACTGGCTCGAATGGCAGCGCTTTCTTTCTGAATGACGGCACGTTCATCGGCAATCGTCTTCGTGGCGCGCACATTACGGATAAACTGTTTTACTAGAGAGAGACTGAGTTAGCCTGGTATGGGAAGGGAGAAGGCGACAGAGCGCGGGCGTGTGCGGGAGAGGATGGCAGGAAAAGGGGGAAGCCAGTTGAGAGGCGAGAGGCGGTAGAGCGACAGCTTCGGTGACTTACAGGAACTCATAGTGATGGAGTACGGCCCCCCCAAGCGGGCCGTCTACGGATGTATAGCCAGGGCCAAGGCAGGTTGATTAGAAGATAGTAGACAGATTGTTGACGTTGCTGATGCTTTGACCCTAAATTACGTCGTTTCGTTATTGGGAGTTCTAATCGTGGGGCATTCTTGATAGATGGATGTTGAATAGAGGTCGATCGGTGTTGGCTAGTTGCATCTCGCACGTAAGCCACAGCGAGACGGTGCAAAGCCTTGACCAGTACATGCATAACCTCTAGTAACTACATACCAACAGCATATGCTGGAACCAAGTACCTACATGTACCAGCTCGCTATACCTTAGGTAGCTTCCAAGCTGAGTGAGTACTTTTACCTAGGTAGGCTTCCACATCGCAACTTCATATACCTAGACTTGCCTGCCCAGGGGATTTCAAGATACCTAGTGATTTAGGTAGTGAATTGTACACGCGGAAACCTATCTACTACCTCTTATGACCTCACAATAAATCCTTGTTGCCTGTAGTTGCTTCTTACCAACGCAAATCTGGCTCATTAGCATTCGTAACAGTCCGATCGCTGCTGGTAGGTAAGCAAGTTTTTTTTGGGTCCCCTCTACCTACCTAAGTAGTTGTAATTATCGTATCCAAAGGGCACTCGGCGTAAGTAGGTAATACTATATATAGCCTGGCTTCTCACTCCTTAAATGCCATTGTTGAGGTTATTCTGCGGGAAGAAGCTGTATTCCGCATTCCCTATCTCCGAACTTCATACCATGAAACGTGATCCTGACTATTCCGGATATAACTCCTCGAGGCTCCCACCAGATGGAAGATGTAAACGTGTTCAAGTATCCATTCAAAACAGTGTTTACCTAAGTAGAATTACATAATATCCGCTCACAGCTAGCTGCCTTCCGAGTCAGGGGACGAGTCAGGGGACGAGTCCCTAGCCCACTGTTAGCCATAATGGGACGCATTCGGACGACAAAAGTCCCAGGCCATGGTGAGTGATTGGTCAATCCAATTCGATACCTAGAAATGCATATAAGTTGAGAAATGTTGCAATTGTTCTTCTTACAGTAGAGCCTCGAGGTCATTATACCTAGACGAAGCTCTACCGCCTTAGACAGCCAGTAGCCTAGTAGTATCACGGGGGAATAGTTGCAATCCATCGCGGACACTTTCCCCCAATCCGCAGCGTCTGGCCCTCCGCTGCCTGGGCGATTCGATCGCATTCGGGTCGCTGTTGTCCCGCTCGGCGGAGTTCCGGCGGACGGGCTGGGACACATCTGCCAGAGTTCGTAACCTATATTCGTCCGATTCTCTATTACATAGTAGAGCTTTGATGAACTAGACCCGTATTATTAATCTTGGACCCTTGAACCACACGAGATTGACGACTCTTGGTTGCCTACGATTCGCTACGACACATGAGATCGCAGCCAGTCGTGCCTAGTCCGCTTAGAGCACGGGTTCGATACTAAGGTTAATCTCGTTTCGTTTTCTAAAACGCGGACGAGACACTTGTCCCGTTCCGCATACCTGTATATAAAAGGTGGGAGGATTGGGGAGATAAATAGCCTAGTTCTGCTAATCATCCATTCTCCATCTTTCTAGTCGCCATCTCCGTTGACAGCACTGAAAGTACTTATATCAGAACACTCATCTGCAGCATTCCCTCGCTTGTCTTGGACTTCTAGCCTCCAGCTTCGACATCCTATCCACAATGCCTTTTATACTGGAAGTTCCTAAGGAGTACGGGTAAGTTGAAAAGAGATATTCACTTGTTGAGACAACACAATTCTTCACAAATTTACCTGCAAGGCTCATCAGAACACTGCGCTGACTCGATCTTCTCTTTCGTTTGAAACAGCTACATCCTAGCCGTCGCGACCGCCAGCGTCTTCGTGAACACGGCCCACAAGATCATGACGTCCATGACGCGCAATGCAAGCGGGGTGCCTTACCCGAATACATATGCGACAAAGGAGGAGATCGAGAAGAATCCTAAGGCGCTCAAGTTCAATCTCGCGCAGCGCGCCCACGCAAATTTCATCGAGAACCACAGCTCTTTCATCACGGCCCTGCTTATCGCTGGAGTGGGCTACCCTAGCCAGGCTACTTGGGCCGGCAGTACGTGGGTGTTCGGACGTGTCTTGTACGCCATCGGATACATAAACTTTGGGCCTCCGGGCCGTGGGCCCGGCTATCTCATCTCCCAGCTGGGGAAGATGGCGCTCACGACTATGGCCGTCCTGACGTGCTGGAATATGCTATAAGCTATGCAGGAAAGACGAGTGTTTAACTCAGGTGTTGGTGGTTTAGCATGTTGTGAATATTTAAAATGTTGCAGAAAGCGCCTAGTGCAACAAAGGAAGATAACTTGTACAACAGTCCATCAACTAGGTTATATAATGTAAATGTTCCCAGTTCATGCGAGACATCCGGCACTTGGTTCTCACTCATAGTAGTATGTCACCCGTAATGGAGCATACGATCACCAGCTCGCTAGCTTCTGGGGAGAATCACCACTTTGGCTACAGTCAAGGTCCAGAGCCCTACTGTGTACATAGTGTCTTGTAGCCGATATTATTGTCGGGCGTGCATACAGACCGGAACAGTAACTTTTGCCTTACTGGTAAAAGCACAGCGTTTGATTAAAGCATGCATAAAGCTGTATTAATCGTAAAACCTTCTCTGCTACCTATTAGCCCAATGACCAAACGCCAAAGATGCTTCCGTTACTAGTATAGTTAATTGTTACATTTCTTTCAATATTTAACACATATTCAAAATGTTGCAGCATCTCATGTATGTTCATCACCGCTCATGTTTTCCGGTTGGCGTTTCCGTAGTTCTGTAATTGGTAATTCATCATCCTTGGTAGGGGGCTCCTGCTCGTCTCCGTCGCTTTCTTGTAACCATTCATGACCATTGTTCCCGAGCACTTCACAAATAATGTTAGTAACTAATATTTTCTACTAATCCTCGCATGGTGTCAAGCGACGAGCATGCGCGTAGCCTGTGCAGCAATGGGTAGGGATGGGGAATGTAGGTGGTAAACATACAGAAGTCACCCAAGTATTTCATAGCTTGAAAAATCTCCTCGCCGGCGGGGACGATGTTGTCACTTGGCAAAAGAAAACCGTAGCTTCCCGTGTCTCTCAACTTGATTTGGTAACTGTAACGAGTTTTGAGTTCATGGTAGAAATAATCGATCGCGGAGCCCCCTCTAGCTTCGACGAATGGTCCAATCGATTCTGAGCCACTACCGCCACAAGCCGACGCCACCGTATAGGACTCTCCGTTTGATAGCCTCAGGTGCTTGGCTAAATTCATGGCAACTTCTTGGAGGTTTTCGATGTTGGGTGGCTGGACCTGGCATGAGAAAGAGTATGGGACAAGGACCTGCTGGGAATACGAGTGTAGATCAAGATACCCCGCAAACTTGAAGCCGTTCTCGGTCTCATTCCTTGCCCAGTTTACCAATTGAGAAGCCTCGACAGCTTGAAGTGGCTCTTCGCCGCCGTAGCTTCCCGAGCAAGGTTCATGCTGACGACCTTCCGAGTCCCATTGATACGAGAAGGAATGGTCAAGATCAAGCCCTGGACAATATGACATCTTAGTCCGCTGTCGAGACTTGCGCCATAAACGGTCAACCTCCCAAGTATAGTCATACCCATCAGGGTTCAATAACGGAACGAAAACGAAGTCGAAACGCTCTAGGATCTTTTTGACTACGGGATCTTCATCCATAGATTGAATAAAGGACCACGCAACATAATTAACCGAGCTTGTGGAAATCCACTCTCGGGCGTGGAAGCCACCAGTTACGAGGATAATCTCACGCCGGTGACCCGAGGTAACATGGTCAGGCCTAATTCCGACTCGTAGAGCTGGGATATCCCGACCCTCATAAGACTTCCCGATACTAATCATCTGTATAAGACCACGGCCTCGAAACATAGAGTCGACCAGTCGCATCCAAGCCACTATGACAGAGTATGGCTGGTAATCGTGAAAGTAGACATCGGCAATGTCATATTTGATGGGATCCTGAGATGCGGGCGTGGTGCCTTGATGAAAATGTTGATGGGGGTTTTGACCCAGACTTGGACGACTACTGGGGTAAGTCGCAGCAGCCACACGTGCAAGGTCTGGAACGAGGATGGAGTGGTTGTCGAGTAGAGATGAGGGTAGAGCACGAGTTAAAAAGCGAATGCGTCGGCTGGGAATTCGGATATCTACACGGCTCTCGGTGAAGTCCCATACATCTAAAAGCATGCGGTCGACAACAGTGCGCAAAGCCGCTGCATCTTTGGCATCAGAAATGTTGAAGCGAATTACGACTTGGTCCTCGTATTCCTTTAAGCCTTGAATAAGTCTCGGGCGGTCATTTATCCAGCGGGTGAGGTCGCTTGCCGAAGCTCGCGAGGATGAGATGGAGGGGAGACGGTCGAAGAGGCGGCGCAAGAAGGACGGCGGCGGCGATGATGCGGGTGCGAGCGATTGAGGGTCGAGGGACGTTGATACTTGAATTAGGCCGTCACTTTGAACTGGAGGGAGGCCGGGGATGCGCGAGGCGCGGGCACAGGCGAGACATAGGAAGCTGAGGAAGCTGAGGAAGAAGATTGAGTGCATATTGCTATGACTGTTTGATGCGCCTCAACACTGCTGCATAGCACATGCACAGCAGTGACATCAAAACTTGAACATATATGATTCGTGACGATACAATAGCAGCGGTTTAATAACAATAGAAAAGATATATTTAATCTAGGCTGCCTGATATTGCTGTTGTTACCTCTAGGTAGGTAGTAAGACTAGTGCCTGCTGTAGGGAGGTAGGTAGGTATGTTTTGGCGGGGTTGAGGCCATTGGGAAATACATACCTAGTGGGGACTACTTCGTAGGTACTGTGGGGGGTGCAAACGGAAGCAAGGGCATATAAGAATAGCGGGCTAGCTAGGGCCCTTAGCCACCGTAGATACCAGGTACCTACCATTTACACCTTCATTTCTAGCTGGCTACAGCACTCGCTGGTCGAGTTGCCTATTCAATAAAACCCTTCTTGCAAAAGTACCGATGACTAGGTACACGTACCTCATATCAAAATACCATAAGTAAGGCGGCCGTTCTCTTTGCGAGCACACTACGGAAAATGTAACAAGATGCGTTATAAGTAGGTGATGCTCTGGTAGGTATCTGCTTTGATTACTGATTACCTGCCTCGCCTGCCTACATCCATGATATACTGTAGGTAGGTATCTACCCAGGTTCATTGGAAGTTCTGACCTGCTTATATCCCACATCTATGGAACTGTAAAGCAGCTAATGCAACCAGGCTAGTGCCGGGGATATGGTAGGTATGATAGATACAGGAATACCTAGGTACTTAAGCTCTTGTCAAGAACTGTGGACGTCTTTAATTCTGCACATGCGGAGTCAGTGTACTACACACGCTGGGTACCATGTAGTGCTTATTTAAACGCATGTCATAAGTGCATACATACAGATGGGATCTCTAGGTAGGCAGGTGGTAGATTATGGTTAATAGGTAAATTCTGCGCGCCTGGTTGACTGACCCGAGATTCACAGCAGTGCCCATAATTGCTCCATAACCCGACGGGCCAGGGCCGACCATCCAGAGGCCAGAACACGGGTAGCCTCTGAATTGCACACTAGCGTGCCTTACCTACCTAGGTACCAATGTAGGCACTGTAGGTAGCTATGTCTAGGTACACTGATGTAACTACAATATGTACTTAATTAGGTAGTGTGCGCTATCAATCAACAACGTGCCCACGCCCCTGCCTGTCGCCTTGTCTGTCTGCATTTCACCAACCAACTGCTCTGTACTTTCAATCCAGTCCATCACTCGTAATCATCCATTGGACCGCGGCCATTGCATCAGCTATCGTGTTTTTGCCCGCCGCCTCGAATCCCAGACTGCCGCAAATCAGGTTGGCCACTGCTCATTCCACCACTCTCTAATCCGACTCGGGGCTCCCAACCCCTTTCGACTCGTCTGTCACCTGCTTTGCCGTACCGTCGCCTGCAGCGCCGTACCCTGCAGCAACTCGACGAGCCAACGCGGGACAATGGGTCGGCGCCACTGGAAGGCTTGACGACGTCGTGCTGCCTCCAGCATCGCCCGTGTGTCATCGCTGCTACACTTGCCTCTCGCTCCCGCAGCACCCGTCTCTCCCCCTCTCCAGCCAGCCATTCGGCCAAATGCCTTTTTTACGCCGTCGCGGTGTCATGGCCAGCGAGTCTGACATGCGCCGCCATACCACTCTTTTTGATCACAAGGCCCAATCCGATGCCCCTTTCTTAACTGCCCAGTCCGCGAGCCAACCCTTCGAAAATGGCGTCGCTTCACAACACTCTGAAACCGATGAACCGCCTACCAACCCGAACCTAGATTCGGACCCCATTCAAGGTACTACCCGACCGAGCCACGACTCTTACGACCGCCCGGAATCTCCTCCGATCCAGGAAGAGACTCCGCGGCATCGCCGCTTTAGCATGCTTAGGTTCCGTAATGCCTCAGACTCTCAGCTGTCTACTAGAATGAAGCAGCACCAGCAGGCGGAGAAGCCGCCGCCGATGCCAACGCGTATGGCTCCTCTTGCTTTCTTGCTCACCGGGACCTCATTTGCTGACACACAATGCTGGTTTTAGCTCCTGCCATCATAACCACAGCCCCTACCTTGAATTCTGCCGAGAGTACCGTGGCCAACAAGAAGTCAGGCGTCCGTATCCCGTTGCGAATACGCCGCTCGATTGATGTTCCACGAAGTCAGCCGGACCAGGCGTCCCGGGTCAAAGTCTTGTCGGGCGTGAAAAAGGAGAAAAAGACTCTACTGAACCCCCGTCCCGAAGCTCTATCAAGCAGACACACTGTCACATTCGAAGAGCCGTGCAAACCTGCGGCGCCGTCTGCTGCTTCAAACATCTCTGAAGATCAAGGCTCTGCATTGACTATGTCCGCCCATCGTCTGTCTGAGTCGTCAAGGTCCGAGAGTAGCTCGACCGATCACGCCGGTCAACTCCAATACAGCACTGCTTCCTCAGGGCTGTTCCGGTTCGGTCGCCGGAAGCAGAAGCAACTAGAGCCACTTTTCCCTCTGGCGCATCTTCCTCAAAGATCAAAAACGCCCACACTTTCTGTTACAAGCTCAAATGCGCCATCTCTTCCACGTAATTCGACCTCAACCACACATATCGCGGACGCACCTCGCCCTTCAACTGGCCATGATAGGTCCACAGCTTCAGCTTCTCCAGGCCACGGCCCTACGGCGAACAAAACCCCCGGTTCGCCTGCAACCGCTTTATTTCGCCCCAGCTCTCGAAACTCGGGTCGATCGTCTCCAACTCGATTGACCTTGGGGAATAGGGGTCGCTCTTCAACAATGAGTTCCCTTGGTGAGAGCTTCGCTGAACCCCAATATCTAGGCGCATCTCGTACATCCTCTTCTACTGGTCGCAAGAGTTTCGGTGATCTCCTGGGGCTTGGTCGCGCGCGGCAAAACACAGACCTCTCCAGGCATGGAACACTGACTCCTGCGACACCAGGATCGGCGAACTCGAAGAACAACTCATTGCAGTTGGCGAGAGAGGTGGTCGTCCTACCTGAGCGACGAGACGATGACACCCCTGCCAAATATCTTGCACGAGTCGAAGAAGTGATCGCTCGTGGCGCCATCGCAAGCGCGCTTTCTAAGGAGGCTGATCCATTCCATGCCGCCGTCCTGCGTAGCTATATGCGATCTTTCAGCTTTTTCGAGGAACCTATGGACATGGCTATTCGGAAGCTGCTGATGGAAGCCGAGCTTCCCAAAGAAACTCAGCAGATTGATAGGTGTTTGGAGGCGTTTGCGAACCGATATCATGAGTGCAATCCGGGGATTTATGCTACGCCAGATCAAGCCTACTTCATTGCTTTCTCTTTGCTCATTCTTCACACAGACGTATTCAACAAAAACAACAAGTATAAAATGCAGAAAGCAGATTATCTCAAAAACACCCGCGGTGAGGGTATCTTTGATGATGTACTCGAGTGTTTTTATGATAATATTAGCTACACGCCATTTATCCACCTGGAAGACGATGTGCACACTAACGGCGACCGGTCGGGCAGTTTGAGATTAAAGAAGAAGTCTGTATTTCCTGCAGCTATCGCAGAACCGGCAAGGAGATCCAAGGATCTATTGGACCCGTACACTCTGATATTGGACAGCAAACTGGATATATTACGGCCACCGCTCAGGGATCAAATACCTCTTGAGGAGCATTACAGTTACCTAGGGACTGCCAACCGCCTCAACTTGAAAGAGCTCCAGAAAACCTTTTTCAAGACTGGTATATTGCAGATTATATCGGCTCGGTCACGTCCGGATGCGTTTATGACTGAAAAGACGCAGAATAATCCTAATGCCGCACATCCAGGGATAGTCGACATCAAGGTCACCAAAGTTGGACTGCTTTGGCGGAAAGAGGCGACAAAACGGAGAACTCGATCACCGTGGCAAGAGTGGGGTGCCATCTTGACTGGAGCACAACTGTACTTCTTCCGAAATGCGGGCTGGGTCAAGAACCTACTCCATCAGCACGAAGCTCATGTGAGGTCGGGACAGGATGGTGTCCCCTTAATATTTAAACCACCCTTGGAGCATTTTAAGCCAGACGCATTGATGTCCACGGAGGGTGCAGTTGCCCTTTGGGATAGTAATTATAAAAGACACAAGAATGCGTTTGTTTACGTCAGGCACGGGGGGCTTGAGGAAGTGTTACTAGCCCAGAGTGAAGAGGATCGAAACGATTGGCTCGCAAAACTCAACTACGCAGCCGCGTTCAAAACAACTGGCGTGCGGATGCGTGGTGTTGTTGGTGGTAACTACGAAGGACAGAGCCGTCGAGCGATTCGCAGGTTAGACAGTGCTGGTGTAACACAACTTATTCAGACCCCTACCGGAGAGGTCGCCATTAACCGGAGTAAAATTGATCACCAGATGGCTCGCGACATATTACTTGCTAGACGGATAATGATGCGTCAGAAAATCGAGGAGGCCGAAGAAAAACTTGAAATCGCCCAGAAAAGCCTCGAGACGCAGCTCAGGAATGCGCGGCATCTCCTAGTTTTGGCTCCGATCCAAGAAAGAACCCGAGAGCAAGTGTGCAATGGTGCGGCCAAGATAATAGCTCAGCTTAGATGGTCCCGCATCGAATTCTGGAGGTTGAAGTGTCATCGTGACATACTGGCAACGGACCTAGCGGAGGAAAGAGACATGAATGGAGACATTAGAGAATCTTCTCCTGAACCTCCGCTTGCGCCCCTGGAAACAAATGAAAGTGGCAATAATGCAACGCATGAAACTCAGCTATCTCCTTCCTCAGGTTCTCCGCCCCAATCCTCTGGATCCAATTTGCCGCCAGATGTTGAACCGCCAAGCCCCGAAATCTTTCATACACCACCTACCAGCGCAACAACACTAGCCTCTGAAGACAAGCCGGATTCACGCCACGAGAAGAACAGCGTTAGAAAGACGTCCCTCTCCAGCGTAGTCACTTCTTCCCCACGTCGACATGAGCCCAAGCTTGTAGACGAAGATTCGGCGGAAGATAAGCATGAGAGGCACATACTTGAGCAGAGTGGACTACTTGAATCGGAGTCTTCTCGTACCTACGATCGCCGCCCCAGCTCAGCCTACACGACAGATGATGCGACAGATCGTGGCAAGCGACGTAGCATTGGTGGAACTGACAAGGATCAGTCTGATAGAGGCAAAGCGCGGCGTAGCCTGCAACGCTCCCTTCGAGAGGGTGCTGGTCATTTGTCGGGGCACCGAAGCAAGAAAGGCAAGGATTCTATGTCAATTGGCGGCATCTCAGATGATAGCACACGGGACGAAGTTCTCTTTAGAGGCGCCGGCAGTTTTACAGTCCATGGTAAAAAGGCTTCGGTGATCAACTTTGGTGACGAGCTGCAAGGTATCGCGACAGACGAACACCTAAAACATCGGAAACAAGCACAGCAGGGTGACGAACAAGACCTTAGATCTCCTGGCAATGCCACTTCTACTGATGTGGATGATTTCCATTCCCTACTTGGTCATCTTCCTGAGAATTCGGGCCGAAGGGGTTCAGCCACGAGTGCTAGCACAGCAACAGCTCGCTCCTTCCGGGATTTACATCGCAAGTACTCGTCACGGACAACTAAGGGCACCGCTGGCGGAAATCTTGTTGTGCCGTCTGACGAAGACAGCGACGCTGCTCTGAGCTTCTCAGATGGCCGTCGATCGCCACTGCCGCCGCTTGATGACGAAGAAGATGAGACCCAAGAATTAGATATGCCACTACCAGCCCGGTTCTATACACCAGAACCTCCAACATCACCGATACAACAAAATAATGCATCAGATGCCGAAGAAGAGACCCAAGAGACCAACCGTTTCCCCTCGTCGGCAGTTCAGGTACACGCCTAAATTTTGTCTTTTTTCCCTCCCACAGAACGTAATTAGCGATTGGTTGGACCATCATCTTTCCGGAGCACCGCAAAAATGTTCTCATAGCAGGTTGTGGCGTTTTTGAAGATAAGGGAAAATATGAATGGAAAATAGAACAGGCTTTCTTTTATTCCCACAGGGCCTAAGATCATGTTTTCTGCGTTCTCGGACCCATTTACCACACATTCTGTAACGATAGACGGGGACGCACAGACGGGGTAGATGGGTTTATTCTGGCTAGCTGTGCTTCCTACTGCTCACACCCAGCTGGCAAATCCCCCTTATAGATAACTGACCTGCCACCCTGGTTCTTTCCCTTCTTTCATTGAAGAATAATGGGTCCTGAAGCTATAAAACCCTTGCGCTATATACATCAATCAGAGGAGCTCACCTGTACATATTAAGGAATGAGGGAAAAGGTTTGGAAGTGAAAGTGCATAAAAGGACTTTATAGACCGGGCATTGACTGCCAAGGTGACAACGAGATACTTCATATAATATCTATTGATTCATATTCTGTATTCGGGCTCTTCGGGCTCTTCTGGTCGCCCACGCTTGCATGATTATTGTAGAGAGGACAGGACTTGTTTCCTAACTTCCGGGGTCGAATATGTTTTCTAGCTGTAAATACCATTCGACTTCAAATTCATAATCACAATTTCATTAAACTTGGAAGCGTACGAAATGCTCGATTGGATGGGTCTCCGATCAACTTAGGGGAAGCTCGGATTGTGAGTATTATCGCAGCCCGCGTTTAGTGCATTCCCCGCGCCAGAAGCATCGCGAGGATCTTCATGTAGTAGCACTGGCACTCATATTTACTAGGTAGGCACAACTATAATGAGTGACCAAACCGGTTGGGGAGAGCGGTCTATTCATGTTCATAGCACATGAGATGACCAGAACATTTACCATATATACACACCGTAGCCAGCCAAGCCAAGCCAACGCTTTCTCCCGCATCCCTTTTATTTCTTTCCTTTCTTTTTCTTCTTGCTGGCGGTCGCCTTTTCCACCTTGACTGCCCCTGCGCCACCCACGAGCTCAAGCGTCTCCTCCTCCTTGACAACGCCGCCCTGCGTGACCTCCTGTGCGCGCTTCTTGCCCTTCTTTCCTTTCGGGCGGTAAGTGCTGCGGTCTCGCAGGGGTAGCCATCGTTCTGGATCTGGTTGTTTGCCTTCTACATAATCTTTGGGCAGCTTCTGTTTACGTCGGCGCTTAGTGAGTTTCTCTTTCTCTGCTTCGTCTGCTGATGTTGCCCCTCGCTTTCTGCTTGCGGGCGTAGGTGCCGCGGCTTGACATACACCGGCTTGTATCAAGGCTTGGACATCGGTGCCCGCTGTCAGTCGCTCTACTGGCGTTAACTTCGATAGGTAGGGCTCAACCTTGGCGAAGTCGCGGGTTGCGAAGGATGCTACAAGCCCTGCTGCTGCTGTGATGTCTTGGCCGAGTTGGGTAACTAGTTTTTCAAAAGTTGCTCCTGCTGCGGTTATATCTTCAGGGTTCAAGGAATGAAGGAGCTCTACACCAGCCTCGCGCAGAAGTGAAGTAGAGGCGCATTCTGGTTTCGATCGCCAGTGTGCTGAGGCTCTGGCTAGTTCAGCACGAACTGAGTTCTGCCGACCTTGCAGTCTGTACAGCGCCACGGCTACAGCCACGAGGCCGGGAGAGAACCGCACATCAGTATAATCAGTGGTGGTTATGACCTCCAAGCGTTTTAGAAACGCCTCCAGTAGAGTAAGGGCCGGGCCGGGGTTCCGTGTTTGAATATAGAGTTGGATGATGGTCAATAGTAGTCCCACATCATTTGGGCGTTTTTCCAGGGCCGGTAAAATCTTATGGATGGCAGCTTTGCTGCTGGCCATCTCAGTGCGGGCAGCAGCACTTATGACTCCAAGAGGTGCCACATCGAGCAAGGCTGAAGGTGAAGATGCAGCGAGAATCTGATTGTTAGTTGATGATTCTATTCCTTGAAACTTTTGCATCCGAAGACCCAGTGTATATCTATTTCGCCTCAAGACGGACTGCTGATACTCGAAAAGCTTGTCGTTACCAGATAATTTACCTGCAAGTTCAGAGATGCGCTGAGTGAGGTAAGGATTACCATCCATTCCAGCCAGGGCGATTTGGTTGTTGTGAGCAACTGCCCTCGTGGGTGCTTCTGGGATGCTAGGAGAGTATCAGATATCAATTACACCAAAGAGTTATGATTGTCACATACTCGGATTGCACAACCAGCTTTTGCAGCGCAGCGGCTTCCGATTCTTTGCCCAGTTGAGAGAGCACATAAATATGTTGTACAATGATGGGCAGCAGCTCGGCCTTCTTCTCGTCGGGCGATAAGTCCTCGCTAGCCTCGCAGAGGTCTCGAGCTCGTTTTAACATGATGGAGGCTTTAGCAAGCTCGGCCCGCGCAATATGGGCGCACGCAACATTGTAGGCGGTCTCGAACGATTCCAGATCAGCACGAGAAGGCTGCCTCTCGCTGTCGTCTAACTGATGACCGAGACCGGCCCACTCTAGCTGCGCATTGGCAGCTAGAAGGTTAATCCTTACGTCATTCTCTTCACCGTACAGGTCAGTTGTTTCGCCAGCAAGACCACGATATAAGGAAGCGGCGTCTGCGAAGCTCTCGGCGCGATATGCGATCTGTGCGCGTAGATGGCGAAAAGGGCGGGAGTTCAGCTGCGTCGAGGGCGCCTTTTCGACAGTGTCGCGTGCTTCTTGGAGGTGACCGGTCTTGTATAAAGCATAGGCCTTCTCGAGAATGCACTGGGACTCTAGCGCATGGCCACCTTCGGCGATGGCTCGCAAGGCGTCATCGAAGCGATCGAGCTTGAGAAGTGCAACGACCCTGGTGTGGTGGGCGTCGATGTTGGTTTTGGAAGCTCTTATTGCGGCATTGGCGAGTTTCAAGGCCTCATCGTGATCCTGGATGGTGGATGCACGAAGAAGAGAGGCCAAGGTAGCAGCGGGGTCCGACATTGCGATGTTGGCTGTCGAGTCGAGTGCGTAGGTACGTGCTAACTATGCCGACATGGTCAATGTCGGCCAGCAGCCAGAGGTGTAGGGAGAGCCTGAGGTCGGATCGGAGGTGGAATGAGTTGGTGACTTGGACGTTTGGTAGATGTGTGATGTGTGTCCTGTGTGGGATGGTGATGATTGTGGATGCAAGGTGGGTGGGTATGTGGGGACGTCGATTTTGTCCCGCATCGAGGCTTCAATTCCAGCGATAAGATAGACAGCCTCAACAGCCTTAAAGTTTAACAAGGGAACGAACTCCAGGTAAGCTAACAACCAACCTTCATCTACCTAGAAACCTCTCGGTCGACGGAAGTGGTCTTGTCGTCTTCGCCTTGGTACAGAATGCCACTTGGATCCGAGCAAGCGATGGCAAATTGATTATGTTGGTTAGCGGACTCTCTTAGTTGCAAGTTGAAACTAGCTGGATATTGTGCAATCCGATGTAGTTGTTTCGCCATCTGCCAATAAGATCGACGAAATGATACCGAGTAAGCAGGACTGGATGATGCTTCGTCTCTCGGTTTTCCTGTGAAGAGTTGTTCGAACTCATTGGAAGCCCACTACAGTACCCACGAACTACCTACAATCCCACTAGGTACTCAAAGCTAAGTAAGAGGTAGGTACCTAGGTAGGTACCTAGGTGGTATCCTTTACTTAGTCAATACTACCTCCTAAAGTTAGGTGACGAGTGGTTCCTTTGTTAAGATCACCCTAGACTACCTAGGTAGCGACTAGATATACAATCATATACTTACAGTATGTAGCTATATACTGTACTTCCTTAGGTAGGTAAGTAGGGAGTAGAGCGTACCAGTACCTAGAGACTTGTCTGTAGAGGGCTAGTATAGCCGAAACTCGGGAAATTCGCGATTGTTCTGTCAAACGACTTGGAGCCTGCGAAATATAAGAAATATAGCAGCACATCTCTTCGTCATTTATTCCACTTACTCGCTCTTGCCAGATATTTGCGCGTCGCCGTGGGCCATGACATCGTACGCCGGCCATCGTTCGACACAATCGACTTACTGTAGGCGATGTACTTCTGGCGTCAACTTTGCGTTGATAGAGATCCTAATATTACCGGCCGTCTCGTTCTTGGCAACTACCTGGTAGAGAGCTGTCGAGCGGCAAACGCGGTCAGCTGCACCCACAACTCAACTCCGTAAGCTACGCAGTATCGAGTGCCCATGGTACGGTATACTTAGGTAGTATGCTATAGTATAGGTATTATAGTTGCATGTAGGCGTACTGTGCTTGCACCTACAGAGTGTCCATATTTACCTATATAAGGTTGCTGAACAGTGCTTGTGTAGACGCCCAGTCAACATGCCCCCGAGATAGGTAGATACTCTAGATAGAGATCGAATGTTGCGACGGAACGTGCAGAACGCCCAGGAGCAGCTAAGGCACGGGCCGAAAAAATAATATCCACCTAGACCGTTTACTTGGGTGTGTTCACTCCGCCTTGACAGTTCTGCTTAGTAGCACGCTCTCTGTGTCGTGGTGTAGGCCGGCCAAAAGCCATCCACCATGATAACTGCAATATAAATAGCACCGACAATGCCTGGCTCTTTTCGGAACATACCTGATACTTTCAGGTTCCAACCGGCTAGGCTTCTTCGTAAGTAGGCTTGGTGGTAAGATCCAATCCTGGTGTGCGTGGGGGCGCACGGGAGGCCTTCATCGTGAGTGCTTGGTTTAGGATCCGCAATACGCACATCCATCCCACACTGGCTGGCATCCCGCCCTTGTAAATACTCTACCTGTCCCCATGTGTTTGACCGGTAGGTACATCGCGTGCATAAGGTGCCTAGTGTGGCACACCATTCACCATCGCCAGGCGCACATTTTGGCCTGTGGATACATGTTGCTCAGGATAAAACATGGCCAACGTTCTGCACCTTTGCCCGCCCTCCCGGGCATATATACAACAACAACCTGCTTATAGTAGAGGAGAAAAGGGAGGGCCGTCAGAAATCAGAATCAGAGCCAGAGCCAAGATCAAACTAGCTAGAAGGGAACAACAATTACAGGACAATGAAGAAATCGATCAAGATAAGCTAGCTTTTAAAGATACGGCTGCCATACAATACACGCAATTGGACTGGACAAGGCCGGTGTATGCCATTACATGTATGCCATAAGCAGCGCAATGTCTTGCTGGTACTGCGCAACCCGAAGGCTCGCATTGGGCCATGCGGTGTGGGAAGCAATGGTAAGCCCTGACTGATGATAGTCAGGTCGCACACATGCTCATGTACCTATTGACACAGGCCGTCATTCCCGCTCATGCGGTCCTCGTTGTATTCAATGTCGATGAGGCGGCGGCGGCAACGGCCTGGATTCCGGATGCCTGTGTGTAAGTGGACGAGAGTGGTGCCGTGGTCTGCCATGGTCTACTACCTAGGAAGACCAGACTGCGAGTGCAGTGCGGGTCGGTTGGTCTCTTCTGGTCTCTTATCTTTGCGCCATCTGGCTCACCAGGAGCTGCTGATCCCGTCATCGCTCGTGATTCGCCATGTACCTGCAGTGCGTATCAGACCCCGAATAAACAGATACGGATTATCGGATACATGGACAAGGACGAGGTTCAGGCTGAGTCGGTTCTTCCATGCAATCAACACGACATACTTTGAAACGGGACCCATCACGGCGTCTCCATTGGAAGAGATTCAAATGAAATTCGCGATCCTCCCCTACCCACCCACGTTAGACCGATGTATATATATATACCTACATATATATACCTGAGCAACGGTCGCATACCTACATGCCATTGCAGAAGAAGATGATTATTTGGTCCAGAGGCTTCTTCTTCTTTTTCTTCTTTCTCTTCTTGCCTGTACTGCATGTAGTATGAAGAGGATAAATTATATATTACGAGCAGTCTGGGGTAGGGTAGGCACACTGGCTCGACTGGGAGGCTTCCGGAACTGGCCTCGTTATTTGTAAATGCTAAGTATGTGCGTGTAGGTATGTTGAAGCACCCGAGGCACCCCTTATCGTGACCCCCACAGCTTGCAGACTTCTTTTCTGTCATCCTAGTCTACCTAGGTAGGCAGGCTACTGTACTTAAGTAAGTAAGTGAGTAAGTAAGTAAGTAAGGTAGCTAGCACGCGTCACGGATGGGAGGCTCACCTTTTCCGCCGAGCAGAGTCCCCCATCCAGCCAGTCAGGCCCGCCTGACAACCCGCCGAACAATGATGCGATCTTGGTCGTGAGTGGATGATGTGGCATCTTGTGTAAGTACACGAAGTAATACCTGGTACATGTAGAGGAAACACGTGAAAGCCGCCCTACTTATAAGGTACATCTATATGTACATCCATATATCCGTAATGTAGGTCAGGTCGGCAGGCAAGGTACGTGGATGCGGTAGGTACCTCGCCCGCCTGATGTAAGTACCTATCTATACGTACCTAGGTCAACGCTGCTGCTGCTGCTGGTGCTGGCTTGGGGTCATCGGGCTTGGTGGAAACCATGACAGAATTTACCCCCATCGCGTGTCAGGGGACCGCCCATTCCCCATCCATCCATCCATCCATCCAGTCCCTCACGCAGCAACATCAATGATGTCCTGTCGCTCAATGCGCCATCGCCAGCAAATCGCTATCTACAATGTCTCCATCCCGTCCGTAGGCTAGGTAGGTGTCTGTCTGGTAGGCAGGTCGTGCTCTGGTCGTGTATCATGGCTGCTGGCGACGGCTTGTTTCCACTCTCTCTAACCTGACCTCTAATTTAACCTCTAATCTGGCCACGCCCTCTTGATATCCATTGACCGCTATTCCTCTTCTTCTTCTTCTTAACTTCTCTTGGTCTTCCTCCACTCACAGCACTCGGCGTTGTACATGAAGCGCCCGCAGCTGCTGGCCATCCGTCCGAGTGTCCGGCAACGAGACGGCGCCACACGAATGAAATCACACATATAGCGTAGTAAACTGCAACACGGTAGTTGGGGGCGCTATCTAGATAGGCCAACCAGTACCTTGCTGTAAAGCTGCCAGAGTGGGACTGGCGAGCAAGCGATCAACGACGACGGCGACGACCACGACAAGGGAAGAGGAGACGGAGAGAGATAGGTACTATAGATACCGCACTGCAAGCCGGCCAGGAATCGACCCAAGGTTGGCGCCGAAACTCCCTCACATCGCTAGGTACACTGCCAGGTCACACAGATGACTATACAGTAGTCTGTCTATGCTACCTACCACACTCATTCACTGTCTGACCACGACTACTTTACCGTTAAACCATCATCGCCAGCGTGGTTATCTTTTCTTGCTACCACCAGCGCCATCACCACTCCAACCAACCCTCCAACCCCTGGCTCCTGGCTCCTGGCTCCTCCTGGTTCGGTACTCCGGCCCAGCAGCTCTATCTCTCAATACTACTACAAAGTGCCGTCGTCTCTGGCCTATCGGTTCGCTCTGCAACGCCCGTGGTGTCTTTACCTAGGTACGCCTGCTACACCGCACGTAGGCCGTCCAGAAGCATATCTAGCCCACTTGACCCGCATGAACATCCTCCTTTACACATTCCCAGTACCCCCTGGCCCAGGGATTGTCTCCTCGCCCCTTGCACACATCCTCTCTCAGGAACGCTACCTGCCTGCGCAACCTTCTCCCCGGCTATCTTTCCTATCTATATACTTTCCCTGCCTATCGCGTCACTTTCCCTCTTTTGTTCCTCTCGCTCTCTCATACATCTTATCGTCCATCACTCGACATCTGCACGTCATATTTTGTGCAGCCTTTCTATTCCTAAGACCTGTATGTACTAGTACCTAGCATCCCACGCCCGCTCTCTCAGAGAGCCCCCGGTCGCTTTGGTATCAGACTCATACACCCACACCCGAAACCATTCAGAGCTGCCACTCGACAGCCGAACGGCTCAGACCCCCCACCTTACTTCCACATAAGCCTTATATGAACTTCACTTCCCTCCTCCATCCTCTATAACCATCTTCTAAGCCTAGGTTTCTCGTTTCATTGTCTCTGGTGGCGTCGCGGTAGTAGCAATACTCTGTAATTAAGCCCACCGCCCGGTACAAAGCTGCCGTAGGAATTATTCATGGACCAAGTATTTCCCACGAGCCCACTGCCTGTTCGCTGGCCTCGTGTTCGATAGTACGAGTTGGGCTGGAAGCTCTCCCTGTGTATCGCCAATCCTTGTTCAAACTAGATCGACCCATTTGCATAACTTACAATTATCATCATCATTAACCCCGTTCAGACCGGCTTCTGGCAGCAGAAGCCATGTCGACGCGATCCTCGCTGTCGTCTAGGGCAGGATCCCCTTCGATCATCAAAGCTGGGGCTGATGAGGAGGTTTTGCCCAGTGGACAGTGCCGATATATTCTACTCAACCCAGAAATCAAGGGCCAGCGTTGCGCGTGCGTTGGCTTTACACTGAACCGTGCCCATCCAGGCGTGTTATGCCTATGTGGCCACTCCTCATGCTACCACGTCAAATCTACCGAGACCCCTCCCGATAAGAGTGAGGTGGAGGATTTACGGCGGCGCGTTCAAATGTTAGAAGGACAGCTAGATCGAGATAACCAGATGGGTATCGGAAATGCTCTCGGGCAAGTTGTTCAGCGTCTCGGCAATCTAGAGGAACAGTTTGAGGCAAGCAGAGGAGAAATCAGTCAGGATGTAAAAGACTGTTACGGAAATGTGAGCCGCATGTGGATATCTTTCAATCAGCTTGACAGAAGACAGGCAACTTCTGAACATAGATACGACGAGCGATTAGACGGTCACGACGACGCTCTACAGAGGCTGAATGATAGGGTCATGGAAATGGATGAAGCTTCGATGGCTCTAGAAGAGCGAATTGAGGTGCTGGAAGACCGAACAATGTCTTCACGTCCTCAGCATCGTCAGCAACAGCGGCCAACATCGGAATCAGAACGTACAAGACAATGGTTATCACAATATGGCGGCACCTTGAGAACACAACCTCTTCCCGCTCCCAACGCTACGCAAATGTCGCCGAGCGATGTCAATTATACCCAGACAAGAATACCATGGACCGTGCATGTGTCACTACTCCCCACAGCGGCGCAACCCTTCCCTTTTGAAAAGGATACCAATGCCTATAAACGCTGCTTGTCTCGTGGACTACACCAGATGGTTGCTGTAGGTGGCACTGACAGTGAATCATTCACCCAGGCCATTGCTAAGGCCTTTGGTAGTTTGCTTCGCGGGAGGGAGTGGATGCCGTTACAAGCACGTCTTTGCGATGCGGTGACTCTTGAAGGTTTGCCTATGCTACGGCCTTTAGACTCGAGCTTACTCGGTAGGCCCTACGATCTAGAATTCCTACGACAGTATTGTGCTGTTTGTCATGTCACCGGGAAGGTTGAGTCGCTCTACATTGCCATGGTTCACCATACGTTCTCTTGGCATTTTCTCCGACGATCCCCATGCCATATGGACGGTTTGGAAGCCTGCTGGGAATATGATCCGCTCTTAGACGGTGATGATAACTGGGATGACGACACTGGAGGCGAGGAGGATAGACCGCCGGCCGGAAACATCATGCCGTCACTCCCATCGCTCAAGCGTACGGCTTCCGAGATCTCTAGGGCCCCCAGCTTTAGCGCAGCGGATGGGGATGGTTCGCGCCCTAAGTTAGCACGCATGCAGGTGGAAGTGTGTAGACGGGGCGTGGAGACGGTGTAGAAGCTTCCCAGTCACTCGGCTTGGGGTAGCAATAGAATCTCTGGCAACGCAGGTAGATATGGACATGGCGTTTCAAGATATGACCAGGATAGGCAAGGGTGGAGGTACAACCACATCATCAAAACTGGGTTTAGCCATTAGGACTTCGTTTTTGACTTTTATCTCTTAACACGAATGTCCCCCTTCCCTTGGTGGCTTCCTTCTCGTTTCCTCTGGCTTTCCCACTTTCTTTCCCCCATCCTGGACCCACCACTCAGACTTAACCGGACTCACCATAGTATATCTTGTCCGAACCCTTTGCCCACTAATAGGGTTTGCCCTGCTCGCTATGACGCAGACTTACCGGGTGGCGTGTTAACGATCGCAGCGTGCGAGTTTTGACAAGGGAGAAGCACTAAAGACGGAGTCTGTATATGCCGACGAGGCTGGCTGTCTAAGATTGTGGGATACTTCTGGTATATGCTGTACGGTATACCTACCTTTTCCATAACCTCCCACACAAATATAGTCTAATATAGGTGTGAATGGACAAATAAATAAAAGGAACGAACGAAGAACCCCTCAGGAAACATAGTTGTTCTGTGTTGTCTACGCCAACCCCAACCACTGCAACATCACATTATAGAGTGTAGAATTCAGTATAAGTGAAAGACACCAGGATCTCGGGATAGTATTAGGAAGATGGTACTTCCAACTGGAAAAATGGAAGTCTTGTGTCTTTCTGGCCACGGTATTCATCCACCTCAGCCGCATACCTAGGTATCTAGCCTCATAAGAAGGTCATCCTCCAAGGTGGAGGTAGAAATGCTGCAGGGCTGAGAGCGACCGGTCCATGAAGACTATTGTTTAGAATACTGGGTTCTTCACCAGTGTTGCGGCATGTATTATCATCGACTTTTGGTAGCAATTCATTTCTCTTGTTTCTTTTCTTTTTCTCTACTAGGGGAATCTTGCTTCGTCTTAGATGTTACACGTGTAACCTCTGTGCGGGTTGAAGAATGCAGTTCGCCTTGCACTTCGGCCGTACGAAGGACCATTGCAGGCTGTTCATGACCTTCCAAGACATGCAGGCAATATTGGGCAATATTGGAAAGTGAGGTTATACAGACTTCGCTTCTTGAAACAGACCCTAGAGACCCAGGCGGTCTGGGCTGGCAGATCATTTGTATATAGAGTCTTCTCAAGCCACCAATAGCCGAGAAGGAGTTGGTTGGTCAAGGACTAATGCAGCCCTAGTTGATCATTGTAATCAGAATCCTCAGTTCCAAGCCCAGTTCAATCTGCCCTTGTTATATTAGAACAGTCTGGGTGGTATGAGGGGATCACACCGCCATAATCATGTTTACAAAAGGGTGACATTAATGATAGATAGATAGGTGCTATTGCCATCGCCATGACTTATCATCACACTCGGGATGGATCGGCAATTTTTCGCTGGAATATAATTATTAATTACATACTAGCTGTTAGCCAACAGCTACTAACATTCCTCCATTAGACATTAGCTAACATGACCAACTGTTGATTAAGTGGTTGAAGGTTTTTAACTTTCCTATATTAACAGTTTAATGGGAAATTGGGTTTATGAGCTATAAACAGCAGCCATATTACGGATTGTGATGATGCTGAGGTCTTGCAATATGCTTCGTTTGGTAGTAACACATCGCGATACTGTAGAGACGATCAAATCTACGATCCCCAAGTCGCTGTATAACCCAGCCACAGATAATCGGATCCTATATGTAAGCAAGTACTATTAGGAACTTAAGTTCTATTTACCGCGGATTGCTCCAAATCCGAACCAAATTTAAAGACGATAACCAACCCGTATCATCCTTGATGAATTATGTCCGTAATAACCAACAAGAAGTCCGCAAAGTCTACAATTACCAAAAATCAAAGTATAATACAAGCCAATCACGCCAGCCCACGCCTAAGCCATTATATGGATCCTTGATAATCACATTACTACCAATAAAATCATATCGAAGTCTGTACAGAGCGCCTACAACGTCGATAGGGGTAAATAATCTTTTTTCTCAAGGGGCGACTAAATAGAAACGAAATGGCTGCCAACTAAATCTCAATTCCTCCCTTCGTCCTACTCAGATGCTGCCATACAGAGTTGATCTATACGGTGATCCCCCCTCGTCCTGCTAAAATATTGCCACACTGAGTTGATCAGCGGAGCTGCGGCTCGGTGAATTTTCTTTTGAAATGATCGTGTGACTGTGGTCTCTTCGTTCCACGTTCTCGTAATCGCATCCTCTGTACTCCCATGAATTGCATATACGTGGCCTGCCATCGGGCCATGACTTCTCATTCCATACCACTCTTCAGTTATGACGGCTCATGTGTGTGGACTGGATGATTGCCCGAGAGTCTTGGGGATTCATGCGAGCCGTAATAATAGGTACATGACCCGTTATGATTAGGACATTATCCAGTTCTGACCCGGATGATTGTAGGATCCTGGGAATTGAAATGGAAATTTTGTACATCGCTTTCGCTCAAATCAAAGTCAAATCGGTAGTCCTGGTTTGTTTTGTCCGTGCAATAGTAGCGACCGTTCTTGGTAGCAGTGAGGCTCAACACCCACTGATAGACAGCCCCCTCTGGTCTGAGCTTATACTTCGAGATGCCGAGGGCTGCAACTGCCGCTGGAGTTGCAATCCAATTATCGTCATTTCCAACTGGCCAGTTGACGTCGACTGAGCTAGACATCTTGGCTTCATATACTTAGCCGCTTTACCGCATGCGTGTAGAGGTCCTGAAATCTTACTTTGGGATATGCTAGATCTTTGATCTGTTGCTGTAGTGATAAAGGGCCGTCGCTGGTAAGTTATGATACAACACTGAACAAGCAGTTTGGTAGATTTTAGTATAGTAGTGTTCTCTGGTGGACAAGCTTGATTTCCAACTGGAGAGTCTTCTGCCTATAGATCCGGGGCGAGGGAGGGGGGATTTAATATATAATGCTGGGCCCGTGGGTTAATGACAAATATATTTCAATGTCACTCCTGTTTTCCTCTTCAAGTCATCAAACTAGAAGATGCTCGACCAAGTAACGCCCTGGTTCTCGACTTTCATTCGTTCCAGCACTCTGATACTAGACTAAAGGTACTTTTGTCAGTGTTGATGACTTCATCGGATTCCGTTACGTTATAGTTGCCTTATGTAGGCTGCATACTCTCGCAATCACCTACCATTACACGTCACGCCGCAGCTTCCTGTTACTATATCCACCCTCACACTTGGCCATTAGTAATAAAAAGTGAGTCAGGTCGGTGAGTAAAGGATATTAATTGTTGCACAAAGGGCCCGAAAACACCTTCTTAATAACCTACCTGACTGTACACATAGACTTCATTGTGACCTGTGACCAATAGCCCAGTCAATGGGGAATAGGCTTATGCTACCTCGCTGGCGCTGCTCGACAAGGTTCTCCCCTCCAAGCTTCAGTGGCCAAAGAAATAGACCCCGTTGGGGAAACGCCCATGCGTTTGCATCAAAATCATATGAATGCCCATAGGCCAGTTTCTGGCTCGCTACGGCTGAGCTGTGTGATATATCCAAAGAGTGGTCTCATTATTTGGCCCCTGAGTCAGAGTCAATACGATGCGTTCGTTTTCGGTTGCTTCACATAACGTAATTTCGGCAACATGCAGCAACGCCACCAAAATACAGCTTAGGTAGTCGAGCTATTGACTTTGTCTGTAGCTCTTATATGATATTATATACCGTGGTGAGCTGGTCTGGAGCACAACTGCAGCAGGTGACCCTGCGGCGTTGCAAGATGGCGCGTCAGGTGGTTTCGTAGATGATATCCATTGATTCATTCAGAGGAGAAGGCAACCAGATGCGAATAGAGACGTGTGAAGACACTTATGTGGTGGAGACAATAGTGTGCTTCTATGACCATATTGTCAATCCTTGATGAGATCTGCGAAGGTTGTAACCAAGCATGAGTAAGACCGCTAATCTGGAGTAGACATGCGGATCTACTAAAAGACATGAAATAAAAGAACATCTCTGCTAAGCACCTTACTCGACGGCTTTTTTGCCCCATATAAAAAATAAACCAATCGACTAATATTTGTTAGTATAATGGGACAAACGCATCCCACATGCACTACCGTGTCTCTATTTCGGAACTCAAGAACTATGAGATAGACTGTTATTGGACTAAGATAGACAGTTACAAGGTTTCCGCTCTCCTACGAGCAATTTTATACTGACTGTATAGGCTAAACGACCTACCTATTGAACTAATGTCTAAAGAGCTGCCCTGAGTACTAGGGACTAGAAGATCAAGGTCGCAGTAATTATGATACCTTAACTGATGTTAAGAAGAGAAAGGCGCAGCAAATGTGATATTTTGAACAGGTAAGATTAGCCAATATATATTCACTATGTTTGAACGTACTCAACGTTTAACTAACGTTAGAAATTTTTTTTTAAAAAACAATAATTTCCGTCTCAACCTCTTTCCTACTACTACATATGAAGTATTATATAATCTCTTGTAGTGTCCATTCAACCAATGCATCTTGGCTAGATATCTATGTAGGGAGCGCGAGTTCGCAAACGTATAATGGTTAATGCGGTTCATTGAAGGTATTGTAGCAATGACCATGGCACTGCAGGTGAAGAATTCAGGCCAGGCAGCAAGGGAATAGACACGTGATGTAAACTGATGTGTTGTTCCAGCAAAACTGCCAATCCGATATTTTTTCTAACCGCCGACTGTTAGTTCAACTTCCCGAGACCCAGTCTAAATAGTGTAGCCTTAGGCAAATAGTTGCTGAAAATCCATAGCGCCGCCAGTCATAGTAATAATTGTCACCGTCGGTTTCTAATTTCATCTGGTCACCTTTTTATTGCCAGGCCGTGTATGAACTATCAAAAGGGAAATTATTCCTTGGCGGCGTATCTAGAATATTTAATATCTAAATTTTGTAGTCATCTGGAAAGACGATGAATATTCAGTCTAAGCTTCACGATTAAAGCTGACTGCCAACGAGGCACATGCTCTGACCAGTGTTCTCGACCATAGCAATGCCCTTGTCGACAGGGTTGTTGGCTGAGAGGGTAAAACAGAATGGGACGAAAATGAGTCAGATGTAACTAATCCATTATTCAGCCTGCATAGGTTCCAAGCCTATTCTGAAAGAACCAGACCAGCTCATGGCCTGCCCCGCGCGTTCGCCTAATTAATAGACCAACACCCGGCCGGTGGTCAGGTGGTCCCGAACGCCCAGCTTAACGTACCTAGTATACCATATTTCAGCAACAAACTGGCACTAGATCCCGAGGCCACCGAAAAACATACTGTCGATTTCTTGGACTGCCTAGACCCCTTAAGTTCATACTGTTGGGAGCCCATCTACAAGAGATATAGACATATAAAGCGAGCAGCACTAGAGACCCAGGCCTCACTTGTACCTGAAACTGGAGGATTCACATAAGACCGGGCCGACGCAATTACTCCTCTTTACCACATAGGTGTCATTCACAACTACTCGGCTCCTTTCTTGGTGCCTCGGTAACGCACTATTACTTTACCTCTTTCAGTCTGTTGTTCTGTACGCTAATGCCTTGGGCTAGAAAAGCAATTCCCGCAACATATCGAAGCTTCTCGTGACGATTCATTTCGGTGCTCTTCTACGTGAGCCTTCTTGTAACCTAAAAATTGTAAATGGCGCTTGTTGGGTTTCCAAGTTGTCTTCACTCTTACGCCATATTATTGAGTCATAATCACCCGAAACTCACGCATGTCTCATTGATAGAAACTTTGGGGTAGGATGAATCGGTGAATTATACCATTAGATAGGTATTGCAACATACCTAGAGTATGATGAATTCAACTCTTAGGACCAGTTTACTCTACCTGTTGTGATATAAGTTCATGGGTACTTCTAACAACTAGGAAGCCTACGGAGGGTACAATAGTTGCACTCACGAAGCACCCTGGCTAACAGCCTCGTAGATACTATGAAAACTATCACATGAGGCTATCCGATTTACAGTTGTGAGGCATACACTGACTAACTCCGAAGAGTGTGATGGCTAATGCGGCTTGTATTGCATAATATGTAGATGTGGTGATACCTAGCTCATACCTATCTAGGGCCTGGCATGTTATCGCAGGCGGTAGGTACCTAGGTAGTATGTAAGGGTGCACTGTGTGGCTGATGTGTGGCTGAGGCCAGTAAGAGTACCTAGGTACCTGCCTATTGCAGCACCTACCTTAGGTAACCTGCCTTCAATGTTGGTACCTATGTACCGTACCTAAGGTAGGTAGCATGCAAAACATCGAGTACAATTCAATATTATAAGTACACGACGGGCTGGACTCGGACATCTTGACAGACTTCCCGCTTTTATACTACTAATTCGTGGTTTACGAGAATGCCAATTGATCAATGAACCATCCCTAGGTACAAGCTTATATATATTGGTCGCCCTTGCTGGAGCAGAGCCTCTTCACGCCATACCACACTGCCCTGGTCCAACAGCAGCGAGCACCACCACGCAGCGCCGAATCCCTTACTGCCACGCCGCGTCTCCTGGAATCTTGCGACAAACGTCCAGTCATCCTCAAGCCGCATCTTTCGTACCGCCTTGTATATAATATATATCTTGCCCAGCGCTCGCTGCGCATCTGGATTTGCGCCATGGATTCGATGGACCTCGACCACGATATGGACATTGATGTCGACCTTGTTGCCGACGAGCCCATCGTCCCCGAGCCCGATCCGGTTTGTTCCTGTCGCCTTCGCCTGCCCTATACCACCGCGCTGATGATTCATCCTAGGGCAACCGCTCCCCTGGTGAGATCGACGACGATGCAGACGCCCGGTGCCCCTCCAAGGTCTTCATCAAGGGTCTAGATATCATGAACCCTAATGACGTCAAGGCCTACGTTGCGCAACACTGCTCCGACCACTCTCTGCACCTCGAGAGAATAGAATGGATAGATGATAACTCCGCAAACCTGCTTTTTGCCTCTGAGGCCGTTGCCCTCCAGGCCCTCCAGGCCCTCAGTGCCGCCGACTATCACATATCAGATGTATCGCAGTTGCCTGCTCGGCAGCTGCTCCCTGCCAAACCCTATTCGGAAAATCCAGAGGTTGCTCTCCAGGTACGGCCCACCCTCGAGAGTGACAAGAAACAAGCAGGTGCTGCTTCGCGGAGTCGTTTTTATCTCCTAAACCCAGAATACGATCCCGAGGAACGACGGCGAAAGAATGAAGAAAGAAGATATCGCGACCGAACTGGTGACGGCTTGTCGCGGAGACGTGGGCGTCAAGCAAGAGCTGATGAAAGCGATGAACCGTTCGACGTGAATCTTTACGACGACAGTCCCGCCCCTGCAGAGATAAAGGGATATTCCCGGCGCAGGCGCTCGCTCACACCCGATCATGAAACGACTGAGCCACGGATCGATTCATACAGACCATCAAACCGAGGCAAGGAACTCTTTCCCGAGAGCCTAAGCTCGAGGCACGGAGTCTCACGAAATCGCTCAGCTTCTCCAGTTCCCGATCGGGATGGCGATCGGAACATGGACGATCTGGCAAATAATGGGTCAGCTGTAGCGCGGGAGCGCAACCGCTACAGGGCACAAGCTATCAAGAGTCATATTTCGCGTCAGAACCGGGCGAAGGAACTATTCCCAAGCGAGGCAGTGTCAGAAAGTGGGCGTTTAGGCGATAAAGTCGAAGATGCGGCTACCCTTCTGTCCAAAGGCATCACGCTTCCTCTCATGGACGGCAGTGACGATGCGCCGGCCGTTGATGCTCGTAAGCTAGCAGATCGCGTCATAATCCCTGGCAAGGGTAAATTGGCAGATAGAATTACTAATTCAGATCCGATGGGGAGCACGGCTTTCAATATCCGTGGTGTAGCGGATCGAAGGAGCCCTAATACGGGGTTTGCCATCAAAGGCTCCGCAGGAAAATCGGCGAAGGAGCTTTTCCCTGATAAGTTTGGCGAAAATGCCGGGAAGGAATTATTTGGGGATACAGCAGGGGGGCGACCTAGACAGCGGCAAAGGGCGGGTGATCTATTTGATTAATCTTACCTACGACGAACATTACTCGAGATATTGAATAAGGAGCTGGGGTAAGGGGCGAGGCACGAAGTAGATATGAGTGTCAATACAACTCGTTCGTTTGAGTTAACTATTGACGTTTAACCCTTTAATTAAAGGCTTTCCCAACGACGGACGACAATACCCCATGCAATTCCTGGTCACACACGCCTAGTCTATGTTTTTCTATAGATATTATAGGTCCAGATCTCTGGCGCTCTCCCGCGATCTATCCTCAACGCTTGTCTTCATGCTGTTGATGGGAAGGAAGGGGAACGTGGAACTACTTAGATTTATGTAGTGACGAATATACAGCACAGCACTCAGCTGAACTATGTCCCTCCGCTATCATTTGCACGTCATGAGATATTGATATTGTTAATACAAAACCTGCCGAGACGTCGCGTTAAATCCATCCTCGAAGCCCTCGACCCTCTCATGAATGATGTAGGTAGTAGGCAAGCGGCCTTCCTCAACACAGGGAAGGGACTCGCGTTTAGCTATTAGCTGCCTGCCTGCCTACCCGAGTACGCAACGACGGCACCTGCATTGCGTTTGACACTTGTTGAATTCAACTACGCCATCTCATCTTGGAAACAAACAACCTACTTCCCCCTAGTACATGGCCGTGACGTTGACAAAGGGGCAGGTTCCCAGGTTCTTCAACATCTATACTGGCGACCACTTACACCATTTCATGTTACTACTGCCTACTACTGCCTACTTCCGATCCCGCCACGTGAAACTGCAGTCTCCCTATCCTCTCCCTATCCTCTCCATATCCTGGTAACACTGTCATGGCCGAACCTCTGAGCTGGCTGAAGCTGGGACCGCGCGCCCGGACACCTACCAACCCTCTCACAGCCAACTCGTCTGAATGCAAGGCCACTCGCGATTCGCAGCCCTGTGGTGCGCGTCGACCCGGCTCGTCTCGCACGTCGGCTTGCACCCCGCCTGAGTGTGGGCACGAGCCTGCGTCTGCCGATGACAGTGTCGATGATCTCCTCATTCGGGACCAGGACCAAGTTTGGTATAATCCGGTATATGAAATGACGCCAGACAACACCATTCACAGCTAACCTCCAGTCGCCATATAGTCATTGAATCAGATGGTTGAGGCACTCCAGGTACTACTCCTGCACCAGGGCCTTTTTGAGCCCATTCCTATCCGATACAACTCGTACGTATTGCACTTGATAGAAGGCTATGCCAAATCCCAGGGCAGGATCCGCAGCGTAGAAGCGGCGCACCAAGAAACCAAACAATCCCTGGAACAGAATATCGAGCAGTTACGTCACGCGGCTAATTACTGGCTCGAGCGAGAATCCCAATATCGTGCTGAGGTGAAGAGACTTGAAGTCCTCCTGTCTAAATGCTCTAAGAATGGGCTCGAGGCCGTGACATTGGCCAGAACAAACAGTGTTGTTGACCGCAATGTTACTGAAGGTGCTGAGCTCCTCTCACGACTGGCAACAGTTAGCAAGCCACATAGCAATGGTACGCTAGACATGACACGGCCTTATTATTCGCTGCACCGTTTTCTGTAGGATCAGTCAGTCTGACGTAACTTCCAGATCCCATACTGCTGTCTGCGAAGAGCAATAGGGTCGCGGGACAAAACAGGGCCAAGCGAAGTATTCCACCGGTCCAAATCCTCCTGATACATAATCCCGAAGCTAACCCTATATCCTTTCTAGTTCCGACCCCTAGAATTCTGGACAACGACCACGATTTTCGCGTAAGTCAAAAAATTCGGCAACAGGATGCCGCTAGGAAGTCAGCTATATTCTTTGAAGATAGAAAGATACATTGCCGCCGGCGGAATTCTCACACCGAATCAGACCTTATGAATATACATCACGATGGTTTCTATAACCCCTTCGTGGATTTTCAAGATGCCCATAACTGCCAGGGCAGACGACCACTAGCAAATGCGTACGAGCATTACGCAGTTTCAACAGGTAGCCCAGAGAGCTCTCATCATCGGAAGGACATTTCAAATACACCTGCAATGTCAGTCCGTAATCTTTCAGTCTGCGTCGAAGATTCGGCTCATACCAACGAGATAGTCACGGATGGAATAGGGGCAGCGTGCCAGCACGAACGGAATCACTCGGACTTCTCCTTCGAAGCTGGAGACGATTATGACGCGTTGCCGAAGAAGCCGGTAGAAGAGGAAAAAGGACTCGAGGACTCGTATCCAGAAAATGCGGTTGTTAGGAAACATCAGCGCTACAGCAGTGACACCGACGGGTTGGCCACTGTCTCCGCCCCAGTTGAAGAACAAACACTACTGGTGAAGGAGAACAGCCCCAGTATTCAGACTTCCCTCGGAGATTATCCCATGAGAGTCACTGGCCCTACATATATGCCGATACGACGGTGCAGAGATCTTGGACACAATAGCCCTACCGCGGTAGGAAGACCACCTGGTCAAAGCAACTGCAGCGTCGAATCTCTAGCAGTCACCGCTGCCACGAATCAAGAAGCCTCGCAGACGAACAAAACGAATGCACGAATTGCGGCAAGACTTGCACTAGCCAATATCCTCGACACTACCAAGCAGAGAAAATAGTCTCATTGCTGTGACTGGCCTCAGGTTACTTGTCACGGGTGAGTGGTGGATTATGAGCTAAGATCGTATGAACATTAAGCCAGCAAAGACGGCGAAAATAGACCAGGAAGTAAGTGTATAGTATCGGTGGAGACCAAGGTTTGTGATATGAAAGGAGGAGAAGGAGATATCAACCAGGCCTAACTACTTGAGAATGACGAACTGATTGGCTCCTACATACTACAAGTGCTCGAGCAATATTGGTTTGATGGGATTAGCTCAAGCCAGGCAGATATCAAACACAGGAGAACCAAGCAATGGTTTTATGTATCAGATTCCATACGGCCTCGGAGAGGAACTGGGGAAGAGGGACCACACTTTGGAACAAGCAAAAACGTGACAGGTAACGTGCGTCTGAACATAGACCAGTCTGGCTCTTCGCACTTGAAGCAGAATCATTGAAGGTAAAGGACAGCGATCATTCGAACGGACTATGCTTGACTAGATTGAACGAGGCAAGATTGGGAGAATGAGTGAGTGGCGGCGTGCTTGCTTTGGGATAATGCAACCTAATGCGTGGGCGCTTTGTAGTACAGTAACAACACGGTGTGGTGGTGGTGATGGTGGCACCCCATCCCCAGCATAGATTACCAATGTGTAGATCCTCGATAGCCGACAGTTGAACCAGATCGCTGGGCCACAAGGGAACCATACTCTAGCCGTGGATGGGCCCAAAGCCTTCCATGCTGGCTGAATGACGAGACGTTTGTCTCTGGCATACCGCTACTTCACCTGTCACAACAGACAACCCCCGTCAGCAATAACATTTTATAATTTATGATCACCAATAAAGTATATCGTAAGTTACGCGACACAGCACGGATTTTGAGCCTTTCATTTATTTATTTAATATGGGGGGGGGGGGGGGGGGGGGGGGGGGGGGGGGGGGGGGGGGGGGGGCGGGGGGGCGGGGGGCG